TGTTGCTTAGAATTCACCAAACTTCTTACATCTTTTTTTTCTCACGAATTTTCCTTTAGTCTATGCCTTATTGTTTAGTGCTCAACAATATTTTCACATAGCAACGACGATTAAAAATTCTCGAACCTTCCAATGCAGTATCCTTATATATTGTGTAGGCCCGCTCTGACGTCATAAAGACATTCGGCCTATCAACAAGCCCAAACACTGCTAAGCAAGCTGCCACGCTAATATTTAAGGGCAGCTCGCCATGCACCGGCGCTCACTGTATTATTATTATTATTATTATTCAATCATCAGTTATTGCTCACTGTACTTGTACCAATCGTTTACATCTGTTATCGCTCATTAGCATTTCTCAATCAATCAGTTATAATTTATTAACTCCGCCACATACTAGCAAAGTAATCACAATATACGCACATAATTCCACCAAACTCTGCAACAATAATCTAATAAGCCAACAGTGAAGCTATAAGATTTTCTAATCATTTAAGTGCGCTATATATTTTAGCAGAGACGAGTGTTAAGTATAATTCAAAGGTGAATATTAAACTAGAAGTGTATCATCCACACATTCATCATAAAATTAGCTAAGACAAATAAATTTACCATAAAGTCAATTGAAAGGAATACCATATATTGAAAGTGCAAGAGCGCCAGCCTCGCACGACTCGCGAACCGCCACAGGTGACATACACGTCTCGGCTACAAAGGATAGATGCTAGAACGTCACCAACACGTAGCACTACTCGAGGAAGTACCAGAAATTTACACCTCTTACTGCTGTAGATAGTGAATACCATCACCACGTAAAAAATACCGAAAGGATTTCACAGATGCCAGCACTACCTTAGAATCATATTTATTATAATCTATACATTAAATTAATGCATCTGCCTCTTCCACTTGTCAGCAATCCTCCCATCGAACATCACTGGGAGGTTTTTTAGTTTGATCCCAGACACATAAAAAATAAAAAAAGCTCAGACATTTCGAAATATAAATATTTTAATTTTCTATTAAGTTGACACTAATTTACATATTCATTATATTTTATATTACCGTTTTCTAATACATTTATAAATTTATTAATATTTACATTATTTTTCTTACAGTGTTTAAATGTCTACGAACACTTAAAAATATTTTACCTCGTGATCTTGCAATGCAGCTTCTAATCAAATGGTATGTTGCTAGAAATGCACCAGGGCCACAAGATTTAACTACAACTCAAGAATGGAATTTATTTTTAGTTATTTTTTTTACGATTTTTGGATATGATGTCAATAAATTATATATAACAATGACCAATGAGTTAGATCATACAACCGAACATTATAGCCCTATGATTTTATCTAAAAAACAAAAAACAATTAATAATGGCTCTACTAATGATTGGAATTACTTGATAGCTTCAGAAATTACAAATCAAACACAAATTTTTCTTCACGATGCAATAGGATTATCTAAATTAAAACCGAATGACAGTGATGAAACAGTTACTATACTTGATTCGGAAACAGCTCAAATAGATAAAACAACTGTTCAATCCGGATTTGTTATACATTTACCTTATATCTTATTCTCATTGCATTTACTATATGAAGAGATTAAATTAAGTCGCAATATGTCTGAAAGTTCCTTTTTGTTAGCAAAATTATTATATCAACTAAGTATGGATTTAAATTTATCGAATTATAAACAACACTATTTTTCGGATTTTCCTACTTTAAGTAAAAATAACACAGAGTTTCAAATTAATGATACAGAGTTTCGTAAAATTATTATACCTGATTTTATATCATCTAACACACCAGACATATTTAAAACGCTTTATGATTTATTAACATTGTCATGTGTTCCTTCATATCCGTATCTATTTCAAATTAATTCTATAAGTAAAACTTTAATACAGTTATTCACAATGTTTAAAAAGCAACGACAGTTAAATATTTTAGAATTTGATCACTTGTTTAAAATAATTAATCCAATTGAAAATGAAGATAATCGCATGGAAAGAGATAGTAAAGAAACAATGGAAGAAATTATTATGCACTGTTATAAAACTGGTAAATAGAAATTAATAATTAATAATTAATATTAATAAATAATGATGATTCCACTGACACTTTATTATTTTTATATAATAAAGGTGTATAAAAATATAGTATTATTTATATAATGTTTTGTTTCCTTTAAAATTTTTTTTTTTAATTTTCGAAATAAATAAATATTGGACATTGAAGTACGGTAGATTGCATTTTACTGCATTTATTTTTGTTCATGGATTCATAATTGTAAAACTGTACATTAGCTTCATATCAAATCAAATTTACACGTCAAATTTCATTTGACTTTTATTTACAGCTCCCTTTATCCATCATACTAAATGTTAAAACATCAAATTTTAATATCAAATATTCTTTTGTAGGTGTTTATTAATTTCTTTAAATAGTAAATATTGCAACGTACAAATTAATAATATTATACTATATATATATATATATATATAAACTTTTCACCTATTTACAATATTTTGAATTATTTTTAGTATTTTGTAAAATCCTATATATAAATTGTTAGTTAGATTTGAAAAAATTGAAGATAGATATATCAGTAGCAGATAATCCGACCAGGATATATTAGTATAACTATCAGTTTTTGTCAAATATTGTTACATTCTATGCTATTATTATTGTTAAATTATTGTAATTAAAATGGCGAAATTTTTATATTGTTTCTACTCTTATATTTGAAAATTACTTTTAATTACCGAGCCATACCGATATTTGTAAATAATTCATTTTTTGTTTGATTAGAATATTATTTACTTTAAAACAATATTAAAATTATAAATTGAAAAAAATTTTTAAAAAAATAAAAATTCAGATATGATTTACTAAAAGGTTAATAAAAATATTGATTTCTTAATATATGATTGATACTACAATGAACAGAAAACTCGTGAGACTACTCTGAAACAGCATAGTGTAAAATGAATTTTTCAAATATATTTAACTATTGTTGTTTAACTACCAATTGATATAATTAATTTTTATACTCGTCTAACAAAGTTCCTTTATACTTCTGAATTATTAGATACTTATATATATATTATTGGTAAAATTAAAAACTTTATTTTAAAGGAATGAACAAACAACAACTAGATAATTTACCGTCTGGTATAAATTTCGTTCTTAGTAATATAATTTACCAATGCAGAGAAAATCCACCGACTAATTGGCCATTGCTAGCTTATGAATTGATTGACCGACAAGACTTAGCAGCGTTAGGAAAAAATATTTCACATAACCATCATCTTGATCATATACAAAATGAAAATGTAAAATCTGATGTCAACTTTAATTATACCGAACGCAATGACGGAATGGAATTTGACTACACTGTAAGTAATTATAAATAATTAGTTCTAAAAATATATAATATATTAAAATACTCATTTTATAAATGTGTATTTATTATTATTATATAATAGTTATGCTAAAAATTATTAAGCTAGATTGTAAAATATATTTTATAGAGTAAAACCAAAAAATCTAAATATCATATAAAACATATTTTTTTATCTTAATAACTATTTAATATGCCACTTCAAATTTATTTTTGCTAATTAAAATACCATAAATCAATGCTAGAGAATTGCAAATTTTGAAAATGGATACGTATGTTGTCATCATTATTGGAACTGGACATCTGATGACCATCTGCATTATCTATTTATATTAAGTATTACAGCCATCTGAATTGGTACAATTGAATTTTCATGAGTATTTTCACCATGTATGGTAAATTCATAACGATGTCATTACAATGATGTAATACCTACACTTTTTATATATTGTATGTTCTATATTTTACTTGCATATTTGTTACACGTTTCGGCTTAAGCACCATTTTCTTATCAACGAATTTAATATTTATTAAAAAATATATTTATATATGTATAATAATCAATTTTTAAAATTTTAAATGTCTAATAAATGCAACAAAAATAATTAACGAATAACGAATATTAATAATTTAAAGAATACAAGTAATATAAAATATTATATATTTATTTTTCTTAATAATATTTATTACTCATATATTTCTAGATATTACGACTAAAATTTAATAAAGATCATAGAGTTCGAGAAACTCGAAAATTACTCGATTCTTCGGAACCAATTAAAATTTCTATTGTTCAAAGACCAGATGTAAGTGATCATGAGTTTATTGAGGAACAAGAAAAGTTTTTACATGCTTTATGTACACGCACGATGGCACTTCCAATAGGTAGAGGAATGTTTACTTTGAGAACATCCATGCCAATTAATACTGAACAGTTACCAATACCTCGTCTTTGTTTAACTGGTAAGACACATATTATAATAACATTAAAATTAATTATATCAAAATGGTATATCTTATGGAATGTTATCAACAATGAATGCTGCCGGTACTATATTGTATTATAAATATTAATTATTGTATTAAAGAATTAACCTAGAAATGTATTTTATAATATAAGCGTTATTGCCACTGAGCGTTCACGTACGTCGCATATACAGGAAGAAGTTGATGCCTTGCTGGTCCTCTATATGTAATGCCCGTGTAGATGGAATAATATACACAGAAGAGCGAGGTTGTAAACCCCCGCGCTTTGTATATGAGCACGTGGCAATTGCTAGAATTGCTTGTATTTGTATTTTGCAGAATGCTTTACGTATCTGCAGATTGGCACGTATGGCTTGATATAGTTATATATTAATTACGAATGCAACATAACCTCGTAGCTCTGTACGTTGTGTATAGCTATGTTTTGTCTTGTTTCTTGAATTTGCCTCGAGTGGCTCCTTGCAGTTTGATTGCGTATAATGTGCGAACTGGTATTCGTAATTCTCGATTCCCTTTTTTTACTTGTATTGCACTGCTGCGAGTGTATGAATTGATTATCTAGTACTTTTGTTGAATAGATTAATCTTGTGTAATTAACTTGGACTTTCGAATTGTTTGACTGCGTTTTAATTGACTTGTTCTTTTTCTGTTAGGTACGAAAAGATAAGTAATTGTGCCGTGCCGGCGTTGCCTTTTTTAAAGCCTTCTCTCGACCACGCGGTATTCCCGCTCTTTTAGTGGCGCGAATCAGAGCTGCCTTGTCGATCACGGCGTCGCCAATGAGCTTTCGTCTTATTAGTGTGTTCAATCAGAAGTCTTCTTTAGTTTATGGTATTTCTAATCACGGCGCCTTTTGGATGGTGACGTCTCCCACCAGTGAGTCTTTCCAAGATGGAGGCTCCAATGAGAGCGGGTCTTGCTCAACTCCCCTCTATGATGGGGGGTCTTGATGCCGCGCTTTTCCCTCTCCATCCTAGCATTGTCGCATGCATTTCTTGTTATCATGGGCGTTGCGATCGGTCAGTGTTGTGAAGGTTAGGTGTAGCATTGTTTTTGAGTCTATCATCTGGCTTGTGTTTTTCAGACTAATTCTATAACTTGTGTACGTCAGATGTTTTATGACTTGTCGTCGATAGATGCTTTGTGGCGAGGCTGTGTTAGTTTCTGTCTAGAAATGTCTCGTCGCATTAGTTTTATGACGTGTTTTGCTGGACACATGGACCTTTGTTCTCGCTAGATGTGTTCATGAATTGTATTTTCTTTAGATATTCGAAGTTTTGCTGAATTGTCTAGATTTAGTTAATCCGAGGCGCGTTGGAATGTTTATTTCTCGAGTAGTTGAGAGTTCGCTTTTTTCAGAACTCTTATCTCGAATTTTCTAGATGTTTAATGAGCTGGGAGTTTTCTTACATTCTCGAACACTATGAAAGATCAGTAAAAAGATCAATGTAGTAGAGCAACTAACTAAAGTGTACTATTAGACATTTAATTATAATTAATTGTTGACTTATATGTTTTTTAATCATTAATAAATCAATACATTTTTTAGAAAGAAAAATCTTATTGAATGAAATTCCATTACTTATTTTGTTTTTAAGATGAATAGACAATACTTTAATTAATATTTACAAAATTATATTGAGGAACTAAGTTTTAATTTATTTAATAATATATCTATTAATGTATAATTTGTAATTATGCACATACTTTCTTTATTTTATAGAAATAATATAATTTAAGTATTTAACATGTAAATATTTTTAGGTAAAGCACCACCTCGTGGATCAACAATTGAATTAACTCATATAGATGTTCCGACTAATATGAATTTATGGCCATTATTTCATAATGGTGTTGCTACAGGACTATGTATTCATCCAAATGCTTCAAATGTTGATTCGACTTGGATAGTGTATAATAAACAACAACAAGGAGAATTTGGCATTGAACACTCAGGATTTTTAATGGCATTAGGACTTAATGGTCATCTAAAAAATCTCGCTCCTTTCAGCATGTATGAATATTTAGTAGAATGCCATGAAGCCACTAGTGTTGGTCTATTACTGGGATTGTCAGCTACTCATCGAGCTTCAATGGATGTGTCAATGACAAAATTACTTTCTCTTCATGTAGAAACTCTTTTACCTCCAACAAGTATAGAACTTAATGTTCAACAAAATGTTCAAGTAGCTGCTCTTATGGGTGTTGGATTAGTTTATCAGGGTACAAATCATCGACACATCGCACATGCACTACTTTCCGAAATAGGTATTTATAATTTAAAATTAAACAAGTTAATACAACTATTATTCAATGTATGTTTTATTATTATTATTGTATAAGTATGATTTTATGATATTTTAGCATTAGTTTCTTACTAGGGATTTTTTTTTTATAAATAATATAATCAATATTTTATTGAATTGATTATGGCTTATTCATAATTTGCAATAATTTATTTTAAAAGAGCGACATCTTTAAGAAAAATTTATTTTCTAATAATATTTAATTCATATTCTAAAAAATTACATACAAATGAATAATATAAGTATTTAGTATTTAAAAAATCTTATTGTTTTAGAATATATGTAAATGAGGTCATTTAATAATTTGTGTTATTAATATTACTAAATTTTTCTAGGAAGACCACCGGGACCAGAAATGAAAAATTGTGTAGATAGGGAATCATATTCTTTAACAGCGGGTTTAGCATTAGGATTAGTTCTTTTATGTTCTGGAACTGGTTCAGATTTAGCTAATATTCCCGATACACTTCATTATTATATGGTTGGAGGTAATATCAGGCCTTTCAGTGGTGCTCAAAAAGACAAATATAAATCACCCAGGTATTTATTAGCAAACTATCCAATAAAATTTTAATTTATGTTTTTTATATACTTAGCTAAATTGTATAAGTTATTATTTATATGCAGAAATTATAGAAAATATCAAAACAATATGAAATTTATAACTAAAGAAATTAATTTTATAAAGTTTTATTTTCTATTGAGATAATTATTAGGTAAATTTTAGTAATTATAATCTTTCATTTTTAATATTAATAAAAATCTTGATTTAAGCAATTAAAATATAAAAAAATAATGTCGAAATCAGAGGCAATAAATAATAATATCTGTTCGGGATTGATGCAGTCCCATGAATTTCAAACAAAAGAAAAGTCATACGCGCTGTCCGGCGTACAGCATGTGCACCTAGACTGGCACGCACGTGCGGACCGGGACGCGCGTTCGAGCGAATGTTTACAAACAAAACTCGGTAAGTTCGAGCAAGTTTACGATCCGAAATATGATATACTGTAAGATCACCCAAGAGTATTACTCCTACTTTTCTCTCGTCGAATATTCTCGAAGGTTCTTGATTTTTCCTTCGACGCCTCGTGTAAGAATTAGTGTAACAACGACGATGCCTTGTTGCCAGCTAAGTGAGCCACCGCGTGGACGCACGCGGCGCGCCTCTCACTCTTGCTGAAAATCATGTCTTGCCGTACCGCCCTCGCTCAACTGCGCTTGCGGCTAACATCTTGCCGTGACCCGACCACAGTGACCGATCATAGTGAACCGATTCAATCATTTTAACAGCAGAAGCCATGGCACACGAGTCTCGATCTGCCATGGAACGGTCGGCATTTTCAGCAGAGCCACCACGGAACGATCAAGCCTTCGGTTTGTGCGCGTATTCAAAGGGCTCATTTGTAATATCACTTCGCGTTCACTCAAGTGTATCTGCCGCTCAGTGTTTTGTATACTGTGAAGACAACGCGTGGCCATATTTTTGGCAGCATAGTTAAGAATACACGCGTGCATAAGAATAAGATATCGGCAGATTAGATAGTGATTACAGTGAAGCCAATGGAATAGTAATCAAGGGGGGCATCAACTACACAGCATCTAATACACCTAGCCTGTAGTTTACCAGGTACACCTTTATATTAATAAATAAACAAGTCACATCTCGCGCTATTGTCGATCGGGTACACTTACGCTCTCTCGAACTGATCCCTCGACATCGTAGAGGTCCGCTAGCAGAACCAGGACACACTTACGCTCTCTTGAACTAACCACTCGACATCGTACAGGTCCGCTAGCACAAACAGGGCATACTTACGCTCTCTTGAACTAACCCTCGATATCGTACAGGCCTGCTAGCACAAACAGGGCACACTTACGCTCTCTCGAACTAACCCTCGACATCGTACAGGCCCTCAACAGCTGATGCAAGAGTCACTGCGGTTCACATACATTATCAAAGAAGGACAACAACAGATCGACTAATAGAATATAAATATAGATTATTAAATCCTTCACGAGTTAGAAATCTTACCATTAATCACTCTCACCTGTGACTAGATTCTGCTACTGTTCCCTTGCACAATTAAAGACACAATCGATTACTTAATATAGTCCATTAAACATCTTACACCGTATCAAGTATAGTTATTCATACATCAAGCATACTTAATGCAAACACCATCTTCTCATGCTACCTCATAAGCATGAGTGACTACACCGGCTGATATTTACAACATCAGCATAACCTCAATTACAAGATACACAGTAATATCCATAGAATCTACGTTAATCAAGAACACAAGGAAACACCCTCATTACTTCGATAGAGTCATTTCTTTACACACCAGTGCAATATTAATTGCAATAATTTAATTAAATGCAATAATCATTATAAATAATAAACATTGTTTTTACTAAATACATAATGTTTTTCAGCCTTCTTACTTATTATTTTTTTGAAGTTATCCTGCCGAGAGACTAATCCACTGAACTATTGAATTGGTAGTTCGAGCCATAAATTAAACCTTTAAAATCGAACAATATCTTTTAACTAATTAAATCTTCGCACAGTATTCAATATTTAACGAGGTGCTTCATAAGTTAAATCCTTTATGTAATAAGCACCATAATAATTTTTTAGTAACATAATATTATTTATTTATTTACCATTTTATTGTTACTTGTTATCTTTATATATATAAGGGTTTGTTATAAAATACAACATTTAGATACTTTCAATAATTTAAGTTATGAATATTTGAATTTTTGAGTCTTCAGTTAAAATGATATTTTTACAAATTGCTTGTTAAAAATATGTAAAAAAATTAAGTATATACTCGAAGAAAAAAAATTACTTAATAAAACGCTTTTAAATTGTTTTTTGTTGGAAAAACGAATACAGTAATATTATAATTAATAATTTCGCGACACAACTTCAATCCTAATATGTTGAGATTCAAGACCGAGTATTTAAATTGAATTCGTTACATTATGAAAGAATTTGTCAGTGACGTTATTATACAGCAAAAAAATAGGATCTAATTGAATGTAACTAATACAATTAACTCGAAGAATTTCAAGTCAAGTCAATTTGTAAAACCGTATAATAACGAACAATTAAATGATGCATCGATGTTCAACATTTTATGTAATAAATACATTGGAAAGAGATCAGAACAAAATCCAAACTGATAAATCGAAATTATTTATATAAATTTTATCTTAATGATAAAGAAACATAATTAATTGTGTCTAACTTCGTTTACTATGACAAGGTACATCATAGTAATATAAATTTGTAAATATGTATTATGAAAGATATATACTCAATTTATTTTCAATTGATGACGTTGGAATTTAATTAAAACATCAAGATTACTAAAAATGTTAATAGCTTCGTCAATAGTGTAAATTTGTATAGAGTATTAAAAAGATATGGATATATAAATATAATATATTTAGCATGAATGGATTGTTATGACAACTTCATACGTTGTATTGATAATTGAGTAAGAAAATTATGTATACTAAAACTTATGAGGATACAGTTATTCATTTTTTATAATTTAAATCTAAAGTAATACAAGTTCAATTTTTACACCTTAACTTTATTGAAATGATATTTCAATAAATAAAATAAGGGCTATCATGATTAACGAAAATATATGTCTAAAATAAACAAAAAGCATGGTTGATTTAAATTTACATGATATTGGTATCAGGTTTATAATATAATGCTTATTAGTCATCGGCACAAACCCGTAATTAAGTTTTAATAAATTATAATCAGTTTATTAAAATCTATTTTAAAATATTGCTATCTATTACATAAGAAAAAATCTTTACATTTATTTCTTTTAACTATTATACATGTTTTATAAAAATATCTATAAAAATATCACAACAAAATAAAGTTTTTGTTTTTATCGAATATTTATACCATAAAATAAAATACTGTCTGAGATGGTGAAGGGAGGCTTGCTAAAGCTCTGAATGGACAATGCAATAATTCAATACTGCCTTTATACGAGTTGATTTTCCCTTTTATTGAATATAATAAATAATGAATAGTTAATATCTATGAATATCGAATGAGTGTATGATAGAATAAATAAGTGAGAGTTTCTTCAGGTAATATGAGTGATGATAATCTTATAAATGCATTCTTGTGGTATGGTGCGTGATTGACGCCACCGATTGCCGCTATCGATACACTGGAGAGACCTGGGTGGTGGCGTTGGTATGTAACGTCACTGGTAAGAAGAATTGATGCCGCCGTTGCCGTTACCGATGAGTTGGAGAGGCTTGAGTGTGGCGCTGGGGTATGACGTCACTGATGAGGAGAATTGATGCCGCCGATGCCGCTACCGATGAGTTGGAGAGGCTTGAGTGGAGCGCTGGTGTATGACGTCATTGATGAGGAGAATTGATGTCGCCGTTGCCGCTACCGATGAGCTGGAGAGGCTTGAGTGGGGCGCTGGTATATGACGTCACTGATGAATGGCAATGATGCCTTGGTTTTGGTATTACTGCTTACTTAGTTCACGGAGTCGTGTTTTAATGATTCGTAAGAACGCGTGTAATAGCGTAGCTTACGTGTGTGGAGTCGATTTCAGTTGTATTGATGGTACGTAAGGACGTGTGTAATAACGTAGCTTACGTGTGTGGAGTCGATTTTAGTTGTATTGAATGTGACCTCTATATAAGTGGTATTTGACTTGTAAGAAAACGATTGTGTGAATTTAAGTCGATCTCTGTGTAAATGGCGTTAACTTGTAGAACAATAATTTGGTCTTGATGATTGCTTGATTGAAGTAGTAAGAGGATGAGACCGTCATGTGCAGCTCCTTAAATATTCTTGTATAAACAAGCTGCGTTGAAATTGTATAGGTGATCGTTGCTATGCCGATATTTGTCGTGACGTAAACAGGGCATAGTCTCGTAGAGTTCATTTGTTATTACTTTTGAAATTACTTAAATTAATAGTATTCTTTGAATTCGTTAGTCAGTTTTTACAAAACAAATGCTCGCGCGCTCATACCTCTCCCACTTTTTATTTTGTTTAGAAATTACTGCAATCCGTAACATACATATATTTCAAAAATAAAGTAAATAAAATATTTTGATTAATTAAGATTTATATTTCTATAGCTATCAAATACGAGAAGGAGATTCTATAAATATTGACGTAACAAGCCCTGGTGCAACTATAGCATTAGGTTTAATGTACCTTAAATCGGGTAACCATGCTGTTGCTGAATGGATGGCTGCACCAAATACGCAATATCTTTTAGACTTTGTACGCCCTGATTTATTACTGCTTCGAATTTTATCAAAATCTTTAATTTTATGGGATGAAATTGAACCGTCGAAGACATGGGTCTCTAGTCATGTTCCAGCTATTGTTGCAAAATACAAATTACAAAAACCTACATCTTATATATCTGAACCCATAGATCTAGAAACAATAAAGTAAGTATTATATAATACTGATAAAATTCTTTTGTGGAAATTTTTATATTTTTTTAACATTTTTTTTAACCAAATTAAACTTAAAAATTTGTAAGAACAATACCACTAATTAATTGTTGATACAAAGTAATATTTAAATAAAGTATGATTTTATTAATTTCTAGTATTAACATTTTTAATGTTTTGCAAAGGGTTAGCAAAATCTTATAATTTATTTGTCTGGTGATCAAGTTGTATTGATTTTTATTTGAAATCTTTACATTTAAACCAATTGTTATGTTAATGAACAGTAAATTAAATTTTTAATAACTTTTTTATATTGCTATGTGTAAGTGTGGAATTATTAAATTTTATAACAATCGACTGAAATAAATTAACGAGTACATTTTAATTCATAAACTGCATAAATTCCTTGATAAATCCTTATATTCTAATTATGCTTTTTTCAGCCAAGCCTATTGTAATATTATTGCTGGCGCGTGTATGGCTGTAGGTTTAAAATATGCTGGAACTGAAAATATGATAGCTTTCAAAACACTGTATCATTTTTTAAAAATGTTCATGACTTTAACACATAAGTCTGTCGCAGAACTCGCAGGAAAAGCTACAATTGAAACTTGTCTTAATGTCGTTCTATTGTCTGCATCTATTGTTATGGCAGGAACGGGTAATCTAGAGGTACATTTTATTACTGATTATTTACTAATTAACAGTGAAGTTATATATTTTTTACAAATTTCTAAAGAAAAAGAAAATTAAATAAAAACAAATTTACATAAGAAAATTTTTATTAATATTCTTAAATAAATGTAATTGTAAAAATGACATGAAACGAGAATGGAAACTTCATAATTTCTATTTCACTAATATCGTCTATTAATGTAATTATAAACTGTTAGGGAGTATGATAGATAGTTTTATTCATCGATTATGAAAATATATTAATATACATCAGAAAATCGCAGAAAAGACACTACCATTCTAAAAATTCTTATTTATAACTTATTTTGCATAAATCGTGTATTAATAATTCACTAAATTTGACAATTATGAATTCAAAGGAATATTTTTTAACATAAAAATAATTTTATTATTATATAATTTTTAAAATAGTCAATTAAAAAATTTGAAATTTTTTTGTGTATAGAAAAATTAGGTAAATTTATGAAAAAGAAACCAATTTTGTGAATAGAATTTAATATTCGCTTTAAGAAGAATTCAATATTATTTGCTACCTATAGTGAAATTTAATATCTATACAATTATATAAAACAATCTGGTAATAAAACCTTAATAATTTAATTATTTACTTGTTATTCTTTAGATTTTAAGAGTATGCAGACATATTAGAACAAGAGTAGGACCAAGCAATAGTGTTGTAACATATGGATCACATGTAGCAATACACATGGCGCTTGGATTTTTATTTTTGGGTGGTGGAAGTCATACATTATCAAATGATTCATCGTCAATTGCAGCACTTATAATTTCATTATTTCCCAAATTTCCAACTCATAGTAATGATAACAGGTAAAAATTAATTATAACAAAAATAAGTATAAAAATATAATTATTAACTTGTGAAATGTATGGATATATAACTTATGTAATTTTTATCTTATAATACTAAAAAGGTACCATTTACAAGCACTCAGACATTTCTATGTACTTGCAACTGAACCAAGATTATTATTACCAAAAGATATTGATAATGGAAAATTTTGTTATGCAAAAGTACGATTAACTTACCAATCTATTTCTCAAAAAGAAGGTCAAAGAATCGTTCTTATAGCACCGTGTTTATTGCCCCAGCTTGATAGATTAAGTAAAATTGAATTAGATGACGACAGGTATTGGAAAATTACGTTTGATAAAGAGCGAAATTTTGATCAGCTGAAAACAATACTAAATGCAAATTGTGTTCTAAATGTTAAACAAAGAGCTGGTTGCTTATCACATATGGAAGATCCGCAGGTATTGATATTTCTAACATTAGTGATTATATAAATTAAAAATTAAAAATAATGTTATATTAATATATGTTGAATAATTTCTTTTATCATTTAAATATAGATACATACTGTCGAATAATTTATATATTTAAAATTTCATAACTTTTATACTAATACTATATTTCAAATAATAAAATTAACAACCACAATATTAAATATATTATCATTCAAATTTTAATAAAAATATATAACATTTAAAATTTAAAAAAAAAAATGTTAATGCACGCTATTTTGTGTATTATTTATATTTGAACATACGCCAAAAAAGTACCATAGTATTTTCTTCAACGAACAATACCGATAATAAAAGTTATAACTAGTGCATGTTTATAGTAAAGTTTTTAACAATTATGATTATTTGAATTTATAATTATTTTTTAGTATGGTAACAACATTCAGCGTAAAACTAATCCAATAGATTTTATTTCTACAAATATAATATTTTTTAAATATTAGAGTGAATCATTCTAATGTTCCCAATTTTTTATGTATATGTTATTCTTACCTTTCAGGGTTTTCGTACATTACTAGCTCAAACTTTAACAACTGAAGATGTTATTATATGGACAGCATCATTAAAACAAATAACATCTTTTACGACTGATACAACAATACTTAACTTTGTTAATAGATTTTTAAAAAAAGGGGATTTGAGTAATCATGCACGATGTGATAATTTTTGTATGAATAAAATACACAATCAGCTAAGTTCATTGTGTTTTGCATATTTTCAAAACAGCAGTGTGGAAAGAGTAGATAACCTTAATCAAGTTTATGAAATCCCCCAAGAAATATCGGTAATAGAAAATCATTACTTACAAATTTTAATAACTATGACTTATGAATGCGTAATTAGAGATAAAATAAATTTTCTTCCGCTGTGGGTAAGTATTTATAAGATACTTACAACAATTGAAAAACAACCGAAAACGAATCAGATATGGCAAATTAAATTTTTATATTCATTTAAACATTGCAACGATTACTTTTATGAACTAGAAAAATTACTTAACATGGAAAATATTTTTGCGAACAAACAACGTATATGCCGTATTATGGACAAATGGGAAAACGGTTAGTTAAGTCAATACTTTCGATGATTTGTTATTTATTTTTATAATTTCACGAATCATCTATTTTGTAGATCTATCAGTAATGTTGAAGAATTTTTCGAAAATTGGTCATATTCAAACTCAAATTGAAGATTTTGATAAACTCGCTAGTTATGTATTAAATTATGATATACCGTGTAAAATTGATCGACTTGTTATAAGTGCACCAGGTATGTATTTGAATTTGATTAAAAATTGAATAAAATATTTATTAATTTATTTTCTTTATTTTCAGAAAATCCTATTAAAAATAAAACAATCCCATGCCTAAAAATATACGGAGCTTTTAGATTAAATGCATTGTTGAAATTACATTAAATTCAATTTCGTGTGATATTTTACAAAACATTTAAAAACAAGTAAATCAAACTAAGGTATTATTTGTTTATAAATATTTTTGTTTTCCAAATATATATTTATAATCTAATTTAGTAGTTTGTAATATTAATTCTTGAATTTAAATAATGTAAAGTATGTCAAAGGGATTTGTGTACTTAACATTGTTTTTTATTATCTTTAATATTATAAATATTAATAAAAAATTATTCATTAGTATCATTATGCTCATAAATATGAATATGCTCATATATTTGATTCGCTTAATAATATTAAGTTGAATTACAAAAGATTAATGAAAATACTTATTATTTATGGTTGAAAATCTATAAAAAATAAAATTAAAATTAACAGTTTGCCATTACTAAAGCAATCATTAGCATGTACTAGAATTTTTTTTAATTTTTTAAATTTCGCCATATTCCCTTATATAAAATATTTTATAATGTATTGTAATACGTAATATGATGTATTCGAAATACGTTATGTTAAATAAAACAGTACTTTTGTCGTTATAAAAAATTTAACACAACTATTAAATGATTATTGAATTTTTTATTATTATTTAAAAAATTAGGTTATACAAATAATAATATAATAAAGTATATAGCATCATAAAAGAAAGTGTGATAGTTTTTCAACTACATTTGGTATTTTTTTAATTCTACATTTAATATGAGTGGGATAGCATTAAAAATTACATATTTAACAAATATTTGTACAATAAAAGCACAGATTTATATTACTTTAAATATGATATTTAAAATACTTTTTTACTATTACCTGATGTAATACATTTGTACATCTAATACATATTTCATTTGGTTAATATTTAAAATTTTCTTGTATGTATGTACCTATTATGTTATAAATTTCTTCCATTTCTACTATTTGGCTACATATGTCGTAAAATCAGTTAGCAAAATGTTTTATGAACAGAAGCAATACACAGTTTACTTACGAATCATAGAAAATATGTACTTTTCACATTGATTCATATGAAAACTTATCGATTTAAATAAATATTTAAGCTGAAAATATGAATTATAATACTAGTTAATATTTGAATTTTTGCTAATTTCACTAATTTTGAATTTTCATTGCATAATTTTTTTGTATTTGTATTAAAAATTCTTTCTTAGTTTTATATAATACGAATATTAGGGTAAAATATTTTGCAATATAAATATAGTAAAATGTGGAATTACATATATTATAATTTTATACAGTAAAATCTGTGCTTATGTTACGGCTATTTTTAAAAGAAATAATAAAATCAATTATATAACTAATATTTTTACATTATTTGCATATAAATAATAATCCTTTATTATCATCTCTCGATATAAAAGTAATGGTTAAGTAACGATACTTTTCATGTTTTATTGTATCTTATGAAATTCGTGTGCTCTAGAAGTATCTAAAACCTAATGTCACCGTATAGTTGTACTATGCTAGGTAGTATAGTAAATTCCACTTATTTTTTGTAATTAATAATGTCTATTAATTTTTGTTATCCTCAAATTATTACATTCTTTTTTTATTGTAAAATTTGTTATTAACCATTTATAATTAATTCACCATTGTTGTATCTTATGTGATATGAATCTATTTTTATGTAAAATAAAAATTTTCCAAGTTTTTAATTTGGTTTTTTTTTCAGAGGTCAAGAATACTGATAGGCAGTAAAAATAGTGATTATATTGAGAGAATTGCTCGCCAAAATATTTGTTAACATTGATTTTATCTTAAGATACTTTAAAGCAAAATTCGTATTCATTAATTTAATACAAAATACAACTAAGGTTCTATCTTGGTTTCTATATTTTTCAATATCACGAATATTTATTTGTTGAAAATCGCTTATACGACATTGTAATTCAAGAATTTCATTTTATGAATATTATGGTTTATAAATCATATTTATTCAACATTCTTCAAGCTCTCTATGTATAAAATAACAACAAATTTAAAAAATGAATATTGAATTTTGAGATCACGATAATGGTTATAATACTAGGGAATAAAGGACAATGACAGTCTTAACAGAAAAATTAAGAGAAATATTTTACTTTGGTAATTAATCGGGAAAATTTTTAAATGAAATTTCAATGAATTTAATAATGATTCTAATTAAGCTAATCTATTTATTAAAAAATTATCAAAGTTCTTCATTTAAATAGTGATAGTATTATTAAATAATGTGATTAATAAAGTGATACTTATTACATTAAAATGAAATAATGATAACATTAATAAAATATATTTTAGATCTGTACAAATGTATATATTATATTAAATAAAATTAAATTAATTAAAAAAATGTTATTACAATATATAATTTATATACTTTCATTTTCATAATTAATAGGTATGCCATTTCGACCATTTTCAGCTAATTTGACATGATTTTCACCCAATTTTTGTTCAAGTCCATTCCACGTTCTTGAATTCAAACAATTTATATTGATTTCATTATTCTTTAATGTTCCTCTTTCTTTGTGAGTAAGTGTATTGTTAATAGTAATATCGCTACTATTGATTTGTCTACTTTTACCACAAATGAGAGATATATCCGGTTTTGATGTAACATCAAAATTCTTATAATTTGTTCCTCCAGGTAATATTTGTTTAAAGTCTAATTCATGAAGCAATGAAAATTCTCTTAAATCATTAAAGGCTAATTCAACTTCAAAAGGTGTTACAATAGGTTTTAAATAATCTCTTGAATCTATTAAACTACTTTCTGGGCAGGTTATAGCTACAAATATATCTACCTAAAAGAAGCAAATTAATTGTAACATTAATTTATTCAATATTATTAAATATTTGTATATTTTTTAAAATGTAATATACAAAGTATGAATAATGTGCACAATGATAAAATCGAAGTATCATGTATTTTTTTTATCTTATCTTAATACACATACCACTAAAAAAGAATACTTTTTTATCCTATTTTGTTCAATAGCATTGGCCCTTAATAAATGCTTAATTTCTCATTATATACTAATCCTAAACATATACTTTTAATTTTAACATTGTTATGTTTGTTATCAGTTTATACAAGTTTTATTATTCATTTAATGATCGTTTACCATGGCTATTGATTCTTTGTAAACATAGAAAAACTTATAGAACTCATAAAGATATATGCAGGCTTGGGGCAGATTTATTATTTACAGATAGCGAAACTGATAAAGTTTTTTCAATCAACTTTGATGTTTGGAATTTGAGAATATTTGAGAAATTAAATGAACTCGCTTCCATTCTCATTTCTTAATCTGAGCATTGATAAGCATTTTCATTATAAGTTTTGACTATTTATATTATTTATTCGTTGAATAATTTGCAGATTTACTACATTAGTAGATCGTTTGATTCAGTTAATATTTATCCAGTAGTAATGTATAAATGCATTCAATCATAAGGTAATTCAAGGTCAGCTAACCTATTTTATTCAGGTCTTTAAACTTATATTTTTTATAACTTAGTTTACTATGTTTTAAAATTACTATATTACATTTTATTTCAGAAATTTATTTATAATTTTAATAAAAATATCAATCCAGGGTACAGAAAAGAAATAAAATGAGACTAGTATGTATACTGAAGAATATTTGGATACTTGCCTATCAAAAAAATTTACAAATAAATTTGTTTTAATATTTGAAATTTTTACCTCCTTTTATCTCCTTTTATCTTTTATAAATATATAATATATTGAAAACAATGGTTTTATTTAAAAAAAATTTTATTAAACAAATTACGAAAAATATTTAAAACGTATACACACCTGATGAAAGTTTCCTAGTTTTGTTGGGGAAATTTTTCCTACATTGAATGTATATACTTTTTTACCTACTTTATTAAGAATAGATTTTAACATTTCTGTGATTGCTAGATAGTTTTCAACATTCAAAGAGGCTATAATAATGCCAAATGTTGTAGCATCTCTTATTTTCTCAATTAAAAAGTTTCTTCTTTTGAACCATAATGACTTTAGCATATTAAACTTATATATCTTTGACCCATCAAAATAATGACAAGCATTTACAGGTAAACTCATAAATAATGTGAGTAATGTTTTATCATTTGGTCCCAAAAATACAGCATCATAAATATTCAATTGATGTTCAGAAGGCAAACTGTATTGCCTTCCTATAATGGATTTATGAGATTCATTTGGATGTATTTTTGAAAATGGGACATTAGAAATACATTTTAATATAGAAAAAATCAAATTTTTATATTTTTTATATAATTTTTCATAAATGTGTTCTGTAAATAAGAATAGATTATTAACACAATTTAAAAAGTTATAAATATTATACTCAAAAATTAAAAACCTTATTTAATTTAAATTAAAATTTTTACTTAAATGAATTTAATACTATTATATTTATAATATCTTAAGATATTAATATAATATAAATATAATATTCGAAAAATGTTGAAATGTTAATGGCTATAAATAAATTCACATTATATAACAAATATTTAATATGCATTTATTATAATGAATCAAAATAATACTTGAGGTTTTTAAATAATAATAAAACACAACAATAACATTTGATTTAAATTCACTGCATTATTAAACAATTAATATAAATGAGAGAAATTTATTAAAATATTCATAAAAAAACTTATATAAAAAAATTTTAATTTACTAATTTTTACAAAAATTATCTATAATTTTTAAAAGTTACTTTGAAATTATAAAATTAATTAAACTTTAATTATACCATATCACATATTATGATTTTCTTTTAAGATATTTTGTGTATTAATCAAGTTCATATTAATTTCAAATATATGTATTGATAATTATATTAATTTATTTGTATAGTTATTTATATTTTACAAGAGTTTTAAAATATATAAATTAATATATAATTTATTTTAATAATCTGTGAAAATAATTTATTATAATTTACAAAAATTGCTTAAATTTATGAATATTTTTATACTAAAATTTATAATGTTAATAAATTATAATTATATATTACCAATTATGTATGTAAAGGATGTATCATAAAAAAGTAGAATTTCTTTGGATTCATCTTTAAAATATTCATTAAATTCTTTACAAAATAATTCTATATCAAAATATTTCTTTTGAAAAACATGAAAAGTTGGTAAATGATTGGTACAACTTAAACAAGCATGACCAAAATGTATGCATGCATCTGCTTCAAAACGATTAACAGTAAGTTTATCGATACAGCAATTATCATATGATGTATCACCAATTACATACAAAAATGCACTAGAATATTTTTGCAGATTCAATATTATTTCTACAGCATGATGCATAAGGTAATCTGGAATTTGTAGACATATCTAAAAATAAAATCCAATTCTTTGAATTTGGCAAAATAAAATAAAATAAATTAAAATAGAATTTTTTTATATATACCTACATAAAATTTATACTCATAATATACAAATATATAATTTCAAAGTATGCAATTTTTATTAATATTTAAAATATAACTAGAAAAATATTCCTAAAAAATTATAGTTTTAATAATTATTCCTTACAGAGATGATAGAAATGAAGACGAAATGGAGATAAAAGTAAAAACAGTTTAATTACTTTTTGACCATATATGAAATTTATTTATTTGTAATCTTAATGTGCATTTTTGTCAATAACAATGTATTTAACTTATTAAAAATAATCTCAATAACTAAATAAAATAATATAAATATATTAAAGACTAAAATTTTTTTATTAACAATTCATCTTTTATTTGTAATATTTTACCAAATTTTATTATTTAAAGCCGTCAAATAATAGAATAAAAAGAATAAAGTGTAATCCTACATAATATTAACAAATTGATTAATATTTGAAGTGTATATAAACTATACATTTCCAAACCTTTTGAAATGATGACTTTTTTATCCAGTTTCCACATTCTTCTAATTCAATCATATTAGAAAGTGATATTTTACAATTTTTATATCTTTCTATCTCATTTAAATTAATCAACGAAATTTTAAATTATCTAAGGTTAAATTGAATTACATTTCTGTATAAGCTATTAAGCTCATACTATTTCTTAGATCATTCTATACTACAATTTCTAAAAAAATAGAATAAACTGTTCTAATACAAAAATCAAATAAATATATTATTGTAATAGAACTTTATTTTATTCATTTTATAGCTTTAAAAATTGCTCTGAGGTATAATTAATTTGCTCTAAAATATTTATAAAAATAAAAAATTATTTATAATTAATAAGACATTGATTCTAACCTCGAGAATTTCCAATATAAATAAACTTCTAAACAGATTTATTTCCACCGTACCATGAACATATTAAAATCCTATATCTAATTTATTGCCTTTTTAAATAATGGATTTATTAAATACAATTTATACTATTAATACAATAAAAGTATTCTATAGATTGAAAAACATCTTAAGCCATAATATAGTACGAAATCTTTATAAAATTAATTTTTTTATTAGTAAAACAGTACTAATAATAAATAAGTCTAATGAATTCCTTTAATATTATTATTAAATTTAAAAAATTATAAAATATTAAATTCTTAAAAAATTCATTACATTTTGATTAAAAATGGATGTGATATATATATGCAATAGTACATTTTAATGCATATCAATAAATCCAATTATCTTCTCTCTCTCTCTCTCTCTCTCTCTATATATATATATATATATATATAATAATAATTTTTAATTCTTAAAAAAAAAAAAAAAAATATTTATATCTATTTATTTAGTAAGAATAATAGTTTAGAAATTATTTATTTTAATTATTTTTGGTACATTATTGAATTTTTTGAAGTTAAATGTACTACTAAATTTAAAATAATTTTTAAATTAAATTGAAGAATTTATTATTTATAAATTATTGCTCACATTATTTATTATTTGTAGGTAGATTATGAATAGAATTTTTATAATTAATATTGATTGTTTAAAAAAATTATGTAAATAATATACTTAATATATTTATCATTATAATCGACATGTAACTAAAAAATTTTTTATACAAAAAATTATATCGTTAACTACTAATCATATTTTTTTGCTATATTTCTAACATGCTGTTCGAAAATCTACTATAATTAGAAATAAGTAATTAACATAAAAATTAAAAAAATGAACTATTTATTTATCATTTTTGCACGATTATACCATGAGTAATAGATTGTTATGAAATTGATATTTTATGGTGTATTTTATAGGTCTTATTTTAGATCTTTAGATACTTTAGATCTGGATTAAATATGAAGTTAATGTAATGCAATTATTTACAACACCAAAATAAAAAATTTATATATATATGAAAATTTAAATTAAAGGATATAAAAAAAAAATACACGGAAAATTTCAATTAATTCGATCGAAACGATTTAGTATGCATATATGAAATCTTATTATAATATATGACCGTAAACTCATCTTCATGTACAAAAATATAATGAACAATGTCAATGTAAAATATTATAGAAAATTAAATGAAACAAATTTTCTATATTATGTATTTTAGAATTATAAATATAAACTTATTATAATTATCAAATTTTTTTAATTAATGCATAAAAATTGCAACTGTGATACAAAATTTTACAACTGCATAAAAATCTTAAGTTAAAAATATTTTTGTTATTATTATAGAATATTTTTAATTGCAATATAATTGACATACCAATTATTTATTATTTCATGCTTTTTAAATTTACATCTAGCACGACGTATAGCGGAGATTATGATATAGTTGCGCATGTTCACTCGACTCTAATACATTTTTGGTTAGAAAAGCGTATGCCATTGGTAATGGCAAAAGGATTGATTGTTGTTAATAGTGTATTTCAGGGAAATTAAGTAAGTGTAGTAAGCTTGTTTAAATACTAAAAAAAAAATGTTTAATTTTATAAGATATATCTCCAGAAGAATTAAGAATTGTATTAGAGCACTTATTTTTCATTATTTTCTGGAAAAATTATTATTGAGCAAATTAAATAACATGGAGAAATTGGCAAAATTAGACATATATTTGAATATTTTTGTTTCATCTAATTTAAAGTTTAGTGACTCGGTCAGTCATAATTTACTTAGTTTTTCTCGTAGAACAATCTTTATATATATATATATATATATATATATATATAAATTTATAATACATAGTTAACAATGGCTAAATTTGCTAATATTCCTAAATTATGTAGAGTAATAATAAGATAAATTATTAAAGTGAGGTAAGGTTTAATAGAAAATGAAATAAAGTTACTTAGATAATATTAAAATTAAGTCAACTTGCAAATTTTATACATTTATTTTACTACTTTTTGTGGCATTACTCAAAGACAGAATAAGCTTTAAATGAATAAATAAAATTATTGATTTATATATTATACAAAACTTAAATAATCGAAATTCAATTATAATACAATTAATTAACTGGATATTAATTTGCTTTTGAATATATTGAAAAATAAAAGTTAATACTTAATTATTTAAAAATGTTGATGCAATATACTTTTAGTGTAAGGCTTAAAAATTTTAATGTATTGTGATTCATATTTTAATTTTATATGGATATAGTGAATAAAATCAAACACAATTTGTTAATCTATGTATGACAATATGAAATTTGTAAATCAATTACAAAATGATTTTACTTTTTCTGTAGTACATTAAAGATTAAAATTTATGTATAAAAAGATTATAATTGACTGAGGAATATTTAATAGTTTTTTATTTGAGAACTACAATTTATATATTTTTAATAAGTGTAATGATCTTAAGATCAAAAAAGTAGTTGCTATTTTTCAATGTTATATGTATTAAATTAGTTTGTATTTTATTCATTTTTATTCTTTTGAAAAAATTGTGCCATTTGAATTTATGTATAAATTAATTTAAAATATTTATATTTATATTTTATTATTTATATTACATGAGTTAAGTATTAGATAATAATAGTTATAATTAAATGAACTTAAATAAAATCTTAATAGATTTTTTTACTTTTAATTTGAAATTTATATGCAATAATATTATGTAATACTTAAATAATGTTTCAATACTATAATTAAATATACTTCTTATATTTATTTAACAATATTCTTTAAACATAAAATGTTCAAAGTTATTACATTTGATCATAGTAGTATATAAATTATATATAGTTTTAAATACAAAATATTAAATTTTATTTTGCGATAAAGAATGATTTAATATAAAATATATTTTACATATAATCATTATATGTATTTATCAGATAATTTAGCAATTAAGTCAGTGTTTATATCAAATTATAAGTAACGTATTTATTAAGTCATAACTTGTGATTATATAAATTCACATATAAAATTTGTTCAATGTGTTACAACAAATTAATGGTATTTTTTTTGTTTATGTTTAAATTAATTTTATATGATATGAATTGGTAAATATATATATCAGAATTATTTAAAAATTATATTTAGTAGACTAATATAAATTGTTTAATAATTTAATATTGAAAATTTTTATATTTAATAAATATTTGTATATTTTTAAATTCCTTGTGTTTGTAATAAATAAATATTTATAATATATTGAATTGTATGTGTATTACTTATGCTTATATGTTATTTAATAAAAATATTTATTATTTATAATTGAGATAATATATTTATATACTTTTGTTCTAATTATAATGTAAATATTGAAGTATCTTGTATAAATTGGAAATGAATATTCTCTATAATATTCTCATTTGAAAAGTAATTTAATAAAACAGGGTAGAGATTGGATTTGACAAAAGTATACAATATTGAGTTAACTTATCTTTATAAAGCTATTTTCTTAAAAGTAAACAAATTTAGGTAAAAAATATGTTTTGAGATTAAATATTCATTGACTACTACATCATCTAATATATTTCAATATTGAGAACTTTATACTGTTAAAGACTAAAGTAAATGAATTTCGTAGATAATCTAATATTAAAAAGGTAGAAATAAAATGAAAATATTTAAAATTTATGGACACTATTCTTTAATATTTTGCAATATGATTCAGTATCATGTATATGTTAATTATGAATTATAAATAAGCATAACAAATTTATTGCCCTGCATGTAAGGCTTGTGTAGGTTTAAATCTTATAATGATTAAAATAAAATATTGGCTTACTATAATATGTAATGATAAATAAAACATTTCAAAAATTTATCAGCGTTATCTTAACAATCTTTTTACATTTAAAGATGTTTAACGTTAATTCTAAAAATAACATACTACGAATTGCATAAATAATATCTTGCCTTAATGTTAATTTTATCTAAATAACGTATAAATATTGTTAATATTATAAATAATTATAAAAGAAAAGGCTATTTTTGTCATCAATAACTAACTATCAATGTACATAAAAAAGTGTTTTTTAATTTTAATTTAAATTAAATAAAATAATTCTAAATAAATTAAAGAATGTAACCAAAATTTATTTATTTTTAAATTTACTTTGTACGTTTGGACTTTTAATTTTCTTATTTATATAAAGATTTATAAAAAAAAATGTTAAAATTACATATTTTAAATTTAATTCACTAATATTTATTTAATTTTCATCCAACAGAGTAGTTTACTTGTATAAATTTTATGGAACATTTAATTTAGTTTTTTCTTATTTTATTTATTTATCATTTAAATGACTCAAAATAATAATATTCTGTCAATTTGTTATTACAATTTTAGTAAATGTTTAACTTCTGTGATAAAATAGAATAATCCGATTTCATCAATTTTTATTATTTAATATTATTTAGTCTTGTTTCAATTGATTATAAAAAAAAATTAATTAGTGAATAATAATCTAAATATACTAAAAATTTAAGACAAAATACAAATACTAAAAGACACAAATCATAATATATTTCATATTAATTTAAACGAAGACAAATAAAGTGCAAAAATCGTAATTCAGGCGAACAATTAATTAATTCTGAAGAATAACGGCGATGAATACAAACAGCTACTTAGTAATTAAAATAGGGTAAGCCTCTATTTGATAAATATTAAAAGATGTAGTTTTGAGGAAATATTAATTTACAAAATGTTCAACAAATTTTGATTTTAAATATAAATGAATTTAAAAAATGTTTAATAAAGACAAAATATAAATTTTACTTATAACGAGTTATCATAGAATAATGAAAAATTAATGTCAAACTAGCTTTATCGAATTTTATTTTATAAAGTAATTATAACTTATGAATCTTGTAAAATTTTACTTTTTACTATGATCCTATTCTCAAAGATCTAATGTTTCAAATCGAATTTTTATATATATGTTTGTATGAGTACATATAAAAATTGAAATAACATTTTATTACTTTATTAAAAATATTTATATTTTCTATGAATAATATAAATTCGTCTAATTTTTATTGAGTATTAATTTCTATCAAATTAGTTACTTTCATTATTAATAGTTAATGTTTTAATTGTATATTTGTTATAGATTCAACATTTTGGATTGGATTAATTCAATATAAATTTCAATATGATGGATGTAAAAGATTCTGAAAGTTCAGATGATGATCCAGATTTTGAAATTACTTTAGAACATGAGTCATCTGATGTTTCCTTACCGTCAGAATGTGAAGAAAGTAATGATACCAAAACTAATGATACACATGAAAAAAATCATAAAAAAAGAAAGAAAGATATTACAAATAAAAAAAATGTAATAGATAAAAAACACAGCTGCACAAAAAATAGCTTAGATAGCAACGATCTTATATTATTTCCAAAAGAAGAAAAGGCAAGAGCAGAGTCACTGTGGCAAAATTTTTTAAAGGACACAGGTATATTTTAGAGTTATTTATAAAAATAATTGAATTTAATGTCCCATATTTGGTTTTAAAATCTGTTACATTATTAAGTAGATTTATTTGATGGCTTAACTCCTGATTTTCAGAAGAAAATTATATTAAAAAATGAAACTGATTGCATATCAAGACACAATGAATTTAGTTACATTGTTGTAAAAAAATAGAATAAATTTTTTTAAATATAACAAGAAATAAATAATAATATATAAAATTTTTAATTACTGCTATCAAATTAACAAAAACACTAATTGATTATACTGGAAATATATTGTATAAATATATAGTTAAATAGAAATAGAATTTTTCATCACATAGAACAAGCAATTAATAGGAAAAGAATCTCTTCAAATCATGAAGAATAATAGTAACTACTACATACTACATTTTCATGCGGCTATGTAATATAAATAAACTATATAGTTACTAAATTGCATTACATATTACGTTAAGTAAATGCTGTCAAAAATAATAAATAAATTCAACTCTCTCCTACAGTGAAATCAAAAGCAAAAGTGGTACACAATTGTAGGACATATATTAATTTACTTGATATTTTAATTTTCTATTTATATATTAGCGAGGTATTTATAATTTTGGTTCGAATATCCTCGTCGTCTTCAAATGATATAAGGAGTAATTTAAATGATTATCTTTTAGTTTGGCATGTATATTTGCTGCGGCTTCACTGGAATCTATTATAATCACCATTGGTATCCATTGGTACGTTGTATATACACTCATCGTGATAATATTTTTCTTTTCTCGCATTTATCGTGTATATTAAATTTCACGTCCTTTTTCATTTCATCGGCACTGAACTATAACATTTTAATGTGCTGTTAATATATGAAATATACAATTAAGCATGAGATTAACGTAATTAAAAACATTCGCTTTAATAAATTTAGATAAATTACAATTATTTTTGCAGTGATTATTCTTCTAGGCAATAAGATTTGTAAATACTAATAGAACTAAAGAGATTATATAGGTATTTTCGATTTATCTAACTGCGGAAATAATTTATGCCATTGATCTTAGTTAAATATTTGAAGTTACTACCCTTTATAGTATAAAGAGGACTGAATAATGAATATGTTAGGATTGTCGAAGTAATACGATTAAAATTCATAACAATTACTTATTATCGATCAGACATTTTTGTCTTCCTATTTGTCAGACGTTCATCGTACAAAATTTTGTAATAATAATGTTTCTTAATAGTAAAAATAAATTCCAATATTTATATTAATATTTGAATATAATTGTTATTTATAACAAGTGAAATTATTATTTGTGACTTTATTTTTGTATTTGCAGACATCTTGGCTTCATATAAATATTACTTTTTAAATTGTTAATGATTTAATTCTCATATAATTTTCATCAATTAGTTAACGTTAATTAAACAAAAATAAATATGATTATTGCAACAGAAAATATACTTGTAAAAATTCTGTTTTCCATAGATTAAACCGTCAAAAAAAAGATTCTTTCATTATATTAAAATTTGAATAGTTGAAAATTTATTGAAAGAAATAGAAGGATATATATATGTTTTTATTAATATATATTAAATGAAAATATTCTATTTTTAAAAATTAAACGTCAAACTTTAAGACTTTCTTTTACTTGCCAGAATTTCGATTGTTAACATCATTCATAAAAAAATTAAAATTTAATACATATGTTACTATTTTTAAAAGAAAAATATGATATACATGTACATTCTTATTATTTGGCACTCACATGTGATAAGAAATGTTATATTTTTATTTTTAAAAATGGTCACATTTTTGTTTGTAACTAAATATTTTTTGTTAATTTTCGAATTATTTTGAGTAAAAGCAGTCTTTAAAGATAAGGCTTTAAATTTAATTTGTGTTAATGTTTTTTAAAACTAAAGTAATATTTTTAATAATGTAGTAACAATTCTAAGAAAAAATTTATAATACACAATGACAATTGTTTAAAGTACCTTAGATTGGTATAGAGATGAAAATATTAAACTGATAAATAAATGATATATTGATATATATATTTGAACCGATGACAGTATCAAAATACATAATGAAATTTAAATAATCTAATAATATATGTGTTAAAAAATATAGTTTTGATACCTTCATTTTTGTAATTCTTACATATGAAAATTTTAAATATTTAAATATTCATCTGGGTTTACGGCTATACCTATCATTTTCTGTCTTTGTTTTCTATAATTTTTTTTGTATGGCACGTTATCCAATTGGCAATGAGATTATTTATTTTTATTTATATAATTAAATTTATTATTAAAGCAACTTTTTTATAAATAATTAAATGTTATTACATTGATATATTATTAATAAATTGTATCGCATTATTACAGCTACTTCGTCAAAAAAACAGTCACATAACAGTACAACTATCTTGTCTACAAATAATTTAGAAATCAATTCTAATTCAAGTAAAGAAGTAAATAAAAAACAGATAAAATATAATTCACTTATTGCGAATGCAGATGATACAAATGCTAATATTGTTATTGAAAAAATAAGAAATGACAAATCTTCGCAGATTCTATCAAACAAAGATAAAGATAAATTGGCAGCGTCATCACAATTACATATACAAGAAAATATTTACAAGAAACGAAATATTTCTAATATGTTAAGTAATTTAAAAAAAACAACGAAATTGACTACTTTAGAAAAATCGAAACTTGATTGGAATAAATTTAAAGAAGAGCATAATCTTGAAGAAGAAATATCTTGTTTTAATCGTGGAAAAAGTGGATACTTGGAAAGGCAAGATTTTTTACAAAGAACGGATTTAAAACAATTTGAAATTGAAAAAGAACTACGAAATGTAGGAAAAAGAAAACATGATAAAGTATTTCACACATAATACTCTTCATGTTTCCAGTCCATCGCAACAGTTCTTTATAAAATTATATCACTGAAAGTTATATTAAATTATAATTTAATCATATAATTAGACATAGTCTTCAACATTGTAAAATAATATAATTATTCTAAATAAACAAAAGAAAATACTATTTTTATATTATTTTATATATTTTCAATATTTCCAACAAATTATCATTTTCAATAGAATAACAAAGTCACTATTTTAATTGCATTTAGTGTGAAATTTTGTTTTATTTATAATAAAAACGCATTTATGGATATAAATAAATAGATCCTTAACATTTTAAAAATTTCTCTTAGCTTCAAATTAATTTATTGCATTTGATAATTTCATATCTTTGACAATATACTCGACTTAAACATTTTTAGTAGGGTCACTTTGATTTGAATTTTATTTGCAATATTATATTTTATTTTTTCAATTTTTTTCTGTTTAGTATTTTGCTAATTTAAAAACTTGGTAAAAGTTTGAACAATAATAATTAGATAAAAGGTTTTCTTTGATTGAAAATATTTTTTTTTTTAATTAAAATGTACATATAGTTATGTTCATAAAAAAGTAAAACATAAAACAAACGTACCTTTAAATTAAAGAAATATTTTATAATTTCTGAATAGTTACCTGAATTTCAAATTCACTATAACGAATTTATCGAAATCATTCAATGATTTAAACTATAAGTTACAATAATGTGTATTGGTTGTTATATTGGTAAAAATAAATACAACTTTATATTGTGTTTTAAGAGAATAGTGAGAGCTTCAAACCAAAGTTCTTGAATAACATTTAATTGTTGTAAGGATAACCAGCGTTTTTTTTGAAAGTTAAGTTTGATAGTTTAAAAATTTTTATTTTTATTAATAGTTTCTGCAGCATAAATATGAAGTAGTTGGTTATTACGACTATTATGATAGTTGGATGACCACTATGCAATGAAATTAATTATTGACACATGAAATAAGTTATTTACTTATTAAATTTACTATGAAATTGCTACAAAAATTTACTGTGGTTTAAGGTTTTATTTCCATCATTTATCTAATTAAATTAACGATATTTTAAAAATAAAGATTCTGATAAATTATATTGTTCAAACAAAAAACAACAAGAATACTAAAATATTATTGAATTTGATAATTAAAAAATCAATTAAACAGTGTAATAATTATAAAATACTAATAAAATCTTTATTGTTATATATTATAATAAAAAAATTTTATTTAAAATTTATATTATTTTTATTAATAATAGCATATCTAATAATCATATATACATAGCGATGAAACACCATTATTTAATAATAGGGGGAATTTCTTTCCATGTTGACAATAGGTGCAAAACAACTAAAAGAACTACATGAAATTTATGATAAATGAAATTGCATTTGATCTGAAGTAGAATAACTATATATAATTGGTGTTTCTGATGATGTAACATCATTTGGAGTAGCTATAGTAAAAATTTGGTCCTCATAAATAGTTGAATGAGAATTTTCATTTTTTCTATCCTCATTATTGCAAACAATACCAGTGTTTGATGAAGGATTATCTCCTTTTGTTGCTTCCCTGTATTTTTGTAAGTACATTTTCAATGGCTCTACATAATTATCAAATCCTAAAGTTGTCATAGCAAATAAAATATCTTCACCATTAATAGTTTTTCTTTTTTCCATATGACAACGATCACTAGCTTCTGATGTAATGAAAGAAATAAATTCAGAAACACATTCTTGAACACATTCTCTAGCATCTTTTGCTATTTTTCCAGCTTCTGGAATAGCCCGTTTCATAATTTTTGCAACATTGGCAATGGGAAGGAAACGGTCCTGTTCTCGTAATGGACCACTAGAGGAAGACATATTAACTCCTTGTAAGGGATCACAATTTCCAGGATTTGAATCATCTGTATTTTCAGGATCATCTAAAATAAAAAATGTATTATTAATAAATTTTAAAGTAATATGTATATAATATGCATCTATTATAATGTAACTTCATGATAATTAAATATCTTTGCATGATTATTTATTTTTATTATTTAATTTTTTTATTTACATTTAAAATTCATAAATGATAATCATTTATATAGTATAATAAAATAAATATAAAAATCTTTAAATTATTAACCTACAGTTAATCTGTATAACAGATTGGTTATATTAATAAAGGTAAATAAACATTACTAAAATAAATTTGAATAAATAATTCTTATCCTTTTTAATTTTGCTAATAGGATTACATAAGTTTATAGATAATATTGAAAAATATTTAAAAATTCGACTTTTGAAAAATTACTGGATTAATAAATACAATAATGCAATTTAGTTAATACATATACGAATACAATAAAATATAAAGTTCTAAAATCGTTTTAAAAATTTTTATATAAGAAATTATAAAGAATTATGATCACAGTATATGTATTTAATACTTCATATACGAACTAATTACGTGCAATATATTTAATATTAAAAATTTATAAAAGCATTTAAATTGAAAATTAATAAATTTCACATGATTAAAATTCAATCAATAAAAGATACTAAAGTTTGATATAATTAATATTATAAATTAAATTAAAGTAAATTAAATATATAAAGTATATGATATCAACTTCATTCAAATATTATGTTTAAAAATAAATTCAATATCCAATAGTGTTAATGTGAACCTTAATTAATTTTCTAAGCTTGTAATTTTTAAAAGATTAAATACAAATGAATATTTAAAATGCCTCACATTACTTAATAAATAGATAAAAAACTGAATATGTTATTCACATTATACCAGAAAAATTTGGAAAATATTAACACAGAGATTGTAATTAACCTATTCGATTTATATAATACAATCTTTAATTCTATAAAACAATGTAAAATTTCGTTATAATAAGAGTTTTTAAATAAATAAATAACTAAATAAAGGGATGTAATAGTTATTCAAGCTTAAAAAATACTTCTTGTTGGTAAATTAAATAATTGTTTTTTGGTGCAATACATAATTATGTCAAGTAAAAGACAATTTTCAACATAATTTTTAAAGAAGTATTATTTATGCAAATAAATATTATAATATTTACCAAAATAAAAAAGAATTCTTAAAAAATTAACCTTCCATGTCATCCGATTGCATACTGATGTACGAGCTAGCTATACTGCTACTAGCGAGAAATGCCGTAGTACCTATTGAACCACTGTCTTCTCCACTTTCACCGCTGTTTTCCATTGAATTTTATTATATTTTAATTAATAATTGTACAATGTAAACTAATGTTTCATAATATAAATTTATTACATTATACACCACTCAACAAATTTTGAAAATTATCAACCACTAACGTATTGATAAACATTAAAAGGATGGAAATATAGTATATCCTTTATACGCATGCGTAAAAAATCTAAATAGTTTTGGCTTTGTGGAATATTTTTAATATAAACAACAAATGTTATTTGAAGAATTTTATTTTAATTTTTATCGATCTTCATAGGTTATGAAATATTTAGAATTCAAAAAAAATTTTAACAATATTAATATTAAAAAATTTTCAATTAATACATATGAAAATATTTAACTCTAATGTCATATTAAAAACATTCAACAAATAAAACAATAAAATGATTAAAGTTTTATAATTATTTTATAAAAATTTCTAAAAATGTCATATAAAAGTATCCGAAAACTATCCGATTAAAAGAACATTATAAAGTAAAAAAAAAATATTATTTATTACATGCAAGAGCTAGAGGCATTAAACATATATATATTATTAACAGATGTAAATAAAGTATTTCAATTTCTTAATATCTTCGATTATTATAATTTTTCATAATTATTTTTTTTATTTGCTTTCATTCTTATTTCAAATTTGGTTCTATTTTAGTTTCAATTAATGCTTAAGATCTGATTATTATTTTCTTTATAATTTTAATCTAAAATAAAAATTGAAAACTTATTCTTAGTACTAATAAATGTGCATTAAAAAAATAAAAGAATAGTTATGATTTTTTAATAAAATTATGAATAGTTTGGGATAGAATTTTGTAATTCCAAGATTTTGAGTTTCTAACCAATAATTTATTGACGCATGCGTATATTCTATTCTACCTTAAGTGATCTTTATTATCTTGATTAATTCAGATTATTTATGCAAAATGAGAAATGGCAAATGAAAAGAAAAATATAGCCAAGTTGGCAAATCATGATACGTCATTTATTATATTTTTATTATCAAATTTGGATATGATATGTTTCAAACAATGTATAGCATTATTTCCATAACGTTCAGATAATGCACTTCATCCACCACATCATTACATAAATTCGATAATTTATTCGTAATTATAATTTTATCTTTAATAAATCAACATAAAGAAATAATGTTATATATATTTCTTATATTTTGTTAAAATTGTTTATATTAGTTAGTTATTACAAGGAAGTGGAAGATATAAATTTGTTATAATAATATTTTATTAATATTTGTGACAAATGGATACTGCTAATATTGCAATCAAGAAAACGTAAATATTATATTTTATAATTTATGAATAGCATGAATTTTAACCTTTTCAATATTTATATTTTTAACAGGAATTTATAAATTATTATAAGTAATTTAAACTAATTTGTGTAATATGTATTCTATTTGTTATTATTTGAAAAGTAATTTATGATAATTAAAGTCTTGATATTCTAAAATTCTTTACAAAATTTTCATTTTATTATTAAATTCAATAATGTGCTAATTATTTTTCAACTATTTATCAATATAATACACATATTTCTGCTTTCATAAACTTAAAAAATTTATTTCAATTTAATTTCTATGATATATATTTTCTCACAGAATTAAAAGATTAATTGAATTGAAAATAAACAATAGTTTAATATTAATATTTGTTTTTACATTTACTTTATCATGAGTCGAATAACTCTTTTAAATTATTAGTTTGTCACAAAATGCAAAGGTAAAATAAATTAAAATAGAAAAATATCAAGATACCTAAAATAGATTAAATTAAAATGTTTTAAAAAATGTTAAAATTAAACTAAAAATTCAATGGTTTAAGCTTTAAGAACAATAGGTCTACAAAATATTGGTATAATTAAATATTAAGACACCTTAACAATATTAAAGAAATTAATTTTTATAATTATTTTCAACAAGATTAATAAATAAAAAATGTTTAGGTAATACTGTATAACTTTATATTGATTCATATGAAAGGTGAGTTTTAGATTTTATAATGTTTTATAAAATATTTGAATAAAAATTGAAATTATGTAAAATATAAATCTTATATAAAATATGTTTAAAATATTTAAGATTCTTTACATATTAAGAGTATTGTGTTAATTTAACAAATATGTCAACAGAAGCTTCATTACTATAAATTAAATATTCATCAAAGAATAATTTGTAAATTATAATTCCTAAAGTGCAATAGCTCCTCGGAGAAAATAAATTATGTATAGCACATATTGAATATTATGGTTAATGTTTACGCATAAATAGAGTATTACTATTAATGTGCAATTATGCTATAAAGTATAGGGATTATATTACAAGAGGATGTAAAGTTGTAACAAAATAAAAGTCATCAATTGCATTAGTATGTATACAAATGTGACATAGGTTGTATTTAGTATATTTATTATACATCTATATAAATAGTTTTTCAGATTTTGGATTTTACTTTCTTGATTGCTAAAAAATTTGATAATGATAAAAATTATAAACATTTAATTTTTATATAAGTAATGGATAAATTAAGAAAAGTAGAAACTTTCAAATAATTAATAATTTATTATTTAAGTTTAATACGTTTATTATTTAAATTAAATTGTTACACAAGTAATTTATTAATTATAAAATTAAAATGGCAAGTAAATATTACAATCCTTTTAAATAACACTTTATGAATATTCTACATTGTGAATCTGAAGATAGATTCACTTTCATTTAATGAATTTTTTTTCAACTTTAGCACCAGTTTAATCTTTAGCAATCATTTACGAAATTCGTACTATTTTGTGTCTCAATCACTATAGGTGCATATCCTATAAGCACTAATATTAAAGCAATCTAAACGGAGTTATGGATCACTCACATTATATTTATTACATTAAGAAAGAATATACTAATATATTTATATATATATATATATATATATATATATATATATATATATATATATATATATATATATATCTATTCTTTTCTATTTTCATATAGTAAAATCCATTTTTCTATTGTAGTATGTATGAAACTACTACTTTATTTATTTTATCGAAAAAATCTTTTGAGATTTCAGTACCAAGTTATTTATCATCTAGTAATTCACACATCATTGATGTTATATCAATGATTATGTTGATATCACATATAATGATAGATCATATTTATTCAAATTCAAATTTAAACAAATTCTTATTTTCTGAATCTTGAAAATTCTTAATCACTTTTTAAGCTTTGTTGATGTATCATATATCCAATTCTTTTATTTAACGTAAATTTTTTTTCGAAAGTTAATAATGAGTTATAACGTTGGATGATGATAATCTTATTTTTGAACACATAAAAATAGTATAAATTAAGCATTAGTATTATTTGAGAATTAATATTTATTATCACTGACCTCCAAACGTCTTTTATTACTATTAATATAATGCCCAGTTTTTCGATCATTACACTTGGCCCTGTATTGGTATTCTTTGTTATATACAATAAACTACCGCTAAGGTATTCCTTTCTATCAAAATCGAAATCAATGTTTAAGATATATCGACTGAAAGTCGTTATAATTTATACCCTTATGGAGTTAAGGTATTTTTCTGTATAATTATATATATATATACATACATACATTGTTAACTTATAAGTTATTAAATTTTTTATTTATTTACTGATAATTGTTGTGTTTCTTATTTATTATTTATAAGATTGAAATACTAATAGCAATAGAACTCTACTGCAATTAAAGCAGGTGTATCGTTTTGAATGAGAAAACTACAATCCTTATGTCATATATAGAATTTTATTTTTTTTAATCCTTTTTTTACTGTAGTCAATTAATTTACTCATGTAACCATAATATTGAAAGTATCTGAAAAGTAAATAGTCTAATTTAGGGTACAAAAATACATAAAATGAACGTATATTCTTTTTACAAAATTTTAACGTTTTTGTACTGAATAAAATATTTATGAATTTATTAATATTATTATCGTAGATCATCTACCAACTCTAATATTTTATCATCACATCATAAATTTTTATGGGATGAAAATAATGATGCTGCAATTTCCTTAGAAAATCAAATAGCGAAAAACTATCATGATCAACTTTTCAAAGAATATTGTATAAGTGACATGACGCATTACATGACTAATCAGGTAATCTATATTTAAGATCAGTTTTAAAAGAAAATCATTATGATGTGTTTTATATAATATTATAAATTATAAAATAAATAGACAAATTACTTAAATTAATTGAATATATTATTATTATAAACTCTAGTTCAATGTTACTTTCTTCCTACGTATTTACTTACATTTTTAGCAGCTATCAAACATAAAGAAAGAACTATTTTACATTGTACAGTCATTATCATAAGTAAAGGTTGATTTAAAGTAATTTAAAGTAAATAAAAATATGTAATAATAGCTGAGAAGATTATATAACTAAAAAATAAAATAAAATTGTAACTCTTAGTGAAAACTAAATTAATAACGTTAATATATAAACATTATAATATATAAATAAAGGAAAAATTTTATTAAATAATTTAACAGACTTTAAAATATATATTAATATACAAATTATAGAAGAATGCAAAAAATATGCGAGATTTGTTACTATTCGTATTCTGTACTTTGAAATATATGTAGTAAAAAAGATTAATTTGATATACGTATTATTCGTATTGAACTTTAGTTGATAGTGTTACATTCGTGTTTCATCTATTATGAATTATATAAAAAAACGTTTAGATGTTTTAAACTTCTTTTCAACAATCTCAACATTGTTGTTTATAGATAGCATAGTTGCCTTTTTATACAGGCTGTATTGTATAGAAATCTAAATGTGAAAATTTTCTCATATTTATTATTGTTACTTCATTATTGATGTTTAAATTTCTCGTTTGTATTGAACATTCAAATTGTGTGATATAATCGATAATGGAAAAATGAATTAAAATTTATGAAATCATCTATAAGTAAGTTTATTCAGAAATATTTTTTCATTTAATAAATACGTTCCTTGACTTCAACATAAATATTCAACCTGTATTATTGCATTTTCTTATTTAGGTTAAAGCCACTGTCACTTACTTTTTATGCCACACTTACTACTTAAAATTCTCTCGTTAATGTAGTCGGAGTGAATCACGTATTTTGAGGAGCTCAAAATGATTTCAGCTTTACAATGAAAAGGGAAAGGTGGGCTAAAATGATCTTGATTTAAATAACCACTTACTTTAAATCAAATGATATATAATAAATTACGATGATAGTATTTTGCCATAATGCATAGCCCAGAAATATATATTAAAATCTAATTAAATAGAAAAAATAAAATTACGACCGATTAAATACATGATTAAAAAATAAAAAATTAAAAAAAAAAGATCTAAAAATCTAACTAAATATCGTAACAAAATTAATGTTTAAATGGACAAATAGCAAGTTTTCTACTTACTTTCACAACTTCTCTAATCTTAGACAAACACAAACATATATTTTTGTGAGCATATATATATTGATTTTGCCTAATTAATTTTTACTTAATTTTTTATTGTAAAAAATATTTTTTATCGTGTTTGAGTATTTCCGTATGATGTAATGAAACATCCTTTACGATAATTGATTAATCATATACTTTAAGTATTCTTTATTATTCATAAAAATTAATTTTCAGTATGTAATTCACAATTGTAAAATTTATAACTGATACTATGTATATATTTTTACATTATTTTAAATAAAAAAAGTAAAAAAAATTCATTATAAATAATTATTTATATATATATACAATGATCATATTTTTAGATAGCACTTAGATGGAGGACCAAGAAGGAAGTAATTTCTGGAAAAGGTGAATATATTTGTGGTGATAAAAATTGCAATTCGATCAAAGGATTAAAATCATGGGAAGTAAACTTTAAATATACTGAACATGGAAAGAAAATGAATACCTTAGTCAAATTAAGTAAGATTTTTAAATATCAATTTTAAATGTCAGTAATAGATAATTAAGTAAATTTAAGTTTTTCACATAGTGTTATTCGTTACAAATATTAAATCTGACAATAATTATTAATTTTTATTATTCACCGTATACAAAGGCAGCTTTTAACTTATTTAACCTTTATATTTAGATAAAGTCTGTCATTTCATATACTTAATATTTTAAATAGAATTCGAAATATCTAATAACGAAACTGACTATTAATTTTATAATGTTAAAGCTTACATCATAATTTAGTAACATAACTTAGTAATAGTTTCAGTATACTTTCAGTAATATTACTGAAAATATTTTATTAAATAATAAATATAAATAGTGCCATATATTAAAAATAAAGAATTGGTGTAATAGTGAACAAGAGTCAAAGGAAATAAACGATAATAATAAAAAACATTAAATGTAAAAAAGATATCCGACTATTAATGGTGATGTTCTGAAGTAAAATCAATAATTTTGAAAAATTCAAAAAAAATTAATATATTTTCACTTTCAGGATTATGCAAAGAATGCTCAATTAAATTAAATTATTGTAAAACAATTACAAAATCAGTAAAAAAAGAAAGTAATATTTATAAAAATGTAGAACTAGAATCAGAATTAATTAAAGATTCAAGTATGAAAAGTTCCATAAATGAAACTTGCAAAGATCATAATGATTATATTTCTAAATGGAATATTGAAAGTTTTAAGAAGATAGATATGAATATAAGTAAAAAAATTGATGTCTATTTACAAGATTTATTCCAATGGATCGAAACTACTTAATTTTAATTTGTTATTTTTATGAAAGAGACTGCTTATCTTGTTGTAATGATAAATTATTTTTAATAAGAATTTTTCAGTACATTGTAATTTCTACATTTTATTTCATTGATTTATTTATTCAATTATTTATATTTAATACATAAATTGTGCTTTTGTATATGAATTATTCGTTTTAATTGTGATCTAAGATCTTTATAAAATGAATATTTTAGATATAAATTAAAATTAGTAATAATGAAAAATTTGAAACAATCTGTTTGGAATTCCAGCCACCAGTGTGATCGCAGATCATGGTGGATGGATTAGACCGTACCACCGATTTAATGGTGATGGGGGGGGGGGAGAGATTAATGCATTAATTTAGAGTAAACACAATTGGTTTGTAATGACCTTTATTTAAGTAGCTGTTAATGATGTTGGTGTTATTAATTATAGTGAGATTTGTTGATTTGTAGCAATTAGGCAGTTGACCATTAAGTTGGAACGTCGTCTAGGAGTGCAAGTCCAAAGGGTGAATTAGGAGTACTGGGCACGTGCTTTAGTTCCTAAATTAACGGAGAGGCTTTCAAATACTCCCATCCTCGCTAGAGACTGCTTACACTCTATTAAGTATGATCATTCTCTCTAACAAGCATACTTGATTCCAACCACCATCTTCTCACGCTCATTCATGAGCATGATCAATTACACATTCTGATCCTTACAACATTAGCATAAAACCTAATGCTAATGAACAATAACAGATGTGAATGTTTGGTAAAAGTACAATAAGCCCCGGTGCGTAGCGAGCTACCCTTTAATATTAGCGTGGCAGCTTGCAACGCTGTTAGCAGTGCTTGGGCTCGTTGATAGACCGACAGTTTTTATGACGTTTGAACGAGGCTACAGAAAACTCTAGAAGTTTCGAAAATTCTAAGAAAAAAACAAGGCGTAGACATTACTGCTCGAAAACCATAAGCATTGCAGGCCATTTGAAACCAAAACATAACAAGTACACGAAAATTCTCGTCCAAAGTGTTTATAGAAACCTAAGAGCTAGAGAGACTGGCGATGCCGACAGTCGATGGTCTTCGAAATTGGTTCAATCCCGAATACGCATTATTAAAATATTAAAAAAATATTAGATATTAATATACTAATAAATATTATAAGAAAAACGTTTCATCATATCTGTTCATATTTTATAATTATATCCATATAGTGGCGCTTCTATGAAAGCCAAATTCATATTCGTAGAGTTTCTTCGACAACGTCTGCCAATTGGTTCTAAATCAGCATAACATTTTGGGAAAACTTCATCAATTGCTTTTATTGATTCAATTTTTGAAAATCTTTTAGTAGCTACTAGAGATGTTAATGCTTTATTCTTTACACATTCCTGTAAATATTTAAATGATTATGTTGTAATAATAATAATATACATGGAATTATTTATTATTAAAAATGAAATCGAAACTTTTAAATTAACGTATAAATATATATAAATATAAATCGTACAAAAATACCAATTATATTTTATAATTTATAATATAGCAAATATCAAAGTGGTCTAATTAAAAAGAATTAAAAGTATTCAATATGAGATTAGCTAATTACAGTATTAATTATTCATAAATTCTTTCTATATTATTAAATACACAACTATACTTATATATATAACTTTATTCTCTTATCTTTTCTGTAATTCCTTAAATTATACTTATATCTTATTTATTTCACACATTAAGTAATATTTGAAGGACTGTATAATTATTTTTAAAATTACGAATGCATCATTTGAACTATAAATAATAATACGCATAGTTATCTTAATGTTTTTATTTCATGCACGTAGTATCAATCGGATTACGATTTATATAAAAAAACCTAACCTAGTCAATGATGATAATAATAAACTATTATTTTATTTTTATATTAATTAACATCAAGCTTCCTTTCGTATATTTTTAGTGTTATATTATTACTTTCATAGATTTCAGCTTTTATAAATTAAGTTCTTCTCGAAACTTGACTAGCTATCTTTTACATATCATTAAAAAGCATCCATCATCTTCAGGATTACTAATTAAATTTCATTCACATTCTTCTGGCTTCAAAATATAAAAAAGACAAATACACGATACATAACTTTTTTATTAGTATAGCAAATTATCTCAGTTCTGCAATACCATTTCTTTTTATCATATTATTTTTATAATCTTTTTCGGTTATATTGTATTTTATATATTGAACTTTCAAAAGTGAGATGATGTGATCAATTGCGATGAAAAAGAAACTGCTACGGTTTTTAAACTATATCTCCGATATAAAATTATATTGTTGATATTAAGATTGTATAATTTGCTACGATTAGTACATAAAATAAAGAATTACATAATATAAAAGACGAATTTAAATATAAAAATTATATCACAAAAACGGAAATTATTTTAGTTTTAGCCTTTACAATATAACAACCATCAAGTAAGATATGGAAATATGAATGAAATTATATAAATACAATTTTCCTCTTCTTTTATAACTTAAAAATTAACGATATATTACTATAGTTGAATTGTTTGTTATTAAATAGTTATTTTAAAATAGAAGACATTTTCTTCTAAAATGAAATTTTGTGGCGAAATTGCGGATCTGTGATTATGATAACGATATGATTAAACAAGACAGCTGAACTCAATACAGTTTACTTTGTTTAGTAATGTATAATTATTACAATATAGTATAAAATATTAACTAATTTACCCGTTTAAATTTTCTCTTCTCAATCCGAATTGTATCAAATTTTCTGGACAGCCACCACATTTTATAGAGAACTATTGCTCTCTGTTCGATCCGGAAATTAAATTATTCTATTTTCACCACCCCTTTGAAGTTTACAAAGTTTACAAATACATAAATTGCCTTGCAATGTAGTTTTAATAAGTAAACATAAAAGGAAATTACTTACTTTGTGGGATTCTTTAATATTCAATAAAGATGCATTGCCATAATACCATGCACTGAGAAAACTGCAATTAGCTAAGTTAGCTGCTCTTATTTCAGAACATGCTACATGCCGTATATTATTAAAATCTATTTCGTTTTGACAATAATCAAACATATGTGTTAATTCGTGTACTAAAACTGCTTGTACAGTACTTTTTTTGACAGCAACATTATAGCATAATATAATCTATAAAAAAGAATCATTAATTTTTATTTAAAGAATTTAAAGATATTTAAAGAATCAATAATAATTAGAGAAAATAAATGTATTATAAATATGTATTTGTTCAAGACTAATAAATATTCTAGAATTATAATAAAAATTATTTATGTAAAGGAATTAAATTTTCAATTTAATGTAATAATATATTAGATTTTTTAAGAACAATTTTTTTATTATCTGAAACTGATTAATCAGTGTATGCGGAATTCATATAAAATTTTCATCATAAGATATAAAAGATAAAAAAAATTTATTGACAACAGGAACACAACAATTATTATGTCCTGAATTATATCACTAAGTCAATAATTAGGGTACGATGCTGACATGCACATTTTCGAATAAATACGTATTCATATTCATATTATAATATAACTTTATAATATTTAAATAATTATGTAATTTTTGTGAGGATTATTATATCTTGATACCAATACATAGATACTATATATAGATTTGTATCACCAATATATAGATTTGTAAATAGTAGATAAATCTGTTAGTGTTTTAAAATAAATAGTACAAATAACGTAGAAAAACAGCAGATAAAAAGAAAACCGTAATATTACTAAATGTAATATATTTTTAATAATACACATTATATGAGTTCGTCGAATAAAGAAAAAGTTGAATTTTTTTTATACATTACTGGTGATTAAGGGAATTATTCAGTTGGAATAGTAATAATAGTACAGTTATAATAACATTATGAGTATGGTAATAGTAATATTACTAATTAATTAATAATTAATATAACTTAAAAGGTATTTGCAGTCATAGGAAACGTAGAGGCTTAAGGGATTTGCATTATATCAAACCACAACGTGTTAAATACTATTATTATAATTAGGACTATGGTACACTGTACTTTAATAAATTTTGTTAAAGTACTTTAGGTACAAAAATGTCGATAACTTCAAAGAAAGAATCGCAAAATAATTAAGATTCAATCTTTTTTAAAATATTTTGATTAGAATTTTGTAACATTTATCCACATTAGTTCGCATTTAGAAATATCACATTACATTAAAACTGATTAAAATATTAATTAAACAGAATTAAAATTAATTTCTTCTGCAATCTGCATAATAACTTTTAACTATTAATAAAACAAGATATAAAATCAAATTAAAAATAAGGCATTAATAATAGAGTAGTATTATACTTAAATATAAACTTGAGATTTATAATTTTTAATTATACTCAATAATTTATTTATTTTAATTTTTATATTATAATGATATTTAAAAAGTATATATTTACTGCCTTAAATCGAAAATTTTCCCTTTTAAGCTTGAAGCTTTCTACAATATGTAATCTTATTATTCGATTTCAGTGTGTTCCATATTTAATTGACGAATTTTGAAACTAATGCAAGAAGATATAAGTTTACAATTGTTTTCGTCTAATTTCCAAGTATTTTTTCAAGACTTCTTATAGATTAGAAAATTGAAATATTTAATATAGTAAAAAAACAAAACTATTACAACTGAATTTAAATACAGTGTTGGATTTGGTTGAATTTTCATTTTTATTCTGACAAGAGAATGATTTCATTCTTTCATAATTATAATTAAATGGAGTAAATGAAGAATTTTTTATAATTTTAATGAATTATAATTAAATAAAAATATATTGTTACAATAAGCCTATTGCTGAAAAATTCGTAGACAACATGCAACAGAACCTAGCTCATATATTATTCAGTATTAAACGAACTTCGACAAGAACTTTTATGAATTTACCTAATTACATACCTTATCATCGCTTGTTACAGACTTGTCTGTATGATATGGTTTATATTTAATTATTATATTTGATGTAAATAAATAATTTAAGAGTTTAGTTACTTTAATAAATGTTTTCCTATTTTATATTTTACATTTATTATCATTTATATTTTGTCATACTCGTTACTGAACTCTGATTCCAGCATATATCGGTATATTACCTAGTCTACAGGATTGTACTATTATAATAATAATTTAAAAAATCTTAAAATGTAAAAGACCAATTTTTTTAATTACAATAGTTTAAATTATTATAATAACATTAAACAGTATGGAAATTTGTAGTAATATTTATAAATATGTGTGTTTAATATACCTGATTAAAGTTTGCATCAAAACCACCGCTTACTGTATTATGACAGTATTCACAAGCTAAGTGTCGTTCAATATGAAAGTCACTGAAATATTGGTTTATTCGAATATTAGTAACAAAAATATTCATAAATAAATAATAACATATTATTTAATTATTATTACTATATCAGTGTTTTAATTAATATCATGTAAATTACAAAGTTTCGCAACTAACTCAAGTTATTGAAACAATGAACAAAAGATATTTAAAATTTATATTTCAGTTTTGCTATTTGTACACTTTATCTAAAGATTAGAGATAGATATTAGATTGATAATTAACATACTCATTTTATGTAATTACTTAGAAATAGCCTTTTTCAATTAAGACTAAATTTTAGATATTAAAACTCACACGTGAAGGGTATTGGTAGCTAGTAATTCAATCTTATTCATGAAGTGTATCAATTTAAATCCTCAAAATTATTTAAAAATATACTAGAATATAAGTAAAATAAAAATGTGGAAATAACAGCGAAATAAAATAGCACGATAATAATAGAATTGTTAATAAGAATAGAAAGTTTTTTTATTCATAGTCTGAAGTATTAACTATGAAATACTAAAGTAAACTTTATAAACAAGCTATCACATGTAAATACTAATATATATACTAAACTCTGACCACTTGTTACGGATTAAAAACTTGAAAGTCGAAAGTGGGAGAGGTATGAATGCGTAATTCAGTTCAAATACTAGCAATGAACGTTCCAGGCTATATCATGATGACGTCACGACCAAAATCGTCATGGTAACAAACATCAGCGTTTGAGAAATAGGGTGATAATATTTAAGGGTTAAGTTTGCCTCAGTCTATTTATTAACCATTGCACAATCATTATAAAACGCACTATATATTTTCGACTACATCTACAGAAACTACAGTTTAACAACATAATTAATAATAAATTAAGCAATAATCTACGAAAGAAATAGTGACATTTATTTAAATTCTTAATAACATATTAGTGACCATAAAACAATAGTGAAACATAAAATATATTGAAGCAACACATACATAAGATAAGACCGATGTAATAAAGGCTCGGCATCAACCACACCTCATAGATAAGACCGACGTAATAAAGGCGCGGCATCAACCATACCACTATTATCAACAATTTAATGTATGTTAAGACAGCATTTATTAATTATACAACAAAGGAAGAAATACATTCATAATACGTAACAATAAAGGAAACTTTATATTTAATCTATTATATCATTTATACTTCATAATTAATTATTTATTATTATTATATTTAATAAAGAAACAACGATAAACATTAAAAGTAGTCTTGAATAATTGCACTGTCCCTTCACTTACCAGCAATACCTTCACCCACCATCTAAGGAGGTTTTTAGTCTGATCCCAGACACCACTTTATAAACCTTCATTCTAGAGCTTATTCTCTATTCTCTACCTTAAATCTCATTTCAATAATTATATTTTGATTACCATTATTTCACTATGCGAACACAAAGAAAATGTTATTAATACTATTAAAAGAAACTATATCAAGTATACATGCAATGTATACAAAGCATTTTTTAAGTACAAAGATCTATCAGTATAACTTGAAAACTTTGTATAATATTAAATATCAAATACAATCAATGAAAACTGTTTTATATTCCTATTTTTTCTCTTAAATATTGCAAGTAACTGCAGCGACTAAAGCGACACTAATTGTAAAGTAAACCTATATATTTTTTAAAATTATTATTGTAGCCTTGATTTTTGGTTTGCATATCGTTTATTGTTTCGGATGTTTGAGTCATCTGTTTTCTCTAATTTATAATTATATTTTACCTATTAAATTAAAATATTTTATATTAGACCATAAGTATGGAAGGTCCACCTCAAGTAACTCAGTGCCACTTAGGATATAGATTGGCTAGATTCATTGTTTTTATTTAAAAGGATATTTATTTAAATTTAAAATATAAATGCTAGTTGTATCATATATAAATAGGATGCCCTTATAAAGGTTATTAATTACGATTAGAGATCACGATTCAATGAGACTGAGAAGATTCTACAATGTACTTTAAATTAAGTACATACTCTAGATTATTAAATAATAAAAATGAAATTCTAACTTATCTAAATTTTAATATATATTTGTTTAAGTTAAGCCAATATTTTAAAGGAAAGAAATACTTTGATTTAACATTAATATTAATTAATATGTATTAATTGAAAAACACTTACCAACCTGAAGCTTGTAAAGCAGCCAGCATTATTTTAACCAAGGGACCTAAAAATATTTTGCAATGGATAATTACATACAAATAATATTGCTGAATTAAAATTTTATTTTATATTATTATGCAATAATAAACTTCCAACAAATATTAGAGCGACTCTAACTATAGAAAATTAAAAATTTAAAATAATATTTAATAGGTTTTGTTTAGTTTAATAGGAATATTTAAAAAAAATTTTAATATTAAACATATTATTCTTAATAAATAATTTTTAATAAATACTGTATAATATTAATAGTATTTAAGCTCTTAATTGGAAATAAATTGTCTTTATTTTTTAATGTATATAAAAGTGTTTAAACTGTGCTAAATTATGTTTGTAGTAAATTGTATTAACTTGTACTAAAATATGATTTTTCATTATTCAGTTTATGTTTTATTAAATTTTATTATATAATAAAATTAAGTCTTATTTAAATATCAGTATATCAAACAAGTATCAATTAAATATTATTAACTCTTTCATTCTTTATTTTCAATATGATGTATTAAATAATAAAATTAGAATAAGTTAATCGAAATTCATTTTATTATTTAAAAAATGTATTCAGATATTCCAAAATCTTGTGTAATAGAGTTGCATGTTTTGTGTAAAAATAAAATTTAAAACTACAATTTTTATGTAAAATATTAAATAATACTTACTATTGTTTATACACCAGGTAGCATTCTGTTCACATCTTCTTTTAGCGTGTTTTTTACTATTTTCAAAATTAAAAAAGTTTTCAAACCATGTTTTTTTAATTCTTTGTCTTCTTTCGGGATATAAATCATCGTTTAGACTTTGATCTTTGATATTAGCCTCTAATTCACAAGTATATGCATTTTTATGATTATTTGTTTCATCATCATTCTTACGACTCATGTTTAAATTATAATAATTTCAAGTTAAAAAATAAATAAATTACCGATCAGTTATTTCTTAATTATTTTTGAATATAATGAGCTACAATCCGAGAGTGTATAACGTACAGTAGAAGGGAAATAAATTATTATTACACCATTACCAACCCTTTGTAAGTCATATTTTTCATGTAGAATTAAAAAAAAAATTATTAAATAAAATATTATTACTATGGAATTTTAAAATAAATAATAAATAAAACAAATGAAAAAATATTTATAGAATATTAAAAATACTTCGTTTTTATTAACAAATAAAGTAAACTTAAAAGAATTTTTGTATTGTAAGAAATTTTATATTTAAATTGATTTTTTTTTTAATACATATATTTCTACATTTTTAATGTAATTGAAGAATAAAATTATTGTGAAAATTATTTGTTTTTTCTATATTTATATATTTTTTATAAAAGTAATAATTATTTTGTATTTATAATTAAATTGATATTAGTTAGAAATTTTTATAATGCAGTATCTTCCAAGATAAAAATAAAATTGTTTTAAGTTTTTTAAAATTGTTATTATTATTTATTTTCTTTAAACATTCTGTACATTTAGTAAAATTATACCTATATATGTATATGATTTTTAAATATCATATTTCGTACATTTTCGAAAACCAATAAGATTTGACTTACAACGTATAACAAATATATTTGATTCTATCCGCATCAGTTAAGTGTAATTTAGGTTTAAATTATGTTTACATTTTTCTTTTTTGTTTGATTTTAATGTAGATAAATTTAATATGTTAACAACAGACTTTTTTAAATTAAATTTTTTAAAATATATTTTCCATACATGTTGACATACACAATATATACAAATTGACAATGTAAATAAGCTAAATATTTTTAAAACAAGTTAAATATATTCACAAATTAATTATTTTAATGAGTAAATTAAAAACGACTTCGAAGTTATATTTATTCCTTTTTTAAAATTTAATAAAAAAAGATCCAAAATAAATTTTAGAATAACAAGAATATTTTATTTTTTAATGTTAAGATTAAACATTCATCCAATATTTAATAATAAAAGAAAAGAAATGTATCAGGCTTTAAATTATTAATTTTAAAGTGTAATAGAAGTCACAAATTATAATTATGAAGTGGATCAATAGAGTATCAAAACTTTTTCAACCAACAAATGTGGTACCAAAAAGTTATTTACCTAAAATAGATGTATCATCAAAAAGTCATCAGGTACATTAAGAATAAAATAATAATTAAATTACATACTAAAAATATTTTTAATAAATTAAATGAATGACTTTCATTCATAAAAATAAGTATGAGTAAGACAGGACACATAATTTAAACATAAATAAATGTTTCAATAAATTTGCTATCATTAAATAAAAGATTGAGATATTTATTGAAATAATTTTGCTATTAATATGATTAATTAGTTTTATTTTTTTGTTCTTTAGTATGACGAAAATTATTTAGTATTAATATTATTAATTTCTTGTATTTTATTGATTATGTATTTATAATTGTACTTAATGTGATTTTCTATAATTTATTTCTATATTTTATTTTATTACAAGTTATTTTTTCTATTGAGCTTATAGAATTAATTATTTTAAATATATTGGTTAATACCTTATGTAAAGTTAATAGAATATTAACGTTACTAATGTTATTAAATTAATTATTAAAATAATTAAATTTAATATTACTTCTATTATATAAATTTGTATTATATAAACAATTTTTTAAATCTTTAAAAATCTTGATATTTTTATAATCTTATCTATTACTTTTTAGTTTAACCATATCTATTAATTTTATTTTTAATATACAAATAATTCTAAATAAGATACATAATTTAAATAATTAAAATTTTTTAAATTGTAACTTAATATATGAATAAAATTTGAATATAGATAAATAAGATTGTATAAATAATATTAATGAAAACAAAAATAAAGTTACGGAATTATTTAAGCTATTAAAAAATAGATTAACACATGTAAAAATAGTAGAACAATTAAATATACAGAAAATAGTTAATAACGAAGACCATAATTTCCATTCAAAGCAAGAATTAATAATATAAAGAAATTATAGCAAATAATCATTTAATGTTTGATAAATTATATTTATAAAGTAAGGCAAAATATAAAAAATTGATACACAAAATTATATGACTGAAACAAATATTATTATATAATAGAAAAATATTTATCATGATATATGTATGAATCGTGAAAAACAAATGAAATGCATTGGAAATCTTGTAGATTGATTTGATAAAAATCAGAATAATCGAAGGTCAAAATAGTACAATTAATGATTATGCTATTACTATTTATTGCAATATGATTATATGAAGAGTAATCAAATCATTATAATTATCAAATTTTATAAAAATATTTAATATTGCTAATAAATAATTTATTTTTTAATAATGACATCATAGTCATATGTGATTCACTATTTTTTAAGAAACATTACTTCTTTTCTATCGATCAATCTAAAAAATTAAACGAGAGAATCGTATAAATTTCTGAGAGTATAACAAAATTTTAATGGAAAGTTATTATGTTGTAGTTTCTAACACCAAACAAAAATTGGTACTGCATTTATTGTGTTATTATGGAAATCCTTTCACATGGTACACGAAGTACCTTACAGGTACCAAAACTTAATGAATAATAAAAATAGTCTCTTGAAGTAATAAGTATAAATTCTGTAATATTCTTGTTTAAAATTTATTATTATCAAAATTAATAATTTGATTTGATGTTCTCTTTTAATACTATCAACTCATGTATAATTAGATATAGTTAAATTTATTCATAAACATTTGTATAAATTAATTAACTCACTATTAAATTGCTTTAGTTATATTTGAATAATTAATATAAATTCAATGTGTTTCAACAATTTTCATACTTTTTAATCATTTAGCATCTCAATTTTAGGATGTTTCTTATATTAAAATCATCTCATTCTGACAAATGAAAAGGACCAATACTATTCATAGTTATAGAATACATTTTCTACAGTTTTGACAATACAAACTCAAATTGCAAATAAAAATGATAAAATTTAATATTTTTATAAATAGTAATAGAGTAAATTGAATAATTAATGCCATTCATGTCAAGAGTAGATTTTTATTATCATTATATACTAATATCTACATTTACATAAATTGATGTGCTGTATTTCACTGTTTGATATTTTAATAATAATTTAATAATAATAAATACTTAGTCCGTTGTATATGATAAAATTACTGATTAATTTGACATATTTTCAAATTTTCTTATGTATGAAATATTAAATTGATGTAATAAAGAAGCAGAATACAGATTACTCGTTAATTCTTATCTATAATTGGTTCGAAACTAAAAGTTATATACGTAACATCATTTTAATGTATGAAAACAAGAAAATAATAGATTATCATAAAAGTAGATTTATCAAATTAACCAAATAAGTCTTTTTTCTGAGATGTATGTGAATTGGGAATGCTAGAAAGTTGAAAATCATAATAAATTTTCTATTTATCTTTATAACGATGAATGTATGTAATTAGCATCTAATATTATAAACTATATGCACGAACATGGGTAAAAATAATCGCTTCTATTACCTTGAGATAAATGAAGCACATTTTATTCCATTTGTATTTATATGTTCATTATGTTTGTATATTTATTTGAATCATAAATGATGTTTTAAAGTTTAAATAAATTCTTGTAAGCCATGTTATGATGACTAATATTGCTGATGCAAACCATCATTGTTTTGGAGAACTAAGAAGGATTATAGTGAATTATATACAGTTTTTAGAAGATAAGTAATGTAAAATTGTACAGTTTTTTTATTTAATTTCAAATTCATTTCCATTTTAGTATTTTATCTTACAAATTCCATTTTCAATTTCAAAATAACTATTTTTTTCATTTCTCTGTAGAATAGGTATTACAATCCATATAAGTTGATATAATATATTTATAAATCTAAAATAAATAAATAAAAATAGCCTTTAGAAACTATTTCTTTGTTTTAATGTACATAATAGAATTCAAATTAGTTACATATATTCCAATATTTCTTGAAAGTAATTAAAAATTATATGTGTGTATAATTTTATTAAAATTTTGCATAGATTACATCAAAATATTTTTATTTAATTTCATATTATATTATTGTTTCAAGAATAATACAGTTTATTATTAGACCATTTAAAAAGATTTTAATATTCATTAAATTTATTTATTTTTATTTATATCGTGTATATTATATTCAAGTATCAGTTATTATGTATTATTTAATAAATAGTTAATAATAAATTTTGTCTTAGCTAATTTTATATATTTTTATACTAATATAATCATAACAATCAAAACTTATTGTATGCAATGGATTGAATTTAAATATATGAATTTGTTTAGCTGATGATAAATACAGGTATCATAAGCAATTCATCTACTGGAATGTTTACGTTTTTACCTTTAGGATTAAAAGCGCTTGAAAAACTAACAAAAATTATAGATGAAGAAATGATGCTTATTGGTGGTCAAAAAATTTATTTACCTGCATTAACATCAGCTTCTTTATGGCGTCGTACGTCTAGAATGGTTGAATCGCAACCCGAACTCTTCATGATAATGGACAGGCATGGAAAAGAATATTTATTAAGTCCAGTAAGTTAAGAGAATTTTTTTATTAAAATATATATAATCAAAATTTAATTAGAATATTGAAAAAATAATATATTATAGATCTTCGGATAGTTTGCTTCAAAAAACAGATTTAGTAGTATCAAAATTAAGTTATTTTTCACATTAAAAAATTATACTTCTAAATTTATTAACAATAACTAATTTCGTGTAAAATACTATAAATATTTTTATATTAAAACGTTTATGTTACATAGTATATTATCAAATGTGCGGTTGAAATGATAAAAAGCATTTAAATCGCCATAAACTTAAAAACATTGTAATTATTATATTGATAAAAAAATAAAAGAAAATAAAATAATATTTTTATGAAAATTTAAAAATTAGTAATGTAAATAAGTACAATAATCTTTTTAGACGTTTGAAGAATCTATTACCAATGTAATATCTTCTTTGGGATCTTTGAAACGCAATAAATTACCACTAAAACTCTATCAGATATCAAGGAAATGGAGAGATGAAATAAAACCTCGTTTAGGATTGTTACGAAGTAGAGAATTTATTATGAAAGATTTGTACACGTTTGATTCAAATCTAGAAAATGCTACAAATACGTATAATATTGTTAAGAGTGCTTATGAAACTATTTTAAATCGTATTGGTATACCTCATTTAAAGATATTTGCAGATCCAGGTACAATTGGTGGTTCGATTTCACACGAATATCATTATTTATCTAATATCGGAGAAGATATTATAAAGTTATGTAAAAATTGCAATTATTATGAAGGTAGATTTAAGGAATCTAAAAGTTATTGCCCAAGTTGCCAACAATCTTTGGATAAAATTAATTCCGTTGAGGTAATAAATATAAATATTACATTCTCTTTTAGCTTTTTAAATAACATTTTCTAAATAAATCGTTAATTTTCAAAGATACAATTATGAAATTACTATATATTTATTATCTTTAATTTATTACTTTAATTCAATAAGTATTTTAAATCTTATTTAATTCGTATTAATCTCTCTCTTCCTTCGCCACAAATACCCAAGGTCTAAGATTCTCCATAGAATTATATTATAATTTTAGATTATAAATAATTTTAGAAGAGCACATTTGTTGTATAAATTAAAATATTTTTTGATAAATTATCACTTTCGTTTTATTAATTATTTCGACATAATAATTCAGAATTAATATCGTAATAAACATAATCATGGTGATATGATTCAAATGATAGCAATGCAAGATTTCAAGTACTACTTCGGCCTTGATATTATTTATGAATTAAATATTTTGAAGCAAAGTTATTTTGTTAATTCGACGATTTAATATCTTTATTTTTAGACATCTTTTTATTAATAAGTAATTACTTATTTCTGGAACTAGAATAGAAATATTCATTCACATATATTTCAAACTATATGTATACTACAAAAATCTGTTTCTTGTTCCTTACTATAGCGCTATTATTTATTTTAGCAATTGTATTATCTGAAAAATTCTCTATAATTGCCACTTCCATATTCATTGCTTTGATATTTAATACTAGTATATATTATTTTATCCAATAACGTATCTTCTTGTAATAGATTATATTTATACCTTTCTATGAAATCCACTTTTTCAAATAAATCTCAAAAAATATATAGTGATTTAGAATTTTTATTCTTTTAATGAATGTATATTTTGATACATTCCATTGTTAATATTAACTTTTTTTCTAAAATTTATTTAGTTTAATTTATTATAATTGGACTATATTGGATTATAATGGTATTGAATACTGTTCAATTAACAATTATATATAAAATGTGTTTGAGATCAGACTAAAAAAACCTCCATTTGATGTTGGGTGGAAGTGTTGCTGGAAAGTGGAAGAGACAATGCAATTATTCAAGACTACTTGTAGTTTTTCTTGTCTTTTCTTTTATTAAATATAATAATATAATAAATAATTAATGATAATGAAGTATATGTATGAAGGTGTAAGTGAATAAAATAGAGGAAGTTTCTTCAATTGTGTTACGTGTTAAGGAGTGTGTATCCTTTCCGTGGTATGATGAGTCGATGCACTTGTATGCGTTAGAGCCGCCGCTGTTGTACCGAAGTCGTCTAAGCGAAAGTGGGTCGCTACTGCTTTAATGTAGATGCGTAAGAGCTGCTTCTGTCGTATCGAAACTTTCTAAAGGGGACCGATTTTCTGCTGCTTAGTCGTCGGTGTGATCCGTTAATATGTGTAGTACGAGTTCGATATTTTCACTCTTGTTTTATGTTAGCACTAGCGCGCTATTAGTTTAAATTTAGTTAACGGATTTTGATAATGTAGCATCACTATTTGTTCGTTAGATTGTTTACTAGTTGATTATTATATACGTGTACCGCTACAGTGAGTGATGACTGTAGAGAGAAGCTTGAAGATGAATAGTGCACTTGTTATAATGACTGTAATTGTTACTAGACTATACCGAGGCAAAGACTAACTTGAGCTCTTAAATATTATCGCGCTAGTCCTTAATCGTCGGTGTTTGTTGTTATGGCGATATTGGTCGTGACGTCAATAGGGCATAGTCTCGAAGGTTTGTTGCCTATATTTTTTTTTAAACAACTGAATCGCGCGTTCATACCTCTCCCACTTTCGTATTCTGATTTTTAACTTTTCAATCCGTAACATTCCGCCCGCCATCATCAATTCATTGATGATTAGATTTTGTATCTTCTATGGGAACTGGCAGTACTGCTAGAATGTGGATTGGTCGTATGATTGTGGATGAGGCGACTCGGGCTAGCAGTGTGGAGATTTTTTCAAATGCCTATTATCCAATGGTATACCTCCTGTAGCTTGGCTGCGCTTACCACTGCTTCCCATTTTTATCGTGTGAGGTGAAATGAATTCATCTTCTTCTCAGACTTGGATGATTCCTGGAGAGAGGGTTCTCGGGTGATTGCGAGCGAGTTCCGATGACATAACAAATACAACATGCTATCCTTGCCTAGTACGTTTTGTTTCTGTCCCTTGTAGCCCCTTTGAGTTATTCTTACAATACCTTTACATGCTGTGCCCTTGTTAAATCCTTCACTGAGGTAACTTCGTGATTTTAATTTTTTATTTTTGCTGAGAAGGCTTGAGTCTCAGTCATTGGTACTATGGTGAGAATTCATTCAAGATGTGGTTAGAAGTGGTGGGCGCGTCTTCTGCTGGATTCCATCGTAATCAATTTTATATTGTACAGTTAGCAATACAATTTACACTTATAGTTTTCTAACGGTTTGATGGCGACGAGGACAGCCCGATGAATTAATTGCCGTTTTTTTCACTGGAAATCGTCCGCCATGCAGCGATTCTGCAGTTGAATCGGGTTTTCAGTCGTAGTGCAACGTGTTCTCACCTTCAAGATTCATGACATGTCTGTCATGCGTGATGAATGGCACCGCCAGGGGAATCTTTCTCCCTAAGCTTCCACCAGTTTCTTTAGTATCCTAATTGCAGTTAATGGAACAGATTTTGTGCCTTGGCTACAGTAGTCAAATGATTGGCACTCTTTCGTGGTTGTCGATCCAATGAATTCTTTGTAGGCCCTAGTTGTCCTCATGGCGATGTCAGTGGATTCCGATTACCGCGTCTGACATTTCTTTCTTTCCTCTGAGATTGGCACCAGAGTTGAATCTACGTGGGATCGTACAATCGCGTTTTTTCATACCTCTTAGCTCTGGGCTTTTCTCCTTTGAGCGAAATGTAACAGTAGCTGTTGGCTTGTTTGAATGGAGTGTGAGTCGTTTAACCCAATTGGTGTAAATATAATGAGTGATATGTGTGACGTTACGACCTTATAAGTTCAAGCAATTGAATTTACTATTAGAAATATTTGAACTTATATTTAAGATCCACGATTTAATTTGTTGGTATTTCCTTATGAGGGGAAAGGTTTATATGTATCAGTCTATTTTATTAATTCTTGTTCCTCAATGGCCCTAATTAACTGAATTAAATTCAACAATGTGTTTATTATCCGAATCTTTGAGTATTTCAATTCAATGTGTGTTTTACTGGAATTATATTTATTTATTCAATATATAGTTAGGAATGCTGTGTTCTGGGATAGAAGTAATTGCTGTTGGGCTTCGGTTTGTGAATTTGACTTGACCGTTTTTTATTATAATTAATTGACCTCTTTCTTGATTAAGGTCTTGATAATGGAGTTTTCATTGTGCGAGTAAGTTTTTATCCTGATCTGGGCAAACGTTTCTGACTGCCAAGTATTTAATTTCAGTATCAATATTGTCATTTATTATTTTTGTTTAGATTGTATATAGGACCCGTTGTTATAGATGGTTTCTGTGTTCAATATTCCTTTAAGATCATGAGTCTGGATAGGTAGTTTTCTGAATCTGTATTAAATGTCCTCAACACTTTCTTTATGAAACTTGTTAATAATGAACTTAAATTACCCTAAAACTTATGCATTTTTGTTTTGTTTGTAGTTGTGATTACATTTAACGAAGTTAATGAAATAGTTATAAGACTGTTAAATTGTTCTTACTTCATTTAAGATATCATCCGGTGGGATGCCTGTATAACTGATTTTTTTCGATCTAGTGTAGTCATTTACTTTTGATGATATGTTGTTCTGGGGTTATAGCTTCAGCTGGTTTATCAACTTCAGATTTATCCCTTATTGAAATGATATATGAATATTTATCCGATAATCTTCATTCTGAGGATGACGTGATTCATCTCTTATATTCATCATTTGCAAATAACTTAAAATACTGCAAAGTAAATATTTATTATATTTTAATAATCATTAAATAAAATTCTGATGAAATTGCATAAATTAATAATTAAAATAACAGTAGTTGAAAAATAAAAATGATTTAAATTTAAAATACATGTTGCTGTAAAATATAATTAAGAAACCACTCTGTTAAAATATTAATTAATTACATAAGTTTAAATTTATAAAAAATGAAATTATTTATTTGATAAAAGCTAACATGTGAAAAACTTTAAATTCCGAATTAAAAAGGAATAATTAAAGGATTTTGAAACACTTCGAATAGCATCCACTGTATCATATTAAGTGTTGTTAAATAGATTTTTCTCATATCAATCCATTTTTAAAACAGAAGAATAAGGTTTAATAATGCAACAGTATAATTAAAAAGAAATATTGATTCAACAGGATCATCTAATTGATATAAAACATGAATGTATCTAAACAATAGTATCAATATTTAAAAGATACTCAAATTTTTTAGTCATATTTTTCAATGTTTGCATTTCTTAAAAATGTATCTATTTTCAATCATTACAAAAATTTATTTGCATTATAATTGATTGACTAATGAAAGAAGTAAAAGAATATTATGACGATTTACCTAATCGTATATAAACAACTCATAATTATGTAATTTGCATGATAATTTACATTCAGTGTTGTTTTAATAATACAAATATGATTTTGTAACCATTTATAATAGCAAGTTTTCGTATTATATTTCTTTTGGATTTCAAGAATACGCTAAGATCTTTGTTATAAGTATATTTACAAGATTTTTTCTAAAACTATGGAGAAAATAGTAAAATTAAATATTAATAGATTATTTGAGTATAAAAATATTGTTTCGTATTTTTCTAGATAACTTAAATTTGTGAACAACGTATAATTAGATTTAGAACAAATTGAGTCATATTCGAAATTATAGTGATGTAATTCTGGAGGGGATGTACAAGAATCGTGAGAGTTGTTTAATTATACATTTATTATATAATTTAATACACTATTTACTTATGGGTGTGTAGAATCTTCTTAAATCTAATGTTAAATTACGATTTCTTGAACGTTTTCTTATATAGGAGATGTCACTACACAAGATGCTCTTGAAATCGTTTAATTGATGTTGAATTAAAATTGCACAGGTAAATAATTGCTACACCTTTCTTGTCAGAGAGTGTCAAATAATGTTAATGGTTGTGTTGTGCCAGTTTTGCCGCCGGCTGGCAATAATTGAGTAGATAACGTGGATTTGTGTACTCACAGCGATATCGTAGTTGTATTCTGATCCAGGGGCGAATTGAGTTGGTCACCAGGGCACGCGACAAAGCACATGCGTGCAGGATGACTCTTATACTCGCAGGGACGCAGTAGTCTTAATCTGATCCAGGGGTGAGTTGGTCACCAGGGCAAGCGGCAAAGCAAATGCGTGCAGGATGACTTATACTCACAGGGATGCAGTAGTTTTAGGCTAGTAGAACACTGCATCACAATTTTTTCTCCTTATATATTTTTCATTATGAAAAATTACTGTTTAGATCTCTATATAATATATATTTTCTTGTATCTAGATAAAACTAATCTAAATATGAATTATTGATATGATGATTGTATAAAAATGGAAAAGATATGAAGGAATTACTCATTAATATTACTCACCTGGTTGTGCCATTTAGAAGAAAGCTTAATCACCGCATTGTGTAGCTTCTGTACTATAATGTGTGTATATAATACCCTTTGTGAGGATACATTAAGTCTCACGTGGTTATTTTAAATGAAGTAAGTTCAATGTCCAAATTTTTTGTTTCAACTTGTATAGCTGTGAAAATATTTTCAAATTTGGTAAATGTTGGAATCTTTTGAGATTAACTGATTGTATTTAAGTGCATTCAAATAATACCTTTAAATTAAATAACTTTATAATATATTAATATATTAAATAAATATAATCAAAAATTATAAATAAATTTTTTATAGATTGGCCATACATTTTTATTGGGTACAAAATACTCTGAGCCACTTCAAGCAACTTTTATAGATAACAATAATAAAAGACAATTTTTAGTAATGGGATCCTTCGGTCTCGGCTTATCCCGTATCCTTGCAACTGCGATTGAAATTTTATCAACCGATTTGGAAATAAGATGGCCTTTAAAACTAGCACCGTATACTGTTTGTATTATTCCACCAAAGGTAAGACTATTAAATAAAATTAATAAGTAAAATCATAAGTAAATTATTCAACTAGTATAATAAGTATATTAATTATATGAAGAAACAAACTTTTTTATTATTTATATTCCAATAATAATTATATTAAAATTTTATTATAACCATGACTAGTATTTTTTTAGTTTAAATAAAATATGTAATGTAAAATTTAAATAAAATAAATGAAATGTATGAAATATATACGAAATTAAAAGCAAAGCCGCAGTATACTTTTGATTAATTTTCTATCTGTTATCTTTACTTGATGTTTACGTAAAATAGGCAATTTCATTTTTTGAATCTAACTTTCTTCTTTTTGTATACCGCATCATATATTTCATAATATTGATAAATTAGCAATTACACTTTTTTCATTTCTATGCCTCTCTTTTCCATGTATTAGATAAAAATATATTCGCGTTGCAATGGAATAATTTTCAATTATTACTACATGTGCTATATATTTCTATGGTTTTCTTTTCCGAGAATTGAATAATAAGCTTGCTCTGAAAAGATATATAAAATTATTTTATTATTTTCATCAATAAAAAATTCCATAAGAAAATGTCAGTCTATATATAATATAACAAGTAAATCACTTAATAAAGTAGTAATTTTTTCTATAATATATATATATATAAAAAAAAAAATTTAGTAATATTTAGAGAAAATGGATATAAAAAAATATTAATAAAAATTAGTGTATATATCAATGAAAAGCATACAAAATGTTTTGTCCAAACATGAAACTTTAAATGTTTATTGTTGCATAAACTTGTATAAAATCCGTTAAGGAGACTTAAATTAATTACAATTCAAGAAAAATAACAAGTATATTCAAAATAATAGTAAATTGAAGATAACTTGAAAAATGCAAATGTATCATTAACTAAGTTACATATCCATACGAGTTTAATAACGAGATTATTTTACATAACAAATACTAGATGATCAACAAAAGAATAATCAGTCAAAACAATATATATTATTAACAATAATTTAATAATAACAAATAAGTTTTTTTTTAATTATTGGAAGGTTTCCGTTGACGGATCAAACCAAATACATGTGATTGAAACTATTAAATGAAGAAATTTCGAGAACCATAAATATACAATGCAGCATTCACTTTTTGGCAATAAGCTGCATTTGTATGTTTTATTTTTTATGAAAAAATGTAAACTACCATCAAAGAGAAAAAAAGAAAAATTAATATATTGAACGAAAATAGATAAAGATATGAAACTTCTGAGGTTACTATAAAACTTATTATTATTATGATTTAAAATATATTAATTCACAATTAAAAAATTTTACCACAAAATAGATTTGTAGAGATTATAATAATATAAATAAATTAAACATGTGCGAATTATAAAATAAGAAATATGAATAATAATATGATTATTTATCAAAATTGAAAACAAATTCTGTCTTTTTTTCTTACTGTATCTATAAACAGTACATATATTTATTGTTTGATCATCATAATTTACCTCACTTGAAGTGACTCGAAGTGAAAATTTGATATTTTTATAATGAATATTAATATTAAATATATTTCATGAAATTTGTTTATTTTTCTGTAATATATTTTCAGATGTCAAATGTATAAATAATTGGTTATACGTATATTTTGTATTTTTTCCTAGTTCAAAAAAATATAAAATAATATAATGTATTTATAATACAAGTATTAATCTTTTAACTCTTTATTATGTAATTAATATTTTTCTTAATTTAAAATTATTAAAAAGGGCGTTGCCATTCCATATAATAGAATAAAAAACAAACTTTTATTTTATTTTAGGAAGGCAGTAAAGAGGAATCAGCATCATCAGTAGCATATGATTTATATTTCGAGCTACAAAATTCAAATATTGATGTTATAATAGATGATAGAATTAAAGAAACTATTGGAAAACGTTTTATTGAAGCTCGCAAATCTGGATATCCATTTGTTGTTGTAGTTGGAAAAAATAGTTTAAATTCCGTGCCTTTAATAGAGGTACATGATATATATAATTCTTCTCAATTTAAATTAGAATTAAATGAGGTTCTTCAATACTTAAAAAACATTTTATAAGTATAAATAAGAAATTAATTTTTAATGTTTTATTACTTTATACAAATAATTTTTAGACTAAATTATTAAATAAATAAAGTTTTGAATTTTACTATTGTAATAAATTACTAATAAATATTCTAATTTTAGTCGTCTATTTCTTTAAAGTTTCTTTTCGTTCTCCGTTAGTAAATAATTTTCTAGTGGCATAAGTATTTTGAAATTACTGGAAACATGAGTACCGTATGTATATATGCGCTCAAAATTTGGTTACTAACCATTAAATAGAACAAAATTAATTAATTCAATATAAAATTTTTATATTACTCCCACTTTCTCGATTCGAGGCGTTTAAATTATAGAAATATTAGAATATTAAATTATTTTGGATTATTTTGTATATACGCTGTTTACAAACTTTTATGTAATAATTTATGGTATTTATGTGGTACAATAAAAAATATTCAGAAATTAGAATTTATTTCCAATTTTTATTATTTTAACAATATGTTTCAGTCGAATAAGTATCACACTGCTTAAATAAATTTCTAAATCTATCATATAATTTTTAATAAAAAAGTGACAAAAATTTCTACATGATACGGTTTATCAATTTTAATACTTGTATTATTAATTATTATTATTATTATTAACAAAAAATAAAAGTGCATAATTTAGGGCTAAGACAAGCTTGATTTATCGATCCAATTATGTTACAATAAATAAAGTTATTAAAAATTAATTGATATTTTTATATAAACAAAGAAGTATTTATGTAAAATAAAAATAAGTATATAGGTAAATGTATTGATTGTGTTGAAATTGTAATGTTTAAATTTGTCGGTTAATTATCGATTCTCCGGTTAGCATTTAGTGATTCCATGTTTCTGGAAGTTTTAATTCGTATTGAGCTAGAGATTAGTTGGCAAATTTGTACCAATTGTCAGTTCTTGTGTCCGGTACAATTTTATCGTTACTTTATTGAAACATGATTTATATCAAATAAGTTCATTGTTTCTATTGGTCGATTATGGTATGGTATACTTCCTCTGAAAAATGAAAAATAATTTTATTACTGTATTGAAAGTATAACATAACCTGTTTGAACAGTGTTTAAATTGAGATATCCAATCGGCTTAGTTCTTTATTTTATAAGTATATGTGTCTACTATATATATTGAGCACTGCTGTAGAAAATAAATAAGAGCAGAACATTTTTATTTTGAAGAAAAACTCGCATATTATCAATTTTTTAGAATAAGTTAACAATGCCTTCTCCAATACCTCGTTTGAGTATGTATATAAGTATTATAAGATAATAAAATTTATAATTTTTATTTTATCATATAAATATGCATATACACACACACATATATATATATATATATATATATATATAACCTAAGAGTATGTGACACTGATATTTAAATTCTTACTTATATATTATTGTTATGCATTATATTCAATAGTATTTTGTATATAATTATTACGAAAGTGTTTAATTTAATATAAGATTTATATGTAATTCTAAATAAAAATTAGTTATTGAAGAAATATTATATATATCTAAGAGTTCAAAATACTTTTAAGAAATTTTTTGATTCAATATTTACAAATACTTTTTCCAATGAATGTTTACTACATATTAAAATAATTGCCATTACATTAAAAAAATATGCTTGAATTCCTAATAAAAAATTGATATAGTAATTTGAATAGAATATTTTTTAAAAATGTATACAATCTTATTATTGCAATGATCATATAAATATAAAATTTTATTAAAAAATAGAAAATTATTTTAGTGTTTACAATAAATTTCTAGTTCTTGCATTTTGTTTTATTATAAATAATAAAGTGAGAATAATTTAAATATTTCATGCTTATAGATAGTTATGCTTTATGCAAGTAGATATTTATGTAAAAATTAGAGACTTTCAAGTTACAAAAAAAAAATTTTCCTTGGGATAAGTATGCTTAAAATTTTAATGTCAACCCATTTATAGTATATAAATTTATTGTAATGTATTATTGAATTAAGTTTGAAAAATTATATTATTATAATATGTGTTTAAAAATAAACAAAATCATTTAAAAATTTAAGAAATAAGTTATTCATTTATTTTAAATAGTTAATTTAATATCTACAGTAATAAAATATGATATAAAGATACATAATATTTTTTATGGAACCATATTGGTTAAAATTTGTTTGTAATATAATTTTTATTGTATTCAGAAACCTGTATTCACTTTAATAATTATCACAGACCTAAAATTATATCCATAGCAATTTTTGCAGTCGTAGTTGAAATTTTGTCCAATTTTGTATCTGACTAGTAGTGTTTTACATAAAAAATATTTGAGTAAGTGCAACCTGTTCTATTAAACTTTTTCCCATAATTTAAAAAAGTGGAGATCACTGTCTGAATGGCTTAAAAAACATGATATGAAACTAATCTATACAATCAATAAAACATTAATAAATACTGACTACTTCAGCTATTTAATTTTAAAAAATTATAAACAATTGTAATTACGTATAAGGTTATGAAATATTTTATTATGATATATTGAAACTTGCCACTATTATGTAATAATTTTAATATGATGAAGTATAAATTAAATACAAAATAGATATGATATTATAGTTATGATTATAGATATGAAATTAAGTAAAATAATTTGACAATTTTATGAATAAAATAATTATAAATTCTTATTATACCTATATAATTGCCTATGTAATAATATATTATTATACCTATAAATGTGTACTATTTTGCAAAAAATCATAGCTACACCCAATCTTATGATAAAATAAATATATAAGAATTTCAATGTGAATAAAGGCTAAAGGCTTAGTAAAATGAAAGTAAAATAAATTTTTTGTAAATAAATCAACTTAATATGAGTTTATGATTACAATAATTATAAATTTCATGTATTGTTTTTGGACAAAATCCAAAATATACATCCCTGCTATTTGCATTTCCAACATTAATGGTAATTATTGTAGAGTAAGTGATTAAGACAACGTCTGTACTTCGAGCTATACATTTAACTTTCAAAATTGTATTAATCTTCTTAACTCATTATCGTAGATTATCCATATTATTCGTCTTCTCTGAAATGTAGATGTTGAGTTTCTACTTTATTACTACCCATGTTTACTATTCGTGTGTTCTCAAGCATTTTATCTATAATTGTACACCAATAGTAAAAATAACTAAAAATGCGTGACCTAACTTAACATAATAATATAATTCAGTAGTTTTCACTTTTTGCCAAAGTCGCGTAGAACATTTGAAGTTGTTTACAACTACATCATTCTTGTATTTTGACTCGTTTGATAAATGTATACGTATCTCTATAGAAGCTGTGATTCTATTCTCAGATGTAATTAAGTATATAGCTCTATGTTACTATATCACTTTCAATTATTTACAATAATAGATACAATAATTTTAACGTTCATAAGCTTTTATTTGAAATAATATTTAAAGAAAAATGCCCACATTCATATCCATTAATATTGCATTGATATTTTAGATCAAATAAGAAATTATTATTCTAATAAGAATTAGAAATTCTTTATTTAATAAAAATATTTGTTTTATACAGTTACATGGTTTAAAAAATACTGGAAGCATAACTGCACATTTAATTATTCACCAGTAGCTGCATCCATACTTGTAATTTGTGGAACTGTAACTAATAATGTTTTCATTATCTACAGAAAGCAGCGAAATAATAGCTATAAATACAGAAGACATTTAGTCAGTAAGTAAATTGTAAATATATATATTACATTATTCACCTAACAAAATTTATATTGAAAAATAAAAATAAATTTATATTCATTTGTAAAATGTTTATATTTACGAATACAAAATACGTATTTTGAGAAATCAGTATCTTACATTCTATATAAATAATTTTACTAATTTATAGATTGATTAGTCATTGTTTAAAAATGTAATTATTTCACTATAATATGTGTATAATATGTGATAATAATACGTTATATAGTAAGATTGATCTACTAGACATACGTACTCCCACATATCCTATTAAAGTAATTTGTAATTAACATTTTTTTTAGTAAAATTCATTTTCTAATTATAACTTTTCAAATATTACCTATTTTAATTAACCGAATAATCACATTAATTCGTTATCGATAATACTTCAAAACACTAAATTTTATGATAATATTTCATTATGCTGGTAAGAAAGGATTATCTTTCTTAAAATTTTTAGATTTCGATATTTTTTTTGCATGAAATTGTTATGAAAGAATGTCTAAATAAAAAGTACAAGTGTTATTAATTAACTGAAAAATAAGTGTTAATTTAATAAAATCTTCGAATAATTGGCATAAACTGAAGAAATTTTATTGTTAAACGTTTTGAAAAATATAGTATTTATGTAGTGATATACTCAAAAAATATTAATCAGTATTTTACGAATATCTAGAAAATTATTAAATAATGCTTGAATAAAGAATTATCGTTTAATTATTTATGTTTTTATTTCAGTTTTCAGATCAGATGATAGAAGGATGGCAGGACTGTCGGCAAAATCAATGTTGGATTAAATTACAGTCTAAATGTTTTGTCAGTAAAGATATTAGTAATTTTAAGATAATATATATATATATATATCTTTAATGTTTTTAATATGTATTATAAATAAATCAATAAAAATGTATCTAAATTAAATTAATATTTAAACACTTAATTTATTTTATTCATGTGTCTTAATTAATACCATATATGCTGCATAATAATAAAAAAGAATAATAATTTTTAATTATTAACTTGTATAATATATTGATAATTTCATTTTATTGATTTTTTTAGAAAACATTGTTTATTATTATTTTTATTTCTGAATTATAAACATCTGAAAAATATTTTATTTTATGCATATTAGAATATAATATAATATTCATTAATAATTATTAAGGATCTGTTAAATTTTTAAAAATAAATATACATTAGTTTCATTCTATTATATCACATTCAAAAATAAATCTATTACACAATATTTTTATTTAATCAATTTCAATTAATAGTATCTTTGTATTATTTTATAATTTTTCAAAGTATACTTGAAATTAAAATATTGAATTAATATATATACATTTTTAAATATATAATCCACATATATTTAAATATTATACAATATTTTCTATTTTCTTATTTTATTTACAAATTTATTTCAAAAGAAAGTATTTTAATGTTTAGTCATTTTGAGTTCAATACGAAAATTTTTATAATTGTTAAAAACATAAATAATTTTTTGTATTATTAAAGTTATAAATTATACAAATATAAATGTTTCTTAATAACAATGGAGTAAATATAAAAATTAAATGATGTATTATAATTGTAATGAAATAATCTGTTTTATGAAATGATGCGTACATATATATTGAATATAAAAGAAAACCGACGTAAACGCCAAAGTTATTAAAATTGTATTAAATTGTGGATACAAATATCCACTTCTTATTACTCGCACTTTCAGAATAAAGATTATTAACAATTTGATACAGCCGATAATAAATAGTGTATCAAGCATAAGCAATGAAACAATCATAAATTAAATACGTTTCTTAAAAATAAAAAATAAATTAATCTAATTAAATAATCTAAAAAAATAATAAAATAAAATTTAATATTTTCAAGTATCAAAAAAACTGAAAAATATTAATTATTAAAAATATTAAAAATTTAATATTATTAAATTTAACAATATGTATAAAAAATATTCGTTATTAATTTACTATAATCTATTGTTACACTAATTTAAACATAAACTAAAATTTCAAAAGGTTTTAGTTCAAGATTTATTGTATACTCTTAATTATGCATTTTATATTTATTAATATTATCTATTATTTTTCTAAATATTCTTATTTCTAAGTATTCTAAATGTTCTAAGTATTTTTGCATTTTGATCAAAATAGCAATCTTAATGATTTATTCACGCAATTAATCTGGATTACAAGAACATGAAAAAGATTTAACAATATATCCTAAAAATTACAGATTTCATAAATATTAACGCATTCCAATTACCGGGTATTTAAAGTTTCAAAAATAGATCGAGTCTCTTAGCTGTAAAATAAAATAACATTGTGTCAATACACAGTGATTCTAATTGCGTAATCATAGCCAATATAGTAATAGATCATAGAGGATATCAGTCTATTTAGTTTTGCGTATATCTGCAAAGAAATTTTCATCACATAACAGTTGCAGCTGGATCGGCAATTTTCCGGTAATTTCTTTCTACAAAAACAGTCGGAGATCTTCGGCTGTTCTAGTGACACTGTTGGTAATATATTTATTTGCCTTAATACAAAAATTACAGAAGAAATATCTAATAGAGTGTCATTATTATCTGTCCACTCAGATTTTATTATCTACATTTTAATCTGTATTGTGAGTTTTCATGAAAGTAATCAGCTTTTAAGGGTAAGTACAAATTTTTTTTTTTATGTTAGGTTTTAGTATGATTTCGAAGTTTATAAATATAATAAATGCACAAAGTTATAATACTAAATTAATACAATTTAACTATTTTTAATAAAATTTATATAACATACCTGACTATATAACGCAATTATTTGTTATTTAATTTTTTTTTATATTCATAATTAAAAAAAAAAATATTTGTATTATTTTCGTGAGCCGGTAAGAAATAAAAACATCAAATTTTTATAGAACTTTTTAGAATTTCATTATATATTTTCATAACTGAAAGGAATATATTTTATTGGATAAGTATAATGGATTTATTTCTTAATTATTTTCAATAATTGTAAATAATAAGTTAAAATGTATAATTTACAGTATTTTGTAATATTGTTAAGAATATTTTTTTATACTGAAAATCTAGATATTAATTTCATAAATATATAAAATATTCTATATATGAATCACTAAATTAAAATGTATATGGAAAAATAATTTCTTATTTATATTTTTACAAATGTAAATAACAATTGTATACATTATATATTAACAATACAAAATATAAATTAATATTAAAGAAAAAATACTAGATAATTTTATTTTTATTGTGTATAACATTAAAATCTAAACATACATTCATATTTTTATTATTCTTAAATTTATATTTTTTCCTCTGGCAGAAATATACTGCTTTTCAGAAAAATAATTTGTTTCAATATTACAAGTTTATACATAAAATATTTATAATTTATTAATTTTTTTACAACGAATAACAAAAGTCTTACAAGTTTATTTTATACGCTACAATTTTTTATTATGTTCCACAAAAACATTGTTTTCAATTAGAAAATTTAAATGTTAGATTTTATTATTAATGTAATATAATTTTAATGTTACCTTAATGAGGGAATTAATTGTACATGTAATTGTAACGTAAATGTAATAAAAATTAATAAGCAGTTATTTTTAAAATGATTATAAGTAAAATTATAGCTTTCTACTGCTTATATACTTACCGATCGTTTGAAGGCTGTTTTTATATTGGAGCAATGAAAAATTTTGTAACTAGAAGGCAAGTGAAAATGTGTATTAAAAAATGTGGAAAGTTATTAACATATAAATTTTCAGATAAAAAATACAAATAAAAAAAATTAAACAAGTTTATTTTTTAAATAAATAAAATATTTTGTATACGTAACAATGCCATCTACACACGGAGTAAATATACGTTAATATTATTTAGTAATTATTTTTTATAAGAATCAGATATGCAAGTTTTATACATGCTCATTCATATATATAGAGTCGGAAATACATATGAAATTAGAGACGAACGCATTTTACGCATGAATTTTTCATTCGTTTCTTGAATTAAAATTTCAATAATAACCCATAGTTCCTATTTACAAAATATTCCGAAGCCATCTATCTTTCTATTACTTTTACAAATGCAATATCATTTATGAGAAAATAGACAATAATAACATTAATTATTTTTTAATTTAAAAAAGCATCATAATAAAATAGATTTTTAATAAGATAAATAATTAAATATATAATTAAATTAGAATTATGATTTATAAGTAACATTATACTAACTTTAAGAACTATATAACTTATATATTTTAAACGGTTTTATAATATTTTCAAGAAATAAAGAAGTCTATACTTATGGAATATAAATAGTAATGTATATTTATTAATAAATACGAGCTGATTATGTATGTATGTTTAGATATATATATATATATTTCATTATTTATAGTACTAAAATAAGTATTTGCATAAGTGTTATAAAATCATCATGCATTTAAAGAATATATTTTTATATATTTTACATGATAAATTATATCGGATTTTTATGAACATTTCATCTGATTTAATGAGTTCTTATTTAAATTTTTACTTAGCAATTTAATATTTGATGACCTATTATGTATACTTTATTAGATAAAAGTCAGAATTAGAAATTGATTGAATTATATTTTTGCTTAAAAATCGCTTCTTAAATTAATGCTATAATTAAAAATTTTGAGCTTTAAATATCGGATTCTATCAGCCATTTTAAAAAAAGATTAAAAATTTGCAATTTAACAAAATATTTAACATGCAATTATATCCATAATTTTTTAAACTTAATTTTTAATACTTTTCGAATATTAGATAATAGATTTTAACATTTCTTTTAACATGATTTCAAGAAACTCTTATAGATATAAAAGTTAAATTTATATTTTATCTATTAATTTTGGCATTATAGGAATATAGATTATGTTAATCTGTTTAAATATTTTGTTTGCCATCGCATAAATATATGTTTCATCTTCATACGTAAATAGCTTTCACGAGGTTGTTATTGATTGTATCTCAACAAATAATATTTACACGAAGCTCTTTAAGAAAAAAGCTCTCCAGTAATGAATCATTTATAAAAAAAGGATCCAAAAACAGTCCCATATTTAATATCAAACACATGGTGAGGTCACTGCCTATACAAACATGCGCGCGTTTGGCTATCACCGTAGCCGCTTTTTGCCGTTCCCCTACCCTCACTGTCTTCGATTACCTCTTGCCGCACCACGTCTTAACCACGAGCACAGGGTGCGTGCACTAGTCTCGTGGTGGCATCCGCGTCGTTATTGTTGTTAATGGTGTATTGTAAGTTCTTTTGTTCGATACCTCTCGTGGTCGAGGTAAATGGATCAAATAATATTTGTTCAGTAATATTCATAGTCAATATTTTATGAGTTGAACCATTATTTAGTCTATTTAAATCGATTCTCGAGTGTTCCTATTCATAGGTAGGTGTGAGGAATTAAACGGGCTCATTTCAGAAGTTTTTTTTTTCAAGATTGTCAAGCCAACTCTATTATACTCTACGTGGTCTCTTCTTCACTTGACTCAATTACATGAGGGTATTATTTACCAGGCTCTCATATAAAAAGAGAAAATTCAAGTGTTTCTTCATGCACAGGCGAGTCAATATTCGTGTGTAGGAGCGCACGCGCTTGCAGCTTTGCTGTAGGCAAAGAAGGGGATGGATGCGGCTTGATTTCAAGGGGTGAGAGTTTAATGCTGGAGCAACAAATTTCTGTATCAAGAATGTAAAAATACATTGTTAAATGTTTTCATTTCTATAAGTTACTGAATTATGGGTTAACGGGATTAATAGTAATATTTTTGAATATTTATTTGAATTAGAATAATTTTTTGAACGACAATGTATCAATATATTTATTGAATATTTGATTAAAATGAACAACTATACACATAATTTTCTTTATTAGTAAAATAAAAATTTGTTAGTACAATTTATATTAGTATTTTTTAATACAAGCAATAGCTATTCACGAATTTAATAAATTTTAATTTTAATTACGTAAAGTATAATTATAACCCCATAAATTTAAGAAAGAAAATAAACATAGTAAATGGTTGTTACTCTAAAATGAATAATTACTAATAATTTTTTAAACTAACCATTTTTAAACAAAATTATTCTACTTTTATAAATATTTTTACAATGTAATTAAAAATGTATGTACATTGAATGAAAAAACGACTTATAATGAAATTTCTACTTATCTTACTGATTTATTCTAACCTTAAAAGTTAAATCTTTAATGTACAAATTTAATTTTTTTAATTAATAATTAAATACTTGTAGTGATATTTTAGTATTATTTAATCAATGTGGATTAATTTTAAATATGTAATTTCTGAAATCTATTGATAACTTTAATTCAGCGTTTTTGATTTTTCAACATATAACATTCAATAGTCTCTCTCTCTCTTTCTCTCTCTCTCTCTCTCTCTCTCTCTATATATATATATATATATATATATATATATATATTGATTATATAATATTTTAGTATAAATAGCATAGTAATAGCGTAATTTATATTATTGTATAAATATTTTTAATTGCATAATATTTAAATAAGTTTTATATTGTTTTAATTTATTCTCTATATTTATTGATATTTATTGTAAATATATTGAAAAAGTATAAAACATATATTTAACGACATTTTTTTATAATAATTGATAATAGTTGTAATTAAGATCTAACAGGCTTCATACAATATATGAAAAAAACTAGATTGTTTTTAATTTTCTACTTAATTTATAAATTTTTTATATCCATCAAATTATGTTACGAATTAAACAATAAGTATTTCATACATGTTAAAAAAAACTAATTAAAAAAAAAGTGTCTAATCGGAATAATAATATAAAGAAATGATTGATGTCATGGCAACAATAATGCTATTATCGTTTTGGAGATTGATTAATACACACTTACGAGTGGCTTCCAAAGAATTATCGGTGCATAGGAGTAAATATCGCAAATGACAATAGGATATTCATGGGAGATAATAAGTGATTGATTATGTTGCATGGCTTTTGCGTATTTATTATTTTATAATAAATAGAAAAGATAGAATAATAGAATAATAGAATAGACTAGAAAAGCCTTGCATAAATTTTTTTTAGAGGATGATGTATTAAATAAATATCTTCTACTACGATTTAGAAATTGCATCTGTGAGAAAGACTCAGAGAGAGAGAGAGAGAGAGAGAGAGAGAGTGAGTGAGTGAGAAAAAGAGAGTGAGAGGGAGAGATACAGAAGATATGTTTTTACTCAAAAGATTGTTTTAATAATTGTTGCAAAATTAGTAATATTATTTTTTTCACTTATATATATTGATATTTATAATGGTATCCAGTAATTGAAGATAGCTACATGAAAGTAAATAAAATTTTTTACTTATATAACATTAATTATAAAATTTTTGGTTTTAAATTGATTACATTTTATTATTTAGTAATAACTAAATACATATATAAATTCATTATATTACTTATTAATATGTAGATGTAAGTAATTATTGTTTTATTTGCTTATTAAAGCCAATAACATTATATTAATTTTTTTATTCTCGTAAATATAAGTTTATTCTTATTGTTACAGTGTATGAAGTGTGCACAGGTGTATTTTAGATCAGGCCGAGTCAAATTTAAGGTTATGAACCCTTTCTAGTGGTAAAGGAGTAGTGACCATTGACATGTAAATGCATATTTTAACGAAATATTATTTTGCGTTAAGCTTTTTTTACGGATCGGTAGCGATGGATAATGAATCATTTATTAATTATATATTAAATTAATATTTTAGCTAATTTTATTAACAGTTAATTAACATGAATTTCGTAGAATGTTATAATAATAATTCTGCTAAAGAATTTGTAAATATAAACAGTAAATGATGAACCTATAATTCTTGTATTATGTTCAATTTTCTCATGATTTGAAATAATCAATAATAATAAATAATAAATATAAAATAATTTAATTTAAGATGTTCAATATGGCAACTAATAAAACACCAGAAATGAACTATACTTGCGAGATATGCGGTCGTGAGGATTTCAATGATGAGGAGATGCGCTCGCATATGGCTCTCTATCATCTTAAGGGTGCGGCTAATTGTCCATTCTGCAATCTTGGTGAAATTTCCCCAGCAGAAATGTTGTTACATGTAAACAGTGCACACCTGGATTATTTAACACCTAGGTGAGCACAACAAAATTATACATCAGCGTTTTCTTTTTTTGATCATTCGATGTGCTCGAGACAGGCCGTGAACATATTTTACATATAATATTTAATAAGGATGTCCGTAAACGAATGTTGATTATACGAAACTATATATTTATTTAATAATATAACTTATTTTATATTTCATAAAATTACATAATATTTTGACAAATTGTTGTATAATATATTGCAAATATTATGAAGCAGTATTTAAACAGTAACATATTTTCAGTATAAAGTAATACCTTTCAAATGTATACTGCTTATGAAATGCCAGAATAATATTTAAATACACAAAATATTATTTATTTTTAAATATTCAAACATAATTTAATTTTTATTGTGCATTAAATTAGATATATAATAAAAATAAGTAAGTCTTTAAAATAAATATTATTGTAAAACATATTAAAGTATTTATTTATTGTGAATAAACAAAATTTTAATTAATTAATAATTTAAATAATACTTTATCGTTAACCAAGTTGAATAACTTGATTTAAACTTGAAATTTATGAATAATTATAAACGCGTATAAATATTTATAAACACGATAAATACCGTTTCAAGTAAAACATAAAAAATCATTCATCAGCAAAGTAATCATTTTCGCAGTGGATAATATTTTTATTTTATCAATTGGTTCTTAAGCATAACTTATAAATCAGTTTTCTACTATTTCTATTAAAAATTATAATCAATATATATGCGATAATTCTTTATAATTTTTCGAGACATTACCTATAGTGGTATTTATATTTATTCATTAGTTTTCTGTCAGGCTTTAATATAATATTATTTATTAACATTTATTAATTTTTTAGTATACATTTTAGTATTTTAGTATAAATAAAAAGATTTTATTTGTTTAAAAATTAATTTTTAAATTTATTAAAATATAATTTATTAATTAACAATTAAATTTATACAAATATAATTTAATAATTAATATATAATTTTATATAAATAAAATAAGTTATGTTATTTTATATTTCAATATTAACTGCAAATGTTACAGATATTAAAGACGTTTTTAATAGATGTATTTATCTAAAATGATATTAATTGTAATAATTATAGATGAATTAAATTAAATTAATTTTGATTTTTATGTACATTTATTTATTTAAAAAATAACTTACTTCTATTATATTTTACAGATTAATTAATGTATAATTAATATAAAAAAAAACTTAAAATTATTAATAAAATTATGATTGTGAAAAGTCCTCTTCCACAAAATCTCTTAGTAAAGTAGGAAAGGTGGAAAATTGCTAGTTCATTACATTAAAATCTATATAATATCGGCCAACTTAAATTTTTACGAATTAACATTTATTTATTATTTAATTAGTATGATCATAATAATTTTGCGTATTTTTTAAAAATTATGACAAATAATCTTTCGAAAATAATATTTACGACAAAATCTATAATGCTTCGAGAAATTTACAAATTCAAATAAGTATATATTTATTTTGAAATTTCAATAAAGTGCAGATAAGACGAATTATTTCCATCTTTATAGTACACCTGAAGAAAATAACATGATGGCTTTTATTGACGAGGATGGTATTCTCGATCATCAGGATCACCATCGTTGTAAATGTGTCGGTGACGAGTCATCCATGTGTCATGGCACTTCATCTAACACTTTTTCATCGTCGCTTTGCTCGCCTTACCTACAAAACGGATGGACTATACCCTTAAGTTCAACAACCTCCCAATCGACGTCGATTATATCGAGATCAGTTACAACTGAAAAGGAAAATTCGGTATCATCGATGGCATCATTGACTAGCATTTCTTCAGTTAACAACAACAACAATAATACAAATCATGGAAATAATGGTAAATTATTTTATTACGTTATTAATTATATAAACGATTCTTTATTTTTCATTTTAGAAAAAGGTTAAGTTTTTAAAATCGTAAGTATAAGATTTATTTTATATTAGTTAAAATAACTTGTACAGTTACTTATAAGTACCAATTTTAAAGAATGAAGAGTACTTATTATAAAATTGAAACTTTTTTATATTTTTAAATATTAAAAAGTTTGTAGATATTTGCACATACACACACCCAGACACATGTTTTGCTTAAAAGTCTAACACATTGTTATAAAAATATCAATTTTTGAAATAGAAATAAGAATGAAAATAATTTTTGGTCAATATTAAGTACACTTTTAGTAACAATAAAATAATAGATTGTCATATTGTATTAATATCTTACTCTCTTTAAATTCTTATTTTAAAAACAGTTCTCAATTATCAAAGTGCAATGAATTTTATGAGTTTTTAAATATATTTAATTCAATAAATGATATATATATATAACTTAAATGTAAAAAAATAAAAATGACTGAATAATAATTCAATAATTTAAATGTTTTTAGTTCCAGAAAGTACAGCTGGACATGGTTCACCTTTGCGTTCCAGTTTAAATCTTCAATTGCGTTCACATGCAACTCCTAAGCTTCCAATACAAGAATGTCCAATGTGTCCTTATAGTTCAGATTGTCCATTGAGATTACAAGAGCATATAAATCGCCAACACTTTGATTTAACTTCACCATCTTTTCCTTCAGAATCTATTTCAGCCCGTGACAGCAAGTTCAATTGTCCATTTTGTATTATATTGTTTCCTAATGCATCGGATTTGGAATTACATGTAAACATTGAACATAAGGACATATTAAGGTATTGCATAGAATTTTTATTATATTGCATTATAATTATTAGGCATACACAATTATTTATATATATATATATTTTTTTTTTTTAATTAAATTTATATTAATTTATTGAAAAATATGCGGAAAATAGCATTATGAATCTATGAATATAAATATTTAACGTTATATATATATATAAGAGGCTGTGTGTGAAATTGTGTGCTATTTATAGGTTCGAAGCATAGCATTTTCTTCTTATTATGTAAAACTAAGAGCATCGATCTAAGTAACTAGTAACTATGTTTGTGTCATGCTTTTGATGACCTGAGTTCTGATTTAGTGCCGATTGTATGCAAAATTAACAGTTAAGCTTCACAATGTAAAATTCTATGCCAAAATATATCAAATCAGGTCACACACAGGGAGTCGCACTTTTTACTTTGAGTCATTATTTTCTATAACACTCAACTAACATTCAGATCTAAAATATCACAAAATTACTAGTCTCATGGACTTTATTATTATTAATAATCACTGATTATTAATAAATAAAAATCACTAATCACAAACTTTTATGTAACAATCTCGTTGTTTCCATTTATTAAAAAGAGCGTATTTATATTTGTAAACATTGCTACTATTGGAAAGTAATTTAGTTTATAAAATAAATATAAAAAATTTAAATAAATTGAAAGTTTGGCCATACCCGTTGTATAGTTTGTTTGCATTAATTCGAGTACGTTATTTGCATATTTCGACCCGATTTTTCCGTCTAAATAAAACTTGTAATCTTGACTGAGAAAACAGAATCCTTTAAATAATCATTTTAATTGTTGATGTCAATATTTACATTAAAATACAATTACAAATATTGTTACTTCTATCTGTATGTAATCGATCTCTCGTTAATGATTATAAAAATTGTTCTCTTATATTTTTAAATAAAATTGTTATTCCAATTTAGTTTATGTTTCACAAAATACAATAATTTACAAAACTATTATGTAAATATTAAAAAGAAAGTATTCGCAGATTAATAAATTTTTATAAAATAATTAATCCAATTAATTCTTATTAGTCCAGCAAAAGCAACATCTCCTTACTCTGATGTAGCAACTAGCGGTGAAAAGACTCCTTCGTGTCCAGTTTGCCAGAGCACTTTGTTTAAGAACAATGACGAACTCACTGCTCATATTGAAGAGCACTTTACAAAAAAAGAAACTCCTTCACCAGTTACACCAGAATTTTCAACGGATAGACTTCTTGCACGCGACATGGAAAGACGTGAGAAGGAAGTCAGAAGGTTGAGGGAACAGCGTGAATTCGCATTACTCCAAGCGCAGTATGGTATGGATAATCAGGGTAACTTTAGAGAGCAGAGTGTGACAAATATGCAGCGGGCTGTGTATGCTGGTGAAATGTCTGTAGCGGATTATTATGAAAAGCAGATTGAACTAAGAGTTGCTGAGAATAGCGGTATCGACGATGGTAGTTCTTGTACTCGAGGTAATTTTTATACTTGAAAGTTAAAGTGTCATTAAATTTTGCTTCATTAGAGAAGTTGTTGGTTTTTTTTTTATAAATTAAATTACAATATAAAAATTATTAAACATGCATAAATGTGTGTATATATATATTTCATAGAAGTCAACTTTTGTTTCTATAACAAATACATAGTTTTTATTTATTTATTTTTGAAGCTTAAAGTAAAAAATGAAAATGAAATTTTTTGAAAGCAAAAAACTACTTTAGTTTGACTAGTATTCGATAAATCATTTTTAATGTTTGAGTCATAAGAAATATACATTTAAATATTTTTTTATTTTTCATTGTCTTAATTATGTACAATAACAAAAAGAATGTAATAATTTTATAATTATAATTTTATATTTATATTTTTATTTATAATATAAATTGTTAGAATAAACTTTTTTTTATAAGTTTAGTGATACGCAATCCCCATAAGTCTCTGAATGCGATGGATGGGTGACATTGGATCGGAAATGTATGAGTTTCTAAAGTGAATATTTGTTTTATCTAAATTATTAATATTTTTTTACACTTACATTGCCTTTTTATTATGTTTGAAATGTAAAATTGGATATTTAAATTTTATATATAACAATATAAATTAAGTACATTTTTATGAGTTAATTTTTAGTTATAAATATTTCTTGTATTATATATTTTATACATTTTAGATAAAATACACTATATATTCTAAATTATTAGTTTAATAATCTTTTTATTCTAACAATTCTTATGGTATTTATACTTGATATTAATAAATAAACCTAAATTTGGCTAAGCAGTCAAACAACTTTCAGGGCTTGTGCCCAAGGTAAGAGCAGCCAGCCAAGCATGCAGCAATGTCGTGAATACTTGGATGTGTTCAACAGTAGATCATTATGCAGTAACTTATGGAGATAAAGGATGGGGCTGTGGTTATAGAAATATGCAAATGATGATATCATCATTACTTCAACATACAGGATATAATGAGCTAGTATATAAGGCATGGAGTTCTGGTGTTAGTAATAACAGTTCTCATGAAAATCCTCAACGAAGTTCGATGCCCTCAATTTCAAGGCTTCAAAAGATGATCGAGTGGGCTTGGACACAAGGATTTGATATCCAGGGTGCTGAACAGTTGGGAGCTAAGTTAGCTAATACTAGAAAATGGATAGGAGCTACTGAAGTTGTAACACTTTTGTCAAGCTTAAGAATCAGGTACATCTGTTGAATTAGCTTAAATTAAAAATATACATTATTTTTACGTTTCATGTTAGTTTATTCTTTGCTCTCTTAAAATTATTAATATTTAAAAAATGTATTTTAGCCTGCATAATATATAAATTACGTTTCAGATGTCAATTGGTAGATTTTCATAGGCCAACAAATCCAGATGGTGGTCATCCTCAGATGTTTAAATGGGTTTTACAATATTTTCAACGAAATGATGATTTTAAACCTCCTCTGTATCTTCAACATCAAGGTATTATTTTTATTTTTACATAGTTCAAGATAATAAGGAATAAGTTTTTTTTTTAATACAGGTCACAGTAGAACCATTATGGGAGTAGAACAACTTAGAGATGGTTCTATAATTATGTTAGTACTTGATCCAAGCCATAGTCCATTTCAAATGGCTCAGTTTAATATTACAAGTAGTGTGCCAGGAGCAATGAGACTTGTAAGAATATCTACTGTTGCAATGAAAGCACGGCAATATCAAGTAGTTGCTGTAATAGGTATGATGGAAACCGAATTGCAATATCAAGTAAGAAATTTGCAATTAATTTATATTATATAATTTATTTAATATATTAAAAATAATTTGATAAATTTATATAAAGCTAATAATTATTTTATTTTATTATGTTAAGTATTAAATTTATATTAAATCTTTGGAAATATTTTTTATTATACATTTCTTTAAAATTAATTCTTTAATTAAAGCTTATAATGACCTTTAATTTTTATATTTTCTAATCATATAATGTGTTGAATATTAATTTGTAATATCACATTTCTTTTACAGCAAAGTAAAGTATTACATTCTTTAAGAATTCCAGATGATAGATGAGATTTAATAATATGGAAGTTAAGATGTTTTTGGAGAAGAAAATATTTTGATTTTAGCTTAACCATTTCTACAGTCTTGAAAGTTGTGTGAAGAAAATAATTTTCATTAACAGAATTTTGCTCTTCAAAAGTGATAAATTAATGTTATTCTAACATCACAAGTCACACTTCTTCATTTATTCAAAAGAAGTAAATACAATTCAGTAACAATAGAGGGTAACAATGTTAAAGTTAACCTGCTATGCTAGTGCTATACTATTGATATTTTAATTTTAAGACGACGAATTTATCGAATTTATTCTTTAAGCATAATCGTGATAAATGTGAATTTTGGAGGGACTTAAAATATGTCAGCTTAAGACTAAATGTAAAATAAATAAACTTAGGCTTGAAAATGAAATTTTCTGTTGACATTTAGTCCCTCTTAAATTCTTTAGCTTTTCAGTACTTTCGCTTAAAGCGATTGTACTCCTGAAGCTCATATCTTAATCTAGATAATTCTGTTCAATCCTTATTGTACAAATTGATAAAATCATGTCATTTCATTGATTAAATCTTTCTGCACTAAGGTTAGAAATACGAATAAAATGTATAATTGTAATGATGCAATTAGTTTCTAATGTACACATATTTATCAATGAATTTAAGTACACGTGATCCTAGTCAACCACTGAATTTCTAATCAGTATAGTCAATTTAATAGGAATATGTAATGTAGCATAAACAAATATATTATTTGCTATTTAAATTTTTTACTTATTAAGGTGGTGCCTCACATTTCTAAACCTAATGCAAAAAGATTCTTACATATTTCATTATACTCTATAACCCATTAGGAATTCATAAAATACAACTACTTTCATACTATTTAAAAAATTCACATATTTAATTATTAAATTTATAAAAGACTAAAAATATCCTAGCTTATAAGTCTATACAAATTGTGAATAATTATTCTATTTGATTATTAATTAACTCTATTCAATTCGTAAGAAAATTTTTTGACTTTTTATCCAATAAATTGTAATTACTAAAATTTATTAATCAATATTTTCCATGTTTATGACTAAAAACAATATTATGATCTAATATTTTAATGTAATATTGTATTTTAGTTTAATTAAACAAGATATTAAAGATTTAATACAATAAAATTTAATATTATTATATTTCATAGTTGGAAAATTTATTATGCACGGTTATGTATAAAGAACTTGTTATCACATGATTTTGGTATAAGGGAATATTTTATGTCAATACTTGAGAAATTTTAGAATTATTATATTACGCATTCCAATAAATTATTTGCTGAATTAAAATATATGCTTTGTTAGAAAACCTAAAACAGTATTACATTCTTATAATAAGGATGCACCATTTTTTTCACAATAATTAATAAAATTTAATAAACATTAAACTGTTATAAATGTTTGTTTCTTCTAGTTATTTTATATCCAATACTTATTTATATTATAACATATTAAATATTTTCAGGATATAATAAACTTATCCGATATATATTGTTGTCATTTAAAAAATGATATAATATATGAATAAAAAAGTAATTAAAAGGAAATAAAATGAAAGTCAATAAATTTATAAATTATTTATTTACATTATATAGTGGAGTTTAACTTAAAATAATAAAATTGATTTTTACTAATACTTCGAATGGATCACCATAAGTCTAGTCGAATTCAGTTTGTTAAATATTAAATCCTAAGTATCGCATACATGCTTTATGTGCTTCGATAAGATGCCCACACTCAACTTCACCTTTAGTAATAATGCTGCAATAAAAAACAATTATTATAGACATCAATCTATAGAATTATGAAATTTAAAGATAAATATATTTTATATCTTTCAACGATTTATATTCATATAATTATAAATTCTAAATGTTGATATTATTTTATATTCTTTTCAAAATAACAATTTTAACATAACCTAAAATTATTAGAACTACATACCATTCATCTCTAACTTTTTTGGTTTCTGGACAAGCACAACAAGGTTTCAAAGGTTTCTTCTCTGCATCTGTTGTAGCTTCTACTTTTGTCATTTTACTTCCCATTTTATTTAGAACTGTTTGTATGACTTATTAAATAATAATGATGGATTATGTAGCATTCACCGAACTTCAAAATGCGCAAGCCCGAGGCAAGTAAATATTTTACATTCATAAATGCTATATAATTTTGAAAATATTCAGTTGTAATATTCATTATAATTAATTATTTTCTTTATAAAGGAATATGATATATATTATGATTCAACTATTGTAATAATCGAACATTGCACAAACTGAACTTCAAAATTTAAAATATATTATTTATAAAAATGAAATTATTATATTATTTTATTAATCAATAATATAAAAAGTTTCTATTAATAAAATTATATAAAGTTTTATAATTATATGTTATTAAATATATCTTTAAAAACTGTTTTTAATGATTTGAAAAATATAGAAATAAAAAATATTAATTTGCACTGAAATTTTAATGAAGAATGTTAAAAATATATAAAATGGAGTTTTAATATAGTTAAAAAAAATTATTGAAAAGGAAAATATTAATTATAATTAATAAAAGAAATTAATCAATAATTATTATTACAAAGACTACAATGTATTAAATAATTTATATAATTAATATATATATTAAATATACAAAACAAAATATAATATGAAAGGGAACGGAATAAAAACATTCATACATACAATTATCTAACATTTATAATCTTTTATTTGATTTTTCATACCAACTGCTGCGTTTACAGATCGAGCACACTGCTTGATTTTTATATATTCACGTTTACTTTTATCATATATCTTATGCAATATGAACTTCTTTTTATTCTGATTAAATAATAAGCTACTAAAATAGACTCGTTCAAAATCGTTTACTTGCGAGTCATTCTGAACGTCGTAAGTATAATAAAATTTTGTGTGTGTGTGTGTGTGTGTGTGTGTGTGCGCGCGCGCGCGCGCATGTGTGTGTACACGTAGCATTAAAAATTTTAAATATATCATATTCCGGAAAAAACTAATATAGTATTAAATTTATCGCATAATTACAATTTATCTCGATTTTACAATTTTATTTAGCATTTCAACTATAAAGCTCCAGGTACAAAGTAATGCAATCTACTTGTTCTTTATTATTGTTTACTAAATTAGTAACAATTTTTCTCAAAATATATACTTTCTATAAATGATTGTATTTCATTTAAGCAGTTTCGTAATGAGTACTATACTTGATTTTGACATTCTGTTCATCAATTCATTCGAGCGATGCGAAACAGAAAAGCAAAAATTTTCAAAAATAAAACCAAAGAAATTAAAAATAATAAAGATTTATATGGATAAGTATTGTTATAAGTTATGAGTTTGACATATCATTTAGTTGTACAAATTATAATTAATATAACTAAATAAGCTCTTTTATGAATTAGACAATTCAAATTTGTACATTTTGGCGCAGTTCTAACGCATTGTCTCAATTTAATCGAGCACTTGGTTGATTATGAAAAATTTTGAATTTAGCTCATTGTGACTTATATTTTTATATTATTATTGATTTAAATCACAATAAAAAATTTTAATTTAAAACTATCTACTAATTGGCACAATAATTAGTTAGATCTATTTAATGGTTGTTGAATTTGTCACTAACCTGTCTTTTGTTATTTTTATCATATGTAGATAAATAAAAAATTTAATATAATACAAATATGTAGCAAATATTTGAAAGCGTTGCAATTATACATAGTTTATCATTTTTCAAACGTTATATTTTTTATTTTTAACGTATTTTATTTTTATGGCTTATGTTATAAGTATTTCTTTAAATTTGTAAAATTTACAGTCTATTTCATGATTTATATTTGCTTAACATATAAACGTAAAATAATTCTAAAAATGGAAAAGTATAAAAATTAAATTTAAATCTTAAAATATTGAAAACGAAGTTTTCTATTATTGAGTGTCTGAAATAATTCAATTGTTTATATAGGTATCGTAATGTGTACATACTTCATTCATTAAAATTGTTTTTAACGTATTCATAATATCAATTATTTTCAACTTTTCTATTCTGTATTTATAAACAAATATAATCTATATTTTTATTCTTAAATAAATTGAATGTTATATAAATAAAATTCATACGTGTTTAGAACTAATAATGTATATTTATGCTAAATTTATAATAGAAGATTTACTCATAATTAAATCTGATATATCATATTTCATATCTATAAATCAATAAAAATTAAAAATTTTATAACTTAATTATTTTGTTATTAAAAATGTTAATTTATTATTAATATTTATGAAAACATTTAATAATAAATTCAATCAATTTATTAGAAGCATAATACTAATAATCTCGGAACAATATCTTTCCAATATTATGTAAAAAATATTACAATATTAATGGAAAAACGAATTCTGAAACTTACAAAAAAATCATTATTTTATTCCACTCATTTAATATTAATATTTTTCATTTAATTTGTAAATTTTTTTTCGTTATTTAAACGTTTAATGTATATATTTTTAATAATGTTAGAAAATATTTTAACAACTTATGTAAAACGCAGTAAAAATATAATATTTTTGCAATATTCATAATATTGTTTTAAATTCCTCAATAAATTATTACATTTTTAATAAAACATTCGAGAAATAATTATATCAGACTGGATTACGTTACCGTTTTATTTAAAAATGCTTTATAAGTTTTGTTAAAAAATTGTTCCGATACAAATTAAAAAAATGCATTGTTACATATAGGATTCTTATTCGAGAAAAAGTTTTCTTTTTGTTTTTTAGTTAGTTCTTTGATTTCTTTATATAATACGCGAATATAATTTTTGAATGAAATATATGTTTATAGTTTTGCACTATATTTATTATCAACCTATCATATTTTTTATTTATAATAACCTCTACAAATTGTTTACATTATTATAAGATACCTAATTCAATGTCGATGTGAAGACAATGTTTCGTTTTTTTCTATAATTTAGAATGGAAAACTTTTAATTGAAATTTTTGTTATTAATTATATATACAAAATATTACATCAGTATCATATTGTTTAAATTTCAATATTTTTAAATTATTGTAAAAAATTATCATGAAATTATTTGTGAAATAAAGTGTCGAATAAAAAATAAAAAGGAAGATATATCCTACAATTATTATATTTAGTAATTTTCATAATTTTCCAATTTTATGAAAAACTTACCATGATATCTAACGAAACTCTTTTACTTTTATTTATAAATTATAATATATTTTAATAAATTAAATTTATAGAAAATTATTTATCGTTAATTTGTATGTAGAATAATTTTATAAAATAAGTATTAATTTTTTATTTACATATAATTAGTTAGTTAAATGTCACTTCATATATAATATATCACCATCATAATCTAATTGATTCCTGTAGAGTTCTTTCAAATTACATGAGAAATAGTTTTTATGTAATTTTTTGTTATTCTTATTACAGTTTCTTTACAATTGTTATATATATACTGGTTCCCTCTCTCGCGCTCTTCATCTTTTTTTTTAAATTATTTTTAAAAAGAGATAATTGTGTATTTGCACATATATTTTATGCTTATCCTTAATCTTTAATCATTTTAATTTTCATGCAAATGAAATATTGCACGGACTTTTTATTATGAAATCGAAATTATTCGACAGCCAAAGAACTCTCTGTGTTCAATATTTTTCTTTTTTTGGTAAGATTTTTTCTATTTAAAGTTCGCTGTCCTTTTTTTTATCCAGACTTAATTTAATTTTCACTTACGAATGCAGTCTAATGTAATACTTCTACCGCTATAATAAATATTGTTATAAATAAAATTGCTTAATACAGTTTATAAAATATATTTCTTTAATTTTGTAATAATCATTGATATTACCAATGCATATTGATAACGTAAAACAATTCTGCATTCATACTTTCAAAAATAAAATATGTTAAAAAACTACTGTATTAAATAAAAATCTGCTTTAACAGCAAGCAAATATTATATTTTATGTATCAATCGCACATGATTATAAATAATCATACGTATGTAATTGATTTACTTTTTAAGTCAAATTAATTTTTTATTTAATATCGTTTAAATATATCCTTTAAATATCATAATTTTTAATTTGCCTTTAAATTATTTCTACTGTACAAATTTATTTTAACTTTTATAAAACATTTCGTGTAACTTTGAATTAAGCTGTATTTAAAAGACATATAGAATAATACTTAAACTATGTTCAATCTTCTAAAATATATTATTGTTACCAGTAATTTTAATAGTAATTTTTCACTTATTCATGTACATTATGCAAGGATGCGTGGGTCTTTATATAATTGACAATCTACTTCGGCAATAATGTGTAATAAATTACAATAATAATGTAATAGTATAATTAAGTAATTATAATTTGATGATATGTGTCTCAAGATGTATCAGGCGCTTTATACATTCACCCATACATACCAACATAAACCGCCTCAGCCACTTCAGACGGATGTATACACAAATCTTTATGTATAAGTATATATAAATCTAGTATTTATTTTTTAGCTGTACGTTTTGACATTTACTCTTTAAAATATTCTATAATATACTATATTTATCTATCTATTGATGAACAATATAATTTTGGCAAATTCATGAATGAATTCTTTTTCTCATCATTTGATTTCTTAATAAATTTTTGGATATTTTTAGTCTTCATTTTGATGATACTCTTCACTTTTATAGAATGAGATTAACTTTAAATATTTTAGAATGTTTTTATTTATTTGTTTATATACTTTCTTTACTAATATATTTATGTTCTATTATTATTCTAAAATCAACATTTAACAATTTTATTCGTATTTTGCATTTTTCTAAATTTCAAAATGCATTTGTATTAAATAATATACGGTACTCACAGATTGGTAAAAACTGTTTTTGATTTTTTAATTAAGAAATTAACGGAAGATAAAAGATTGGAAATTTAATGTCAATATTACAGATTAAGGAGAAAGAAGTATGTATATGTTATATATATATATATATATATAATTGTATGAATATTAATTATAATATTAATTTGTAATTAAATAAAATTTAATTAAGTAATTAAAATTTTTTCTATTTACTTCCCTTACACTTTTATAAATATTTTTGGTTATTGTTCTTTTTCTTATTTTTTTTATTTCATTAAAATTCTTAAAATATTTCAAATATCTATATCTTTATTAGCGTTTTGTATTAATTTTAAGCAAATAATTATTGCGTGTTAGTGCGGAAGAAGGAAATATCGTTCATTCACATATTATATTTCTCTTCGATTTATTTTTACTTTACATTTGTTAATAAATTGTAAATTTATATTTATTTTTATTTTCGCAAAAAATGAATAGGTCTACAAGAATTAAACATCTATCATATAAGGATGAAAAATATTATTTGTATGGTTTTATGCAAATTCATTTTATTGTAAAAGCTCTATATAATATTATATATTTTTATTAACAAATATTTAATTACATAATTCATTTTAATTTGAAAACAATGCCTTTGAATAATGCTATAGTATTATTTTTAAATTATCAAAGATTTAAAAATGAATCGTAATAAAATTAATTATTTTAGTACATTTAGAGAGTAAGTTTAAAAGAAATTTAATTTTAATTAACATCTATCTTTTGTAGTATCGGACAGTATTTCTAGGAAGTTTGTATTTTCATCTTTTTTCTATCGAACGATTGATCGTCTAGTATGTTATAGGATCGCTATGCGTTTATGAACACTTTTTTTAACGTTTTTAGTATGATGTAGTTAGTAAAAATGTTAAGTGATACTTATGAAATTTGTTTAATAATGATTTATTGAAATCTAGAGAATCTATACATAGAGTATTTAGATAAAAGAGGGAATTTTATTTTAATTTTATTTTGTTTGATATTTATCAGTGTATTGGGCCATTATAAACATTCTTTATTTTAGTTTCTACAACATTCATTCATTTTTTTATACCGAACTAAACAATACAACAGCTGGACAGTAACGTAATAATTAAAATTTTTTAGCAAAGAGTATTGATATAACTTTATATCTTTATAGAAAATTATAAATTATAATTTTGTATATTTATAGAGATCTATAACTTACAATGTACAGTTTAATAGTCATATAATAAAATAAAAATAAAAATGAATTGGATAAACTGCATAATGTATATAATTCGCTATTAATATCATACATTTATTTTTAAAATATATTATGTTTCATATTGTAAACATGTAACGAATTACAAAATTTACAATGAAATAGTAATACTTTTCTAACTTATTTAATCCTTAATATCCAATAATTCAATAATTTCCAATATCCAATATTTAATCCTTAATAATCCAACTCATTTAATCATTAATTTAAATAATTTAGGCTTCTGATGATTCTTATATAAACTTGAATGCAACATTGCAGCATCTATATTTTGTTTATAATAATTTTAATAATACTAATAATCTTTTGATTTTTCACTCTTGTGGTATATATTTATTTTCAACTGTTATAACTAATAAATAATAAAAAATACTCTTTTCATTGTTAACTTTCTCTTACTTAATAAAATCAATGAATTAGTTTAGAGTAAAAAAAGTTAAAACACTTAACACTATATATAGAATCATATTTACTAATTAGTATTCACAATTGCTTATAATTTTATTAAATTCTTAAAATTGTATTAAAGATAAGAATTATTATATTTTTGTATTTCTATTTATTTACACTATAAAATCAATACAATTCTTTATATACCCTAATTTTTTTTTTAATGAATCAATGTTTAAATAAGTATTATGATTTATGAAATATTAATTATTATATAGTTAGTTATGAGATAATTTCTAGAATTTTATAACAATTTATCGTATTAAATCAATGTTCTACGTAAAGAAAAGTTTATCTACCTACACTAATTGCTTCAATATAATGAGACTTATACCTGATACGTTAATTATCCCTGTAGTAAGTCAGTATAAAACAAATAAATAAGCAAACGAAGAGTATTTTTGTTATTAATAAAACGTTGATATGACGGATGCATATTCGCTACTAAATATGACATGTATTTGGCCGCTTCTAGAATTACTGGTACATTCATTTACTTAGCATCTCTAATAAGTGCCTCCTCGGCTTCCTTTTTTCGAGTTTTTGCTTCCTTTTTCGCTCGTTTCTTCTCTTCCTTGGCAAATTTTTTTGCTTCCTTCTGACGAGCCTTTTCTGCCTTTTCCTCTTCCTTCAGTCGCGCTTTCTCCGCTTTTTCGCGTTCTTTTTCACGCTCTTTTTCTTTTTTGGACTTTTGCACCTCCTGAGCGACAGACAACTGCTTCGGTGTTGTACCTGATGATGAGGATAAGTGTTTCATGATTCTATTATTTGAGCCCATTGCAGCCGACGTTTTGCTAGAGGATGTAGAAATTGATGGGGTCACAGTGTCATTCGTCGGGGTAGATCTTGAGGTACTTGCACAGGATTGTGAGGTATAAGATGCCGGTGACGTCTCCAATTGCGTTACGATTTTTTGAGCGCATCTGTTTTTATAATTATTTTGCGTTTAGTTTTAATCAATAAAAATATAAATTTATTAATTCAGTAGTCAAATGATTAAGTGTTATGTTATAAATATTCTTAACATTAAATATGAAACAAAATGTATATTTAAAAAAGTAAATAACTCTTTTATTTAAAGATATAATTAAATATTTTTTAAAAAAAGGTATGATTTATTTTAGATTTTAGTCTTTTTAACCTTTTATAATAAAAATTAAGATTTAGAGTTCAGTAATCTTTAGAAATAATGCAATCAACTTTTTACCGTAATCGCGTGGACGCTTTTCCGACTCTGTAATCTCTTTGGAACTCCTTGATTGGGGGTAGTCTTCGTTCTCGATTTTCTCGCAGTACTTCTTCTTCTTCAACAGCCACTTGTATTGGATCCTGATATTCCTAAAAATTATTATAAAACCTTTATAAAAGAAAGTAATTTATATAAGATTTATCATTTTTATGTATAAATTTAGAAAACAATTTTTTCTGATTTTTGACTATACAATAATTTAATTTGATTTTGATAATTATTCATATGAAGTGTTTTATTAATTAATTAAGTTTTCAAAACAAAATTTCTTAATATATATATATCTTATTTTCATGTAGTAAAAATACATTTAATTTTCATAAAATTTTTATTTTTATGAAAAATAAAAATATCAACCATACAATTATTGTTCAGGAGTATATGTAAATGCGATATTGGGAGGCCAATACAATAACTAAATAAGATCTTTTGTTTAGTTAGGCAAAAATTTCAAATAATTAATTTCTATAATTTTGATAAATTTGTCTTTTTATAGAGGTATTTTTCTTTACAATTTATGACCATCTATCTTTATTTATTTGCTTCGATGTTAACAAAATTAATATAAGTTTTTGTTGATTATTAATTTTATATCTTTTATTTATTCCAAAGTGTTGAAAATTAATGTAAATTTTCTAATTTACATCGATTATCTTGTCCTTTTTTCCCTCTTTTTCTTCTTCTACTCTTTTTCTATCATTTTTTAATTTCATAATCTACGCAAAGCGCAATAACAATCATAAAAATCTAATAATTATTATATTATATAATGTAACATAATATAACATTATATCATATGCAATAACATTATTAAAAATCTTATTCCAAGACATTTGTATTTGCGATAATTATAAATTGAATTATATAATTATCAACATTTCTTTAAACAAAATTTAATCTTATTGAAAATATAATTTAAATAAAAAAACAAGTCGTTATTGAATATTTAATTTTTATCAAATTATTAATTTTGGGTTTTATAAAAAAATTAATATTTATACTTATTATTGTATATATAGTAAATATTATACATTAAATTCAATTGTCAAATATTCTACCTGAATGCGCATTTTCATTGAGTGTGTTTGTGTTTTTCTAAATGTCGCACCGACAGGTTGTCTTACTCTTGAAGGTTTGCCGAGACTCGAACTTCCAGAACTTCTTGTACTGCTGGCCGATGAAACGGAAGAAACTCCTACAAAGAATAGAAAATAAGAATACGTAGAATTATTTGATAAGGCATATTTCAACAATTGTTTATAATAAATTATTTATTATAAGATTTGTTATAAATGCTTAATTTTGTTATAATGACACTATTAATATATATTTTTCAGGCTGAAAAATACTAACTAGATATAGATGAAGATCCGCTGTCCATGGAATAAAGGGATGCAGAGGCTGGTACATTACCAGATGTCCATCTCCCGCCTGGCCCTGAAACACCGACTGGCACTCCAGCACCCATGTTGTACTCCGAGGCACTCTGTGGTAGTATCCACGATTTGCCTGATATTGAATACTATTAGGATAATAAAAACATAAGATTTAAAGAGCAGAGAATATGGAGAAATACACAGCTTATAATTAGCAGTTGACTGTAAAAATCAAATGAATTGTTTAAATCAGTAAATTGGTAATTTTTATATTATTAAATATTCCATATTTTATCTCAATTTTATTCGTTTTTAAATAAAATTTAATAATCTAATAATATGATTTAGTACGATGACAATATAGACATATTTATATTAACGTATGTTACGTAGTTAAGGTGACATTTATGATATGATAATGTTAATCAAAAGAGTTATATAAATGAAAAAATGTACTGTATAACTCTTGAAAGACTTCTAGATACAATAATCAATGTAAACCAAACAAGCACTGCGTGTTTGTAAATGCGAGTAGATATTTATTTTGTCTGAGCAGTGATAACATGTTACTACTTGAAATGTGAAATATGTAAAGTTATAGATTTTAAGAATAACAATATCAAATATTTTTATAATTATATGTTCTTTATAATATACAAAGAAATAAAATATATGGCGTATGCCTTTATAATTAAATTAAAAAAATAAAATACTATTATCACATCAAATATGTTTATTTTTTTTAAATTAATTAATCAATTTTCATTTATTAATAGTATTAATATTTTTTCATAACATTTAATGAAAGACATTTCAATTTAAATCAATTTTATTATAAAGTAACTAATAAAGTATATTTAAAATAATGTACGTAAGTAATAATGTATGTATTTTGTTTTTATAAATTAAAATTTACAAGATAAAGATTATTTTACTTACATCTCGTCGAATAAGAGTTTGTTTCAATCGTAAAATTTTTGCTCTACATATTACGCATCTTAATGGTAGAAGTCTCTGAGAAACAGCCATTTGTATTGTTTTAACGAAACAGCGCCTATAATCAAATATTTAAATAATACATTTTTTAATTTAATTTAATAATTTTAATTATGATTTAAAGATATTTAAAAAAAATGAAAAGTAAAAATTTGTGAAGATGAAGAGGTACTATACCGTTTGAAAAATAATGTAAATTATTATATTTATCTTACAATTAAATGATTAATTTTTATATTAAAAAATTAATGTAGTATTGTAATTCTGAAAATTGTATTTATGTATTGTATTGTATTTATTATGTAAATTAAATTAAATTAAATTAAATTGTATTGTAATTATGAAAAATCTCTTGATTGATTGAGTATTTTAATGAAATAGGTTTATGGAAAATATTTAATTAATTATTTTTTGTAATATCATAAATTTTTTATTTCCTTTTGTAGTATATGGAATTAAATAGAATTTAATAATGTATTATCAAATTATTTTAAGTAAAAATTATAATTTATTAATTTAATTAATTCCAGATAATCTACAATTTAATTTAACAAGAGTTTAGATATGAAAGATGTATGGCAACACTTTATTTAAATATTATTAAATGACCAATTATTTTCAATCTTCTTGTTAGGCTATTATTTAAAAAAGTTATAACATATTATAATTAATAATTAATATATTTATAATTAATTTTTAAATATAGAAAAATGATAACGATCTAGTTATAATGTTGTATAATATAATCAAATAATATAATATATTTCAAATAACATAATATATTTCAAGTAACATAATTAATTGAAACACTTGTAACAATGGTATATACGTTAATCTTACCTGCAAACAACTCGGTGGCCGCAAGGCGCAGTTTGCATTGTAGCTCGTGCATTCACACATATCACACACTGAAACAAAAATATTTAACCGAAAAATTGAAAAATAGAAATATTTATAATTCAATATTTTAATGAACATTTACATAAATAAAAAATATATGCGTTATATTATAATGTTAGTTTTTTTTTAATAATATATTATTAATAACATAAGATATAAATGAATTTATAAAATTTGAAGCATATTTTAGAATTGTGGAACATTTTTTTAAATACCCTTAATAAATTTAATAAGGTACTCTCTATATTTTATTTTATGTATGTATTATCTTTACATTTATTATATTTAAATTTTATTTGTTTTAAACAACGTTTACTTAGTTATTAAACAATCATAATTAAAAATTTTAATTATTATTCGAAATATATGTTTTAAATTAAAAAAAATTAAAACATTTATCAAGTTAAAGTTTAATAAATTGTACTACAATTATTACGATATTTCATATTCTCACATTTACTATATTGATACAATACTGTTATATATGATAAATTTATTAAGTAAAATGTTTTAAATCAATAAGAATATTACGTTATCAAAATAATTCTATTAAAATTTTTTTAATAATATCATTATACATATATCATTATATATCTTAATACTTTTAAATTTTTCTTACATATAAACCACTGTGAATTCTGTCTTAAATTTTTCTATTATACAAAAAATATTGCCTATTTATTTCGAATTTCACATTCGCAATTGAAGGAGATTTCTATATAAAGTATTAAAAAATAAGACAATATTATTGTAAAAATTTACGATTAATTAATGAAAATTTAATTTATTAATAAATTCATAATTAGAAGTCATATTTGATGTGAAATGATCAGCCCAAGTGTACACAAGAACTTGGGATTATAAAATGCAAATCATTTGAAAATAGAGATTTAGGTTCAATGTACAATTTCTAAAGAAGTCGATCTAATAATATGAAATTAGAAACCAATTCTGATCCTTATTCTTAATATTTATACGCGTAATATAATATATTTATATTTGCATGTGTACGTACGCATGCACATATGTTTTGTAGGAAATCGGATTCATGTATTCATGTAGGAACTCGAACAGTATATAAAATAACTATTTAAATAGTTAATATACTTTCTCTATATTTTTCGTTCGGATCATTCATATTGATTAATTGTCAATTCGCAATTACATAAATGTATTAAATAATCAGTTGAAAACTATCAATCTAATAATAAACAAAATGAGTGGATAATAATAATAAATATTAATATTACTCATTAGTTTAATATATTATAAAAAAAGATGTAAGGTGATTTAATATTATTTTCTGTAATAGTAGTTATTAAAGTATAAAATCAACTGTTATTTTAATTGGATTAATTTTATTATTTATTATTTCTTTAATTACTTTTTCTATAAATATTAACATTTTTGCATATAGTATTAAAAAGTTTTTAGTTAATTAAATGTAAATTCTACATTTTTTTTTAGATTACTATTTTCAAAATATACATGAAAGATTAATTTCATTCATTCATTATGACTTTAAATGTACTTTATATTTACATACAATATTAAGGAAAAAGAAAATTATATAAATACGTTAAGTTCAACATTTATTAATTTTGAATAAGTACATATGATTTTTAATATTATGTAACAAAATAAGAGAATATTCAGATATTATGTCTTAATAAAGATCTTTCTTTATTTTGTTAAGATCTATCTTTCTTTTTCTTGGAAAAACTTTAATTTAATATTTTTCTGTCGTACGTTAAAAATTTTTTATATAATTTTTTTTCCATCTTACAAATTAATATTGAATTATACATTCATTAAATTATGGAATATACTTCAATATAAGATATTAATGAAAATTAAAATTATTCTTTTTCTTACATAAAGTTTGAAGTATTTTACCAGAAAAATATATTTTATATATTTTCTATAATATCCAATTATTATTAATTATTATTAATCCAATAATTATTATTAAAAATAGTTTTTTATATAATTAGCTTTTTTTAAATATTTATTTTACAACAAATTAAGAAATACAAATATTCTCTTATCGATCGTTCAATATCACTTTGATAAATTCGAAAATAATCAATACTTGCTATCTCAAAATTTACGTCATTTTTACAATTGAACTTTGAACAAGGAAATAACGTTTATTAGAGTATATAAATTTATATATATATATTTCATGAAATATAATATTTATTTCCAATAAAATATTTTAATATAAGTGGATGTGTTCCTTACATATTCTTAATATAGGAGAGAGAATGTATCAAATCTGATATATATATATAAATAAGTGTTTTGATATATTTTGTATAGAGTTAATTAAGTTGATTATTAAAATATTTTTTTATCATATGATATATTTTTATTTTTAAATAAAATTTATAATAATAGAAGTAAAAATAAAAAACGTTAAAAAATTAAATGTTTAAATGTACACAATTTTTATATTTTAAAACAGTATAATGGGATTCGTGATTCTATTATATAAAATCATTTTGACGATAAATAATTGGTAGTTAACGATTAAATAGAAAAATCACTTGATGACTTAAAGTATAAATATACAACGCGTAATTAAATTTAGTATTTAAAGAGAAAAAGCGCTTTTTTCTTTGATTCAGGCTAAGTTAAATAATGTGGTAAAGAATATTTTACATATTAGTCCATTCATTTAAATCAGATGTATGTTAATTTATAAAATAATTCTTTAATAATCGTTAAAACTCAGCTATGTCAAATAATTAATTACATAATTAATTAATGTATAATATTCAACTAGTATTTTGATAGGTACTTACATTTTTTCTCTATATTATAAATAGAATTAGAGGAGTTAATAATTACATAATATAAAAGAACTGACACTTAATAAAAATTTAGTTTGGTCTTAATAAACTATAACATGAATAAGTAGTATTTTATCATTTGAATAATGTGTATAAATTTTAGACTTACTTTATTTGTATATATTTCTTTAGATCATAAATATAATTTATAATTTATAAAATATATATTTTATAAATATCAATATATTGTCACATACTAATATTAATTATTTATAACAACAAATAAGAAAACTCGTATACGTTTTATGATAATACTATTACTTAGGATCAATTTTATTACTAAAAGAAATGAATATTTTATAACATTTAACAATAAAAATTATAATTAAAGAGTAATACTTAATTAATGCAAAGACAGAATTAAGGTATTCACATTTTTTAATTATTTAAGTAATTTTACTTAAAAACTAGATAATAATCTATTACAATATAAGAATAAACAAATTACAAATTATAATAAGAAAAGAGTATTAACAAACATTGAAAGAAGAAAAAATGAGTGCACTTATATGTATCCGTTTTTCCCTTTTTTCATTGATCGACCTCGAAAATATTCAACACTATAATTACTATTTTAACAGGCCGTAGGTCAATAAACTTACATATATCTGTATGTTAGGTCTAGTTTTCCATGTGGGTTCAATTTCATTTTAATTTTATTGGTTGACTGATTTATCTCAAACTTATTAAGTTTTATCGATATTATACTTTTTCATTATAAATTTCTTCTTATGTTTTTTAAATTCTATATTTAAATCAATTCTCTTATATAATTATTAATACATTATTACTATTTTAATAAAAATTATTATTCAATTATTCAATTCAATTTAATAAATTATTTATTCAAATTTCATTAGTCTTCAAAAACAAATATATATATATATATATATATATATATATATATATATATAAATTATTTTATGTACTTTGTTGTAGAAAATTTGTTTTCAAATAAAATAATTTATGTGTGTATAATAATAATTTTATGTATTTTATTATATTTTTAATTGTATTGATTTAAAGAATTCTAATTATTTTAATTGGATGCTTTATAGATATAATAGATGATATAATAATGAAATAAATGGAAAATGTTTATCGTATTTTTTTCTAATATATACATATATATAGAAGAGAAATATATAATATATATTTCTTAAATATACACATATACACATACAGAGTAAATAATTTTTCTAGTCGTTTAATGAAAAAATAAACGCATATTTTATATGCTATTTAAGTGCTCAAATGATTAATTTTAATTAAAGATTATTTTTAAAATAAATATAATAGATATCTTATATATTCAATTAATACTTTATTGACTGATGATCGTGTATAAATTTAAAATTGTGCAAATTCGTACAATAGGAAAATAATCAATACATTTGATATTTCTTCAATATTAAGTACTTGGCTTTTCTGATACTTCTAAAGATGACACCGTTGGTAGCAGTCGTACTAAAAAATGTTTTGAAAGAAATTATAAAACAATTGTGTAGAATAAAATAGTCCTAGTTTTAAATTAATTTTATATAGCATAATTTAAATGAATATAAAAAAATTATAATAAAAAAATGTAAATTATAATTATTATTATAATTAAATATTTATGTTTTAATTTATACTTTGTTTTATAAGAAGCTGTATATAAATAAATAAAAATTTTGATTTATATTTGCACATATATATATATATATATATATATAAGACAAATATAAACAGATTAGTTAAAATTACAGACATTGATTTTAACAGAATTAAAATCATCATGTATTTCAAATTTTACCAATTAAAAAATTAAAATCATAATAAAATCGCAATAAATTAAGAATGTAACAACTTAAGATATAATTGAAGATTAAATAAAAAAGAACATACATATTTTTCTACTATAAAATATATTATATTTTTCCTAATATTAATTGCAATAATATATAATTTTACTAATTATAATATCTTATAAAGTTTTTACCACTGAAGAGCTACGCAATTTAAATAGGAAAAAATAATACTACCTTTTCGAACAAAGTTAGAAGTGTTATTTTTGGGAAATGGATGTGGTGGTGGTGGTGGTGGTGGCATAGCAGGTCCGAAATCAGACTCATGATGCATTGACGGTGGAAGTTCATCCTATTCGATTATTACAGTTATACAGTAGTTAATTATCCTAGTTATATATACCTAATATTAATATTTTGTATTTTCATTTTAACATTAATTTTATGACTTTATTAATTTTTTTTTGTTCTATTAATTTAATTTGTTTTAGTAATATATATCTATGTATATTTAATTATATATGTTGGAAAATATCGAATAAATTTTTAACAGAATATGTATATATTATGTTTTGTGTATTCAAATAAAATAATACTGGTCAAAGGTAACTTTGACTCCAGCATTATAACATCAGTATTTATTAGAACTGTTTTAATATAAGTGTAGCGCTAACAAATGTGACGGACTTTTAATTGTTATATAATGGTCATTTTATGAAATTAAATTTTATCTAAGAAAAATATTAAATTGATTGATACAACATCTTTTTTGTTATTCATCTTTATTACTTTTATAAAATAATTTTTGCTTTTTTTAATTTTCAATAATCTCTCACTATATATATTTATTCTATATATACATATTCATGTGTATTTATAATAATTGTAAATGCTTAGATTTTAATTCATTAATAAAACTGTAATAATTTATTATTACAATAATTTTCTAAATAAAAATATAAAAATATAAAAATATTTGATATAATTCTATTATAAAAACATACTACAATAAAATTTCAAATTTACTTACCGCTAGACCACATAAAACGCAAATTGCAGCAATAAAAATAAATGAATATAACTTCATATTTACTAATTAATCTTTACTATCTTATTACACCTGTTTATGATCAAGCCAAAGTAAAGCTTCTGATTTGTTTATATAAAAAAAACTCGATTTATATAAATGTTTCCCTCTAAAAAATAAATATACTTATGTATAATTCCATATAAGTTAAAATAATATTAGTAATTTCCGACCATCAGATATGGAATACGTAAATTACGTCCGGTCTCATTAAATATTTCAGTTCTTAATAATTACAAGCATTATCAGTGTAGATAGGTTTATTGTAGAAAATCTAATCCGATTAAAGATAAAAGATTAATATTATATAGAATTTAAAAACTACAATTGAATTAATTAAATTTCTTATTAAATATAAAAATATAATTTGTAATCTATAATTATAAAAACTTCACTGAATAGATTGTTTTATTAAATAATTTATATAAATGTACTTACTATATAAATTTTATTTGATATCAAGTTATTGATAAATGATTTAATATATAAGTAATTACGTTTCGTAAATTATTTGACTAAAATAATTAAAAATATAATAAGATGAATAATTATATAAGTGATTAATCAAAAATATAATTACATGAAAAAATATATTAATAAAATTATCTTCCATCAAATAATTTATTAAATTAATTTAAATCAATTTATTTTCATTCACAATTCAAATCAAATTAATTTAATAAAAATTGATTTGTTATTGGATTATTTTAGCTCTATTTATGAAGTTTTTTTAACGATTTAAAAATTTTAATAAAAGAAAATATGTATAAAAATTGATTATTTCTTAATATTTCATAAAAAGTAAACCGATTACTATGATAATTCATATGTTTAATAAATTATAATAAATATAAGTATAGTATAAAAATTTATTTTACTTTATTATACATTTATTAAGTCATATTTTATTATTTATTGAAGCTACGAATATGAAGAATTAAAAAATTTTAATTATTTTGATTAATAATTTATTGATTCTTTGGATATAAATTTGGATATCTATTCTCAATATGAAATTTTATTTCAAAAATAAAAATTGTACCAAAAATTCATACTTTCAAATATTCTGGCGTAAAATTCAATGAAGACAATTAATATATTTATTAAATTAATACTTTAAAACTTAAATATTATGCTTAAATAATTTGTTTTCATTTAATATCATTCTTCTAATAGGAATAATTAAATAAACATTATTTATTATTAATTAAAAAATATTAGAAATTAAAATACTTGAAAAATTATTATAAAGTACAATACTAAATAAATATAGATCAATTGAATAGAATGGAAAATTCATGTGTATCATCTGATTGTAATAAAATAGATTATTATAATAAAATTAATGAGTTAAGAATTTAATCTATAATAAGAAATGTTGGAAATAATACATCACAACTGTAAAAAAAATAAAGAATCTGCAAATTTTTTACTTATATTTTGTATAAAAATCAAATAAATCATTTTTAGCAAATACAAAACATGGAATACATATCATATATATATATATGTTAATGTTATATAAATGAACAATAGACGAAATTACTAATAATGTTGTCACAATGTCCCACTATTATGCAATTATAAAGATATTTATCATTATAATTGAAAGGCGAAATGAAAATGTATGTAGTTTAATTATATATAATTACAAATTACTTAATTTAGTTGAGTATATATTGGACAATTGAAAAGTTTTCATAAACAAAATAATATTTTTAGATAAATTTAAATAAATTTATATAAGAACGTATTAAATTCTTTGGATAAGTGAAAGTAGAGAGTATATTCGTTGAATGTGAAACAAAGATCGAAACTTATTGTCATGAATTATGTGTTTACAGAATAAAATATAATAACGCTAGGTTGTATTAGAAAAACTTGTTTAATTAGATTTGTTATAATATAAAATTTTTATTAATAAATTTTGTAATTAATAAATCAATAATTTTGCATTTATAATATCTATATAAATCTAAACATAAATATTTATTATATTCTTTTTCAATAAAAATTATATAAATATTGTTTTCATTTATCTAAAATTGAGGAATATATAAAATATATCAAGTAAAATAAAAAATTTTAAATAATAAGTAAATTATTTTACATATTAATATACAATTTTTTTAAGATAATATTGCACATAAAAATACAGCACCTCTTTTTTAACCATTTTTTAATGAATTGAAAATCAATAAATATAAATATTAAATAGAAGCTTAAAATAACTGGTAAAACTCGTTTTACTTTTCATTTACCTGTCAAAACTAATAAAATTAAGTATAATCCTTGGAGAAGTACATAGGTTACTCTGAGATTAACTAAAGATTGGTATTACGAGATTACTATTTGATTAGCATATCTATCATTTGATAGTATAACTAGAATTTAATATAATTTAATAGGTCGTCGGTTATAATATGTAACATTAGTTTAAAAAATTTACTGAGTATTGTCTATAATACTTTTATCCATAAACATTCATATTATCATATAAAGAAAAATTTTTAAATCTCAAAGACATATATTCCGCAATTTGTTACCTAAATAATTGCCCCGCTTTCCAAAGAATAATAATAAAAGAAACATAAACAATCAAGATAATCATATTTTTTACACATCTTATTTTGCACATCTGTCTTTAACATATTCCCCGTATTCTGAATTACAAGTATTAATGTTATCGTTTATGAATTCCGATTAAAAAATAACTATACATTTTATCTATTCCTACCTATCCTATTCCTAAAATTTGTTACCTTGTTTATTTCCAATCTTTATATTTCTGGAACTAGTTACCTTAAGCATTCTTAAATGGTTAATTAATTTATTTTATCACTATTAATTTGTTATGTCATTTTAACTAAATTATCTTGATACGGTCCTTTTCTTATGTTTAAAGTTTTTAGAGATAAATTCCACTCGTAATTTACTGGTATTCAATCTAAAAGAAAGTCTTTTCACTCTTTAAGTATCGAATGCTTATCAAAATAATGGATTTTGCATAATAACCTGAATAATTTAAAAAACAAATTTTTAATATTTATTACTTTTAAAGATTAAAAGCAGATGTGTAGTAAATTTCTAAATGATTATTAATATATTAACCATGCATTAATGATATAAATGTGACTACTATATTAAACATCTAATAGAATCTTAACATCAGAAAAATTTAATAATTAAATGAGTACGACTAAAAAGTGCACTGAAATGATATATTTTATAATTAATAAAGTAATATTTACTAATAAGTCCTATTTTTTTATTATTTATACATTAGTTTTATAAAATATTAATTTATTTTAATTGATAATTTTTTATCTCATGCTTATTTTATAATATTAAAAAAATTAATGTGATATTATAAATGTTATTACTGTTTTTCTAATTATTTCGGTAATGTCGTCTCACTTTTAAATTTTCTGTATAATATGGGTTAATACGCATACTTTTTGTATAAAATACATTTTATTAGAATCTTATTTATTTTAAATTGTGATGTTTTTAAATCTTTAAAATAATAATCATTTATTTATTTCTCTATAAATATATGGTTTCTGAAATGTAATTTAAAATTTATTTTATTAAAAGTTTATAATTAAAATATAATTATAAGATATTATTAAAATATGAATACTTATATAAAATACTTATTATTTTACTTATATGATTATATTTATTATTTTTTAATTATATGTTGGAAAATTCAGAAATTTCAATATAAATATTGAAATAAAAAAAAATTTTTTTCTATATAATTATTACTTGTATACATAGTTATCTATATACACAAAGCTTACTTTTTTGTGAATTCTTTCAATAATTCTTATGATTATATTAAAGGTAGTGAATATTTTCTTAGTTATTGTCATTAAAATATTTTAGAAGACAGAAGAAGAATTTTAGAAGAAGAACTATTTATCCTACAATGTATGAAACTCCAAAACATGGGCCAAACATTTACGTTTCTTCATAATTTAATAAAACATTCAAATTAACCATTTCATTAATGAATAAATAAATCAATAAATAATTATACATTAATAACTATTATTAATTATTTTTTATAAATATTATAAAAATAATTCAATATTCGGTTCATTTTATTTATTAAATATTACATGTTAAGCTTTACAATTTACTTCTGAATTGTACATCATCTTTTTATATATGAGGATTTGCTTTTATATATTATATCCAGGCTTTATCAATATGTCAAAAAATAAGTTCGTATACCTTAATAATTTAAAAATATTTGTATTAATTACCTCATCTTCTTGAGAAGAGGCAATTTCTGGTTCATTCTCTTCCAGCTTAGTCAACAGTTTATCCTGTAATCAAAATATTATTTAAATAAGCAAATTATATTTTATACATAATTATTTATAAACTCAATAAATAATTAAACACAACAATTTTAAATTATAGTTTCATATCATATTTATAATGCCATCTATTATTTCATTCTTATCTTATTTGTTGACTTTAATTTAACAAAACTCTAACTTTCATTTTAAAATAATAAATTGAAATTTTATTTAATACTTAAAATCTATATATATAATTGTTTATACTTGTTTTGTTTTTATATTATTTATTAAAATTATCTTTATATGTTTTCATATTTTCATAAAATGTTTTTTTTAATTTAAACATTCTTAAATAGTTATAAATTAAAAATAAAAAGTCTAATCTGATTTAAATTAAAGAAAAATTAATATTAAAAACAAAAATTCTAAATATTTTATAGGATTTATTATTATTTCTATACATAATGGTTGCTGTAGTGATAGAAATTAAAAAATATAATTAATTAAACTCTTTTATAATTATTTAAATCTTACTTTATAGAAACACTATTATTATATGCAAATAATATTCATACAATAATGGTATTAAATTAACTATTAAATTTACTAAATAAAATTAATCAATATGATTCAGAATATTATTAAAGAGTTTCATTAAATAATTATAGTTAAACTTATAGACTGGATTATTTATAAATATCAAGAATTGCATATCCTGGAAAATCAAATTTAATATTACAAAGCATATTTATGTAAATTTAAATATTATTAAATACACTTATTTATTATAAGAATAAATGTGTACGAACTTTTTCTACTTAATAAAATACATGTATCCTAATTCAGATGTATAGATCAAGGAAAATAAATTTCTCATGTACTTTAATTTTATTTTCGACTCGTCGATTTTGCAATAAAAAAAATTAGACAGTTGCCAGAGGACCATCATCAACAAAGCTGTCCTTTTCACAATTTTTAGATAGCATGAAAGGCAGTTGTATCAGAGCGTGGAATTCATCAATTTCTCTAATTTACTTTAAGATACAAATTACAATATATAATATAAAATACAAATTATAATTATAGAAATAATTATAATAATAGATCTAATTTATTATTAAATAACTAAAAAATAAAATTATTCAAAATATTCAATTATTAAAGAAAAAATTTGCCTATTAGATATTAAATAGTATTTATAGTGGATGTAATAATCTATTTGGATAATAAAAATAATTTTTATCTATCTTATTTAAATGGACACTCACAAGAGAGTATTTGTTTATTTCGTTTAATAGATGAAATTTAGAATTATTTGATTTTTTATGAAAATGATGTTAAAATCTATTATTAAAATATGAATATCTGTTAATTTTTAGTTCATGAAAAATTCAGTTTATTAATTAATAGTCTTAGATTTTCAAATAGAGAAAATAAGATCAGTTCAAATAAGCAGGATAGAAAATATACATTAAATAAATTAAATATACTAATTGTTTTGTTAAGACTTGGTTTAGAAAAATATAAAATAAATATAAATATAATAAGTAATAATATTTCTTGTCATTATAAGTAAGTAATTCACTACAGTTTGATTGAAAATGACAAATAATCCCAACGAATAAATTAGGAATGATATTTCTATTCAATTCCATTCACTTTTTACGATTATTATTGTATTTATTAATGTATAAAAAGTTTACATCATTTTATCATACTTGACTAATTATATTGAAAATATCAATTATTCAATAATTTTGTAAAGTAGATATTAGACTAGTAATGTATTTAATATTGTATTAAACAAATATTGTGATCACAAATATAATAAATAAATATTTTTAATAAATAATATGTAACTTGAAATCTATTATTATAAGTATATATGTGGAATAATAACTTTTTTTAAATTTGTAATACCTTTCGTCTCGTAAATCAGTCATTAAAAACAATATGATATTATTCCATATTTCAGTTCAAAATTATTAATCTTTTCAGGTGATGAATCTTATCGATTCTTCGAATTTTCATTCTTGTAATATAAGTTTATTAATTTTTTAATAAATTTACAATTTATTTTATTATTTATACATAATTTTTATTTAATTTTCTTATTAGTTAAATATTAGCAAAATATTTGTATATAATACTTTTCATTATGTAAATAATATTAATTTAGAAGTGACCATTAATTATAACATAATTACAAAGTAATTAATTACAAAGTAAAGTTGTACCTTTTATCATCTATAATATGAACGTGTGTTATTATTAGTTTCGTAATTTTATGCAAAGTTGTGCTTTGGTCTATGAAAGAATATTTTTAGCATAATTTGTATAAACTTTAGTAAATAGCTTATAGTTGTGACGATAAAAATTAATGATTTTTTCTTGTAAGTCTTTATACAAATATATTCCCGACGTTTTAATTATTCTTTTAATATAAAAAATATACTATAAATGTAAGAATACTTTCTCTTCGTAAATTTCATTATAATTTAGAATTTATCGATACAGAATTTTATAGGTAAAATTATTGATAACATTATCTCACAATAATTAAACAGTTAATCTGGAAGTATCAGATATTTTCAGAAATTATTATAAATTATCAGAATATGAATATTGAATATATTAAGATCATGTTTTTCCTAATTCAGTAAACCTTAAAAAACTGTAAGTAGTACATTAAAAAATGATACAAAATAACAAAATTTTTAATTAGTAAAATTTTGATTTTTCAAACATTTCCAGTCTAATTAGGTTAAAATTATTTATAAATCGTTATATAGAGTTTTAGAGTATAAATTAATATAGTATAATAGTAAATACAAATTTAAAGTAAATTCTCTCTATTTTGTAAAATAATTCCTTTTTAAACATATCCTTTACTCAAATATCTTGATATTTATTACTTCTTTAAATGCTTCTTGAAAATATTTTTCGTCTTTATACCCTCTATTTATAATGAAATCTTATATTTATTGTTAAAATTGTTACTTCATAATAAATACTTTAATTCAAATAAAAAAGTTAATTTATTCGAATTGTTTAGTAGAAATATCTATTAATTACAAAAATTTTATTTAAAAAAAAATATTATCTTTTTTCGTATTTCATTGTATAATATTTACACAGTATAGTGTCCATAATTGATTTTTAATAGTCTTTGTATAAATCTATAACCATAAACTATTCCTTAGCTGCATTTTTATTGGCAAATATAAAAAAGTTAATACAAATACAATAAATAAATCTAAATATTAATTTTATTATTATTGACATTCTATATACAAGGAGAGAGAGAGAGAGAGAGAGAGAAAGAAAGAGAGAGGAATAGTTTATTACTTAAAGCACTATTTTTGGATATAATTTCACTTTTAAAAATTTTGTTTGAAAATAAATTGAAAACAATCTTCTAACACTTTTCGGTTTTGAAATATAAAACTACAATTTTAGAATGTCTATACGCATTATTGAATTTTTGCATCAGACTATATTTTCTTTGGTGCAAAATGAAAATACAAAAATAATATGTTCTAGATTTTTATAGAAAAATATATTTATTTTGAGAAAAGATATATTATTTATATTAATGTAATAGTGTATTATTATAATATTATTAGTACACTCTCTATTATTCTCATTTAAAATTACATCCAATTATTATTTATAAATATTATATATATTCTCTATTGTCTCTAATATTTCAAATTTAATTTTTATATAGTGTAAGGATTTCATTATGAATAATCAGAATAGATCAATACTTATCTAGATAAAAAATAACAGAATCTTTTTGAATTTCTTTATATTATCTGATAATTTATTCAATTTTTCAGTTAAATCATTTAATTTCTTAGTTTTCAAAAATACAAATTTAGAAAATTATTATTACTTAGTTTATTATATGTTTATATCAATATATATTTTTTTATATCATAATTTATATAATGTATATATTTAATGGCATATAACTTGAATCATGTTTATCAATTTTAAAAATACTATGTTGCCAATATGTATATAGTATATAAAATTTAAATGCTACCCTAGCGAATATCTTAATTTGCCTTGTATCAATTTATTGTAAATAAAAAGAAAAACTAATTTTTTAGAAGATACTGGTTTGTCGCTTATCACATACTTGTAAAGAATTGAAACAAGTTAATCAAGATTTCATGATTTAATATCGTTTCGTTAACCTTTTGATCACTTTAGATAGTAGTCGAACTTGTATGCAAGATTTTCATTGTGAAGGGCAGTTCAGGTCTTTAATAATACTGTTTGCTCCGTTTCTCCTAGATTTATTATTTTATTTTCACTTTCATTTATTTCATGTTGTAATTTATTTTAAACTTTTTTTAAAAATATTTAAGAAAAAAATTTTTTTTTATTTGAAGTTTAAATTATATCTGACTATAGATATTTTAACTTTTCTTTTTTAAATTTTAAATAGCATAACCAAAAATGTTATAATTTATAAAAAAATTAATTTCTTAGTGTGTTAGAATTACAAATATATTTATTTGAAATTAACCTTTATATCTATATAGATACAATTATTTTATTCGATATTTAGTCATTTATATATAAAGTGATTGTAAATACACATAAATAATCGTGTTCCATGCTGTTTATAATTGAAAAATGTATAAGTTACCTTTATGACGAAGTTACAAATGTTTTCTCGAAATTCTTTTTAATAAAAAAATTACCATTTTATTTCGAATAGTACTATAAAATAAAATTTAAATTCTTGATATTTTTTTAGATGTATAATATTCTTAATTTTATAGGAAATAAATTTATTCTTTGTGTGCTTTTTAACTAAATTGGTGTAATTTCTTATATTATAAATATGTTGAATGTTAAATAAAACTTTAAAATATTTTGTTATTAAATATTATATTTTAATACTGGTATATATTAGGAGATAGGAGTTACATTTGAATCAATTATAAAGATTTATGATGTAGAAATTATATAATACATTCAAGATAATTTTATGATTTATTTTA